ATCTCTCCTACTAAAAGCCTGAACGTGGCTAAGCCGCGGTGCTGGCCCTGCTACTTAGGCACGAACCACCTCATGACGATTGAGCTTGCGAAACGGCTAAGCTCAAAAGAGTAGAACGACGATTACGCGAGCAACTCTTCTCACATCGGGTTATGACATTGGAACAAAATCAGGTGGGAACTTTCTGTCTCGGTCTCTGATTCGAAAATAGTCCAACACGTTGTCACGGAGTCTCGGGGCCGTATGCTCTCGACAGGTCCTCAGGAGTGGCTCTCGAGTCGAGAATCGAGGCGAGCTGAACTGGGTGTAGATGGCAGTCACGAGATTTTTTTCGCGTCCCCAATGCATCACAATAAAGATAATATCGAAAACGAGCATATCGACGGTGATATTGACAATAATGACAGAGGCGATGAAGAAAGCGATGCACTGTGTCTCTCGCTGAATATTCGTCTCCAATGAGGCATGGGCTACCCTCGAGAGAGAGAGCGAGCTTTTATCGCAAGATTGACCCTCGTCTCCTCAGTATGCAGACCCTACTAATATCTGATTGAGTGGGAGGAGAACAGTGGAGGTGGAAAAGTAATCTCAAGCCCCGCTCCGGAGGCTCTACTGGCTGCCGGTGTCAACTCAAGTGGAAGTCCACACAATAATGAGCTCGCCCGCTCCAAAAACGCTTCTAGTAGAGACACTCGGCGGGGGGAGGTAGGCGATTCTCTTGGCGGGCTCCATCCATTCCTCGGATGCTTGCTCCCCTCGCTTGTACCCGATGGTCGCGCCTTATTTCATCGAATTTCTCATTCCGAATCGAGTTACATCCGTAGTGGATTCCGCTCCACTTCATCTATTCACAGCGACATACAACAAAGCTGCTGTTGGTGCTGCTACTCGCGGAAGTGATGGAGAGGACGCGTGAAACTGCAATGGGTGCTCCGAAAGCTCTCCACAATCGAGTGATTCAGTTCGAACATAACAGGGAGGAAAGTAAACAACCGCTTCGGACACTCGCTGTAACAATCAACGTAGATGAATGCGGTTCGAATTGTGCGAAACTCCCCCTATCGCGGGAGAAAATGTCGTCTAAAATAATCACGAGTCCTTTCCGATGCGGAAAGCGTGATTTCTAATGGTCAGGAAGGAGTGGAGATCGATATCGCATATTTCGAATACTTCAATTTCCTCCAGATTCGAGCATTGATGGAGCAAAGTTCCGGGGCTTATTGTTTGGAAGAGAGGGGGAACGGAAGAGGTCACCGGAGACTTCAGAAATAGAAGAAGATATTGTAGAGGAGTTCGGAAGTCCCCAGAAAGAGCGACCTTCAGTCTCGAGAATTCCCAGACCCTGGTACCGAATGAGATCTTTGGGACCTGAGTCTAGGGAGGAATTCTTGCGGAGCGACGCATCGAGGTCGTGTTCCTCGACTGCCAGGCTACGAAAACGATCCAGAGCATGGTTGGTGTGAGGTGACTCATTTCTCAGTAGGACACCATGTGGAGTGAGCGGAATGATGATTTCTATTATCATCAAAAGTAAGAAACGGTCCTGAATCACCAAAACAGCATGCCTATACTCGGTATAGCACACTCGATGCTATACCAATGCATTCAGCTTGTCACCCACAGGCACGAGACAAGAACAGCACTACAGAGTGACAAAAGCGCTCTGATCACATGCAGATTGTCACAGAGCTGATCCATAGCGTTCCTCACTACTACCCGACGTAACTTCTCTGTGAGGAGCAAGAAGTTCACGGTCACTGGGAGACTTTCCAAAGGAGAGATGCAGTTGGAAGATGTGGCAGAGGCTTCCAGTGATCGTTGTCCGCCGTAAGCATTCGTTTCATCTGCCGTATGACGATCCCTTTGAATCCCCTGTATTGTATATGTGCATGTGGGAACACTCCGATTGACGAGCGAGTCTTACGCTTTCCAGTCGGAAAATGCATTCTAGTCACAAGGGAAGCCCCTCATAGCGCGTGAGGATCATCCAGTGGCTCGGTCGTGGTGTCGATCTTCTCCTTCAGGACGGATTCCTGCTACTCCCTGAAGATGATCTGATTCTCCAACCGAAAGAGCATGCGGAATCTTCCGGCCATCGAGAGAGATATAACTTTCATTGAATCCTCCGATAAGTTGCGACTCCGCTCTAATCAGAGCAGGAAAACCGGGGTATATTGTATGTCGGAATGAGATCCGAGAATTAGCAGGGGCGCGGGAACAGGAACGCGATACTCCGGGGTGAACTGCATTCCTTGCGGTTTTCGGAAAGAAACCTTCGTCCGCGTTCCATTTCTTCAGATTGGAGGGGAGCTTGAGCGAAAACTGCTGGTCCGTTCGAGAGCTCAAGGTCTTTCCGCGGAGTTTTGTCTCGCTCACAACATCGGAGGATTTGGTCGGCTCTCCGTCACAGGTCTGCAAGCTCCGAGACACGCGACTTGCACAGGCTTCGACAACAAGAGGAGTGTGTCCTGTCAGACGGACCGACGCCTCGTCCTTCAATTGCTACCAGAGATGGAGAGCAAGCAAGCAGGAAAACTCGCTCAAGGCACCAATCTAGGCCGATTATGGTCCAACTATTGGCAAGAGTCCCGGATTAAGGTGACTCATCGAAAGCCTATTGCCCCGGAGCATGGAGGGGATGCGAACAGCGGCGAGAACAAGGGCATGCAATGAATAATTCTCCCTCTTCCAATCCGAAGTTAGGCTCATGAATACGACAGTCATTGTTTGAGGCATCAAACGAAAAATGAGGTTTGACCCGCGCGCTGCTTGCTTCCCGGAAGAAGGACGAGCGAGCGCTCGTAGGCCGTGACTCAAAATTCCATAGGGGCAGAGACCGGCGCCTCGCGAGCAAGGTTGTCTCTCACCTCTGAAGTCGAGGTTCCTAATGAAGAAATATTGCAGAGAAATCCGATGCTCGATCATCCGAGTCTCAAGCTCATCCGACTGGGGCAGATTTCTGAATTGACTCGAATCGGACTGTGAGATGTGAGAGTCGGCAGATCGGCCGTATCAAGTCGTATCATCATTGGCAAGAGCCTTATGATGATGATGAATGTCTGAGCACGTCATTTAAGAGCATCATTGTATGCATGAATATGCATATACCTTATACGGGAGATCTCTGCAGCCGATGTCGGAGCCGGAAGAAATCTCCACGAAGGGCCTGGCGCAAATTCGGTCGCTCGACAGATTTTGTGTCACGCATCCATAAATAGAAACCATGCAGTCGTAAATGAGAGCCGACGGCCTCCCAGGGGCCTTCGCTATCAATATCTGCAGGTGGCGCTGATCTAGTGCTACGTGCGTGGACTCAAACCGGTTTCTCCCTCGACTCGTTCGCTGTGCCCCGGGTTCCTCAGGTTTTTCATCGAGGAATCAGATCATTTCGAATGATAAAGAGCGACGGGAGACTCGACCCGCCCCGGACTCGATTCTTTTATCATCGGCAATCGACCCTCCAACCTTCCGCTCTCATCGTGTAGCATGCGCCAGTGTCCACTAGCCTCTCTCGCGATGGGGAGGAATCCGTCGACATCCGGATACAGAGAGTCCGTTAAAGGGCTTCGGAGCCTCTGAGCCCATCATGACAACCCGCAGCATATGTTTTTAAACATGCACCACATCAGAACTTCCCCGATCCTTGGAACAGAAACCGACAGGAGGTATGGATGCAGATCAACGATTCTAAATTTCCTGGGATATAGAGACAAAGACGCTATTCCACCGAGTTCCCGAGCGGAGCCCCTGGATATAACGATTTTTTGATGAATTCCCAGAGGCTGGGGTGTTCGCAAAAGCTTTCAGACCTCACCGGAGCATACTAGAGACACATCTGAACGAAACTTTCGCCAACAGCTTCGCCAATAGGCTCAGAAATGCTCAAACTCAGTTTGTTTCACTGTTGTCAAGTTGCTTGCGCGAGGGAAGGTGTTCGAGGAATCTGCTGGAATCCAGACACAGCGGGTCCTTCGCGAGCGTCGGAGCTCATAAGACTTTCGGAATGAGCTAGTCTCATTTGAGGAAACGGATTCGACATGATGCGGCCTCATTCCGGATAGGATCCGGAAAATGTAACTACGAGCTAGATGCTCCGCGTGCTTCTTTGGAAATGAAGACAAGTTGTGCTGTGAGGGAGCACACATGCTCCGCACTTCTTCCGAGTATACTGGGTATCCAGGACAGACAGCCTCAAATGTATCACAGCGCTCAAATCGTGCAAGGAGACGGCTCGTCCCGAGGAGTCTCTTTTCCGGCACTTTTTACACCTCTGGAAGGGATTACCGATTTCTTCATTCTTTTCTCGGTCAATTCCATGATGTAGGCTTCACGCTCCTCCGGCGACATCAACTTAAGGCGGAATTTCTCGAAAAAACTCAGTTTGAGCTCTTTGATCTCTTTTTCGAAACGATCCCGCTCCGGTTCCTCGCGTGGCGCCATCGTCGACGGTCGAGTGAGTCGAGTGCTTTCCAAATGCCTGCCCGGATCTGGAATTTTTCCCAGCGTCAATTCAAGCAACTTTCGAATTCGCCACCGTTTTGGGAGACTTCAGACGTATCTTGATCCATCCTAGCTCCGAGGATAAGCGCGCTCATGCAGATTTGGAGCACATCGAGGTGTATCCCGCTCTATCTGGGGAAGGAAACGCATCACCCCATCCGGAAGGTGCAGCTAACTTACTTCCTACGGCAATTCTCGTCCCTGTTCACGGGAGCAGGAGATGCTCTCGCTGCAGATTCTTCACTCCATCCTGATGTAAGGCAATGCGAAGGGCAAGATGAGCTGCTCCTGACGGTGCTCCTATCATTCGACACGCATGAGAACGACAGCCGAACTTAGAGCTCGGCGCATGCGCAGACAAGCCCGCGTGGTTTGAGCTCTTCGTCGTGAAGAATCCTTCTTTCGTTGTTGGCTAGATATAGTGGAGGGTTCCAAACGTAGCGGATATACCTAGACCAAGAACTCTAGAGAGACATGATCAGGAAGAAAATCCGCTTGTCATTACGTCGTCAACGATTTATTTCAGCGTTGATATAACAGCGGCGTGATGCCAAACCAGATCCATTTCGGAGTACAGTCGGTTTTCTCGTGCGGAGAGTCACCAGGGCAGTGTACCCGAGAGGAGCTCGTAGCGATGAATTCGTGTTCGGCAATTCTTCACATCACGGAGGAAAACAATTCCGCCCTCTTTGGCAGGCGGCCTACGCAAACTCGTTGATCCCAGCCGCAGTCAGCGAATTCGCCTTGTAATCTCAGGCTCCAATCGAGTCCATAGACGAATTCCGTGTGATTCTTGAATCGTGCGAACGAGCCTCTCATGAGGTTGTAGACCTGAGTCGTGAAATCGTAAGAGACCGAGGCCAACATGTGTCCCAGGAACGGATTGAAGCGAACTTTCTTCACTGCCATCCGATGAGGGAATCGATGGAGAGCTTCCGACGGTTTCCTAATGTCCCACGTCGAGACGAGGTTGTCCACGGATCCCGCTGACAAAAGCGCTGGGTCGTACGCAGACCAATCGACTGACAGAACTTCCGCAGGGGAAACACTCAGACAGATTTGAGGACGCTCCGCTCTTAGATCCCAAACCCCGACGGCGCCGTCTCCCGATGCCGAGCAGAAGGAGTTCGGATTACGCGGCGCCCAGACGGCGTCGTAAACATAGCTCGAATGGAATTTGAACGATCGCAACACCGCTTGTCGCGACGGATCCACGAGATTGATGGTACCGTCCCAGGATGACGACAGCACATTTTGACTGGAGCGCGTAGGATTCCATTGCACTGAGGATATCTGCGAGGAGACGAAAAACGCCATCATGGGTGAATCATCGATGAATGAGAGACCGTTGCGATGCGATGAAGACCAATCATCCGTGATCCGAGCATGACATACCTCTCTGGAGTGAGCTTTGATCACAGCCACTGGATGTGCGTGCAGTAAGTGGAAGATAATCAGGTGACCGTCAGCGGAAGCCGCGCAAACGACATTGGGATCGACTTCACTAAAGCTGAAGTCGAAGAGAGCGTCGTGATGAACGATAGTGTTCAAGACTCGGAACTGGCGATCCCGGCCCCGAGTCAGGACTAGAAGAGCTCCCCGACCCTGGATTCCTGAAAGAACGAGAGAGATCCTCCGGATATTCGCGTTGAAGTTGATGGTCGATGAACGATAAATAAAATTTCCCATGAACTTCCAATTTTTAGGGTCCATTGTCCTTAGAGAACCTTTCGGAAGGGAGGTTCCTCTCGACTCTCCATGCATAGGACGCATCGCTTGCGTGAGCGATTGCTCACCACCCGGGGTGATTGAACAACGAAGAATCCGCTCTTCGGCGACCATATAAGGTCACCCCGGGGATTAGCACGAGGATCCTTAACGTGAGCAAAATGTAATGCCTCGGGAGCAACTCACCATAATTTTGGTTCCCGGCACACACGACCAGATCGGCGTTGAAAGGCGAGAACTTCACGGCGAACCCATGCCAGCCTGGTATTCTACATACGGAGGGCGGTGTGACTTCATCTGACAATCGCGGTGAGAAGTTAGAGATCATCCCAGAGGCGCAATAATTCCACGAGAAGTCCCCGCTCACATAAGTACTGCGAGAGCCTCCATAGTTCGTCGCTTCAGTGTTCTGCGGTACGACCAGAAGCTCGTGGAGGAGTAACTGAGCTGTCTCTTCCGATTGCGCAATCGGTATGATCGGAATTCCTTAGTCTGCTCTGCATGAATCGTCTGTCCAGGAGACGGAACTTTTCTTTTGCCTATCTTTGTCGTTGTGGCTTCCCGTGGACATGCCGTGGTCACTGACCTGACATATCAGTTGAAGGATTTTGACTCTCGGGTCCGCACGTTCAATTTTGAGGCATCGCATGGAATCGGATCCGGGAGTCGCTGACTCCGAGGCTCCGGGCCCTCCCGCTCGTGCAGCCAGAGCGACCGATCGAACGGAACAGTCTCGAACCCCAGCGGATCAATACATCAGCTGGTGTCACGGTGCCGCCAACGAACAGCTGAGATCACAAATAGTGACACATGTGGGAGACGCAGCCCGAACACCACAGTGCGGACAACTGAGGCGTGAGCTGCCGCGGCTGATGGGACGCGACTTTCTTTTGAGGATCAAGCGACTTCCCTTGTTCGGGGAAATTATGTCACTCGGGTGTAGAGTCGACTAGAGAGTCGGTCCCCCTTAGTAATGATTTCGCATATACTCGAGGAATCGAGTGATTCTAAATGTCAACTGGTGACATTTTATAGCAGACGACGTGACCCCTTATTCTGCGCATCGCATCCGATCGTATATCTTCGTCTTCAGCGAGGGTTCTCGTCATAATTGATCCTCGCGGTTCGAGTACCGAGACGTGGACGTAGCAGAGTTCTTGTACTCGTCTTGAATCATTGAACCGACGCTTGCGTATGACTCGGATTGCTTTGTTTTGATGCGTGGCTTCGTTTTCGTCTTCGTCGTCGTTTCTCGCGCTCGCACACAACGACACGCACTTTCTCATTCTCTATCTGCTCCCACTATTGGTGGTGCTGCTGATGCTGTTTCAATGATGATGGCCGTGGTGCCTGTGTGCTGTTGGTAGAAGTTTCCCTCAGCGCGACACCTGAGAGGGAATACACGGGCACACGCTCCTCTGTGCGTCGATCAACTCGATCCCCACAGTCGATGTGGAGTGTTGCCTGAATTAATTGCCCCGAGTGAATACGGATCCCGGGAACCGCAATCGTCTGAAGAGTAGAACGAAGACACAAGAAGCTTCGAGGTGAGAACATCCATCGGTAGTAGCACGTCGAACCCTTTGTTCAATATTTACGATCGACATGGAGTCACGAGGACTTCGGAGTCCGTGTCTCTTCGCATAGAAGTTTCGGAAACGGCAGAGAACTCCCAGAGATGCGTACCACTCGACATTTAGGCGAAGCGTAGAGAAGTCTCGGTCGGCTGCCCTCTCGGTCAGACAGACATCGAAAACGTTATCTCGAGATTGCTGCGAGTTCTGCATCGATATTTTGTTAGCCGTCCGTCTCCAAACAGACGGGACTCCTCCGCGCCTGAAGTTCCGTAGGAGAATCCCACAATATCATCCATTGGAGGAAACGACGCAGTATTTGTGTCACGCCGGCGATGTGCGTTGTTGCATTTATGTGCGTGCCGTTGCGCTAAGCGAATACGCAGTTAGACTTAGGCTAGGCTGAAAAGCGGAGAGGCCCGCTGGTATCCGTGTCCTACTGCGATAGACAATCGAGAGTGAACTTTTGATTCACACCGGCAAGAGGCATGTCTTGGCGGACCGGATGGCGGGACATTCCGATCAGGCTCGAACCAGACGAAAGCCAAGAAAGAGAAAGGGGTTCTCTCGGGGGTGAAGAGGCAGCACGCGGGTCTGCTTGGTGAACCTCGTGGCTCAGATGCGGTGATGCATCCGATGCAGCATTGTTTAAACTAGACGGCCGCTGATAAGAAGTCTACCCGGTTTTGGCTCGGACTTCTTCAACGTTCCCGACGCTCGACCGGGGCGTAGGAAACGGTAGAAGCCCGCGGTCTGCTTCTTCAGCTGCTCAAGAATCATCCCCAGGGAAGACGCGCCTTTTTGTGCAATAACGGGGTGTGTTGAATGTGAGTGTGTCTTCATCGTTTGTGAGTCAGCAGCTGGGCGCCGGGAAATCCCATTCTGAGAAAGCTCTGCGAGAAGAAGTTTCCGATGCGTCATCTCTCAGTCATCGATTCTAACAGTGAACCACGCGTTACCGCCAGTGCACCGATGTAGAGCTCCGGGCGTCGAGTGTGCGTGGGCCGTGTGGTGCGGTACAATCATCCGAGTTTTCCCGTTACTCGGGAACGCTTTGCGCTGAGTGTGTTCTCTGAATTCTAGCGAAACACTTCGTAGAATCGCCCGCTTGATCTCGGCTCGGAAGAAAATCGCTTTAGGAACCGGGCCTAGGAGAAATCTACCAGAGGCCATTCCACTAGAAGCACTAGTTATGAAAGCGCTCGACGGAAGAGCAGCGACTCCCTCTCTAGATAATAATCGAACTTAGTTGGTCGTGAGTCCCGAGATCAGCCGGGTCGGGGACCGGAGTGAGTCTCGGCTCCGGATTGCGAGACGGAATGTCTCATGTTAGTGTCTGTTCGCTTTCAGATGAGTTTGGCGCAGCTCACGTGTGCGTACGATAGCCACACATCGTCCGAAGGATCGAATTCCTCGAATTCAGGCGAATCATCGTCGGGGCCGACGACGATACCGCAGTATCCGCCGTGCAAGAAGAACAAACTAGAGCTACCCAAAGAAATCAGCGGAATGTTCCCCTCGCGGAACTGGACTGACGAGCCGGAGAAGCACGGCGGCCGTCGTCGAGCCTTCGAGCACGAGCAAGGCGTCTGGGCGTCGCACTTCTTCGTGCAGACCTGCGACAAGGAATACATGGACGACGTGCAAAAAATCGCCTGCGATACCGTGCCGTTCCTCAGGAGATCGGACACCGCTCAGTCGCACATCTCGCTCTCGAAAACCCTCAAGTGCCGCTATCACTGGATCAAACCATTGTATTCCTACGTCCGCCAGGGGATACAGACGAGGAAACCGTTCCTAGTTTCCTTCAGCCGTTTCTCAGTCTATGAGAACGAAGAGAAAAACACCTGTTTCCTCGCGCTCGATGCAGATATCGGCGCCAACGACCTCAAGGATCTCTCCGGGCGTGTCGACAACGCCCTGGATCATTTCAATTTACCGCACTTCTACCATCAGCCAAGATTCCACGTGAGCATCGGCTGGGTACCGATGCATAGGAAAAACGATCTATTGAAAAGCCTGGCCGACCTGCAAAGAGAGCTTGATGACTATTGTTTGTCGGTCGAGCTAGCCGGCGTCGTGGATCGTCTGTGCTTCAGGTCCGGGTGCAAGCTCTACGAAATTCCTCTGGGAATCGAGATCCCACACATGCAGTACACGTCTTCGGAGGCTCCTGCGAAAGGCAAACCCAAGAATAATTGAGCTCGTTCCTCACCGATAATTATTTATTGCGTGATGCTTGTGTGGAATGTGCGAACACCCAAGTGGATGCAAATCTGAATGTGGGGGCTTGATGCCCGATGAAAGTGTTACGAATGCTCTCTATCTGAGTCTCGGAAGCTTCGAGGACTTGGAGCTGGTAATGGCTCGTTACATTGTTGTTGTGCCTCCGCTCTATAGCGGAAAAAGGCTCTGGCGCGGATAAACATTATAGGACAATTACGGAAACTGATTCAACGGCTGGATAATATATCCATTATATCACGAGCGAGGACAAGCCGTCGTATACCGCAACCCATGATCTCAATATCTGATACAATCAGATCGTCAGTCAGACAGTTTATTTAGCAATTCTAATGGAATGATTCGTTTTCTCACGACCGATTGATCAGGTCCGAGAGCCACACTGAGTCCTTGAGTACATCGAAACAGCATAAGACAGCAAGGGAAAGATAGACTTAGCTATTTATTCTGTCGTTGCGATATCTGTAAATACGATGTACTTTATCTAGAATAAGGGAAATAATATCATTGTCGTCGAATACTATCAATAAACCGAAAATAACGTGGAAGGAGTGATTTCTTTCCTTCAGGCAGCCCTCGCCTCGCTGCCGTCCTCGAGGTCTGGCAGTTGCGCATCACGCACATGGAGCTGATGTTTGAACATACGAACGTTGACGATGTTTTGATCTGAAGAACAACACTAGTAGGTAGGTCAGGGTCACGCTGACAGATCGGAGATGGCATCTTGCTCATACCTAGATCCGTGGCTCATTTTCGCAGATGTGGAGCGTTTACCAGATGTTCTAGCTCTGGACTGACAACAGATCGGACTCCAATATTATGGCAAAACCTTTAAGTCACCGATTTAGATGCACCGAGGAACTCCATTACCCGTCTCATGCTTCTTCGATATCTCGGAGATTGACGTATGGTTACATCTCTCGAACGAAAGTATACTCAGCGATTGAATTGAGGAAGATGAAGTGGAAAAGGTCTGGAAACGCCCGTCATCTGATTCAAATCTGTGGCCAGATGGCACAGCATTCGGAACTTCCTCAGCTAAAATTCTCTCTCTATAATCTCATTGCCATGATCTTCCAATTCACAATCCATGGTGTCGTGTCCCATCTTCAGAATGATTCCAGAGCCCGCTGCGAGAATGATGGCTCCGAAATTTCGTTTGGCTCTGACCAAACAAGTCGTTCCGCCATGCTCAGAGGGGCGAAATCCAGGAGAAGAGCTCCGCTCGTCGCACAAGATGCCCCCCACGGGATTTCAAGACAATGTCTTTCATGCGATCCCGTATGTATACGCATAGCCGACCGTTTCGGCCACTCGGCAAGACGCTTATGTTCAAGAGCGGTGGTGGGAGAATTAGGTGAGCCTGTCTCCCGTGAGCTCCGGGACCGGGGCAAGGGAACGCTTCATCGTTTATAGCCAGCCGGACATATTCCTCGCATGTTACCTTCTAATAAGTGATTCTAACGAGTGACGGACCGCATCTCAGGGAGACAACTGAGCCTAGAGCTCCCCTTTGATCTTTCGTCTAATTGATCAGTCAAAAGCTCTTGGGTCCTTGACCCCACGTTGTATGTATGGAGAGTGAAGAGCGTATCATCCAGCTCGAGTTCCTATTCGCAATTCGTCCAGAGACTTCTGTTCGACGTCGTGGGATAAACATTCTTCCGGTGATACATCATACCTCCGAAATCACCGGAAATTCTCTCTCCGGGGAAGGTGGAAAGAACCTTGCATTCGCTCTCTCTCCCACTATTCCGATTTCTCAGAGATTTTCATTTCGCATCGCATGGGATGATTAATGTCATCTTTTTTTCCAGTAGTCATCGAATTTCGACGAATGAAAAACCTTGGGATCAGAGCACCAAATCATATATAATGATGTATACATTTTATTTATACACATTATAGTCTTGACCTTCTATCAGTAGAATATCTCGCGGGCGAGTCACCCGAGGGGAGAAAACCGGAAGGAATCCAAGAGAGTGATATCATCACTGAAGTGTGCAATCAAACGTTTATACAAAGAGCTGATTGAGAAGCGGGTTCCCAGACTCGGATCGGGGCCTTTTACGCAAGACTTGGTTCCAGTCGAGGATCGGCGAAAAAATGAAAAGGATCTGGTGCTTGTCAGAAGAAGGCGCTGGATCGTCCTTCTCAGTTCGTCGTTGACGACACCGCTACAAATCACAAACATTTGAAAAACACCCGGGCTGCTGCTCTCGTCGAAGTTGTTTCCCTATCCTCCATTCGTATTTATTCAGCGCATCCTATACTCATGGCTCGCCCTCATCTGCGAGAGCTCTCCATCGAACTCGATTGAGATTTTCATGTCGAGATCACGATTGTTTCGAGCGTTCGGCTTCATGCTGAATGAGCCGTGGATCACATCGTTCTGCTTGACGACCATATAGTCGTCGAGATAGAACACCGTCTGTTTCCAATGAGTGTACGGAGCCTCTGGTCCGGTGGAGAAGCCGATACGGGAGTGGCTACGAGAGAATTCGACATTGAAGAACGCCACCAGGGCGTGGATATAGTCGTCGCGGAATACGCGAAGCGACCATGACGTTTCGAAATCGAGTTCGGACTTTGCCACGGTGTACAGATCGATTTCCTTGATGACTGTGGCGTTGGTGCACACCTGAGACTTATCAACAACATCGACGAGAGGTTCGGAAATGGCGACCTTGCGCATGCAGCTCATGTCGAAACCGTAGACGTCCTCCCACCAATTGATCTTGTCGTCTTTGTACCGGCGATCCTCGATTCCGCAGATGAAAAGCTTGGCCTTGTCGGGGAAAAGGGCGCCACCCGGCGCCAGCCAACGGTCGCGCGCGTAGAGAACGGTGTCGAGCATCGACTCGTAGAATAGGCAGTATCCCATCCATTCCGAAATGATGATGTCCACCTTTTCGATTCCGTCCGGCAGTCCTTCGAGTTCCTCGACTTTCCCCTTCACCAGGGTGATCACATTGTCGAGACCGTTGAGTTCGACGATTTCTCGCGCGTGTTGAATGATCCCTGAGCACTCGATGCCGATCACCTTCTTCGCACCGGCTTTCGCAGCGAACATGCAGAGAATGCCGGTTCCGCAGCCGATGTCGAGTACGACTTTGTTCTTGAAAAGATGCATGTTATGGTACATGGCGTCGCGGTAGGTACACGTGCGGACCTCGTCCTTGAGCATTTCCTCGTGGATGCCGAAATGAGCGTACGAATCGAAATAGTAGTCTTTCGAGGTCATTTCTTCAGGTTTCTCGGGTAGCTCGGCGGACTTCACTGGATGCTTACATTTCGTGCACAGCGTGCTCCCATCTTCCTTCGCGACATCTTTGCCGTTAGTGACTGGCTTCTTGAGCGGAGATGACATCTCAGCATCCGCGGACATTGCCTTTTCCTTGACGAGCAAGTCGGCGATGGTTGAGACTTACGAATACAGGTAACTTCCGGAATAAACGTACTCGAGTCCTCGGTGTTCTCGACTCCACGCGCTACAGACTCTCCTCTCAAACTCACACACAACACCGGGACGACCGGTCCACGGGCTCACGCGGAGGTCTTTAAGGATGTCGCCCGATCCAACACAGAAGGATCTCCGATGGAAGGGGAAGCTCCAACAAGGAAGTCGACCAGCACCTGAAGATTCTGGAGTTCTCAATTATAGCGATGAGACTGAATCGTTTCGGAATAGATATCGATGGTAATTTTGGCATTCGCAGCGTCTCGGGATTTGAATTTGGCGCCTAAGCGCCTACTGCTGTTTATTGTCATCTAAGTTTTCGCTCGAGCCGAGTGAGAGAACTTTGAAAGGTGTGGAAAACTGTCACAACTGATCGCAGGTGGAAGGATCTAGGTCGTGGACGCAGCGTTGAAATCCCTCGGGTCTGACATTGATAGAGCTCGAGTTGTCAGGATACGAATATCACCTGAACCAATGTGAGTACTCACTTATGACCAGCCTAGTCTACGGTGCATCTGCCAACAGCTGACGATGAGTGATATCAGCGAAGTATAAAATATGATTCATTGCACGATACGTCGTCCGGTGATGGTTGAAGACTGCAGACTCTCAGAATTCCGTCTTCAGCGTCGTCAAGCCAATTCCCGCTTCGTTCGGGAACGTTTTCAGCTGGGAGTGAACGTCGGAGTTTCCCTTCCATTCTCCCAAAATTTTCGTAACTCACACTTATCGCCGGGGGAATCCGGTGCGATGGCACAACTTCCTCTAGAATATTCTAAGAACCCTCCTGTGATCTGAAGACATCGATAAGGAATTCTAAAGTTCAGTCTCGCTACGGATACAGGAAAGGAAATCCGTTTCGATATGGAACGGCAACTAGGCCTCGGGGTATTTCTTCCCGAGAGCAGCGACGCTATACACGTTCTTACATGGCCAAGCTTTCCATGCTATCGATGTCTTTTTAAAACTCAGTGGAAGTGTCATTCACTTTCCTGTATCCTCCAGATGGCGGCCGGAGGCTCACAAGTACCAACTTCGCTGAAGGCTATCGCGCCCTACATCAAAATCGCCGTAATGCACGACGCCAAAAATCCTGTGATCGCCTATTGGTGCCGGTTCTACGCGCTCGAGAAAGGTCTCAAGGTATGACATGAAAAATCACAGTTCCAATGAATGAATTTTATCATCCTCCATCGCTTCTCACTCAGTCTGACGGTCATGATAAGGTTTGATGTTTCAAGCTTTTGCCCTGAGCCAAATTTTCTGCTTCTGATTCAAGATCAACAAGAGTGACGACGATCGAAATTATCTGATGTCTCTTATGGACCTGCTGGAGAAAGCGAAACAACAGAACCATGACGATGAAGCGTACTCCAACGATCTTGTCGCACAAAGTCAGATCGAGGCCCACGCCCTGAAACTCTTCAACGTAGCCGATCAGCAGGACAAGTGAGCTCACGAAAGATCCCTATTGACGTCATTCAAAAAAGAAAATGGTCCCGGGAGTCAAGACTACTGCGGGGCATGCTCGAGCTAAGATTTGACGCGGCATGACGGTCGATTATCATCCGCAGGAACGCCAATTTCGATACCAGCCTCATCAGGATCTTCCACACAGCGGGCTACTTGTTCGACGTTCTGGGTAGCTTCGGTGAGATCAGCGAAGAAAATCTACGCTTGAGCCGCTATGCAAAATGTAAAGCGGCCGATATTCACAAGTGAGCATCAATGTGACCTTTGACCTGTCATCTGGGGCAAGCTCTGAGGAGACGATACTCTCGGATGTCACGATAAGTCGAGCGCCTTTCAGCGGAGGAGGGATCGTCGGATGTTCTCGATAGGCGAACTTGGATAATCAGAACAGAAATCGTCGCCGTTTCTCTTGGGAATTGACTTCCTCGTCATTGCAGGTGTTTGAAAGAGGGTCGTCAACCCGTTCCCGGGCCTATGAAGGGAGACGACGAAGGTTTTGAGGAAGACGGTCTGGGCGCTGGCGCGAATGCGAGAGCTGCCGTAAGTATAGATACAAGTCGGCTTGCTTCTCTGCCTGATTGAATCATTTCACCCGTGAAGAAACCAGGGATCGGGGAATCAGGAAGAGGGAGAATCCTCAGCTGATGTTTCCGATGAAGATCCTTGCTCGATTCCCAAGAAGACCATCCTGGCATCTGAACTGAGGGGGGAAGGCGGGAGAAAAACGAGATCATTGAGAAGCCCCGCAGCAATGAATTGATTTTCAACGTTTCCAGGGTCCGTCAAATTTCGTTCCCACGCCCATGCCTCGAGCGAATGTCGGCGGAGGCGAGTTCGACATGGGGTTGCCTCAGGTGCCGCAGGCGCCCGCGGCCCCACAAGATCCCGCGCCGTCGGCGCATCCGCCGCCTCAAGTACCTCAACAGCCTCCCAGAGACGAGAGTCTGGGCGCGTACCCGAAGGTTCCGCAGTATTCGAACACTGCGTCAGTAGCACCGGCGGCTCCCGTGCCTGTACCGCCCCCCACTCCGGCTGGCGGTTTGCCGAGCATATCTACGGATCAAGTTTTGAAAGCTCAAAAATATTGTAAATATGCTAATAGTGCTCTCACGTATGAGGACATCAATACGGCTGTTCTTAACCTCCACAAAGCGCTAGCTTTACTCACGACGGGAGTGGATCCACAATGATCATCTTAGCTTTCGTGGCAGAAGTCTCGGGAATCCTATTTGGGTTGGGGGAACTATTTGTTTACTGGGGATTCAGGATGAGACGCTTTCGAGGCTGTTGGCACCATCGTATCTATTGTTATATGTATGTCGAGGGCTCGTATGTCCGAAATAAAGAAAATAAGTGACAGCACATCCCTTGTTTATGAATATTCCTTGGTATCATTTTCCCACCACAGGGAATCGACAAGCATTCGAGAGGAAGGAGAAAGCTTAAGAATCTGCTCTGTTCTCGACACTCTTCGTACACCTGAGGCCTTCACCCAGAGCTGATGAGTTCGGAGTCTTCTTTGAAAGTGCGGGCTCGATAGGCTCCAGAGATCCTCGCACCTTTGCTCTCCATCTATCTGTCCCGATATTACCCATCAGTTCCAAATACTAAGGAGTAATTAGAAATGCCTCCGCTTGCCAAGCGAAGCCCGACTCCGACATCATGAACGATCGACAATCGATCTGTAACGAGCTCCGAATCGAGAGCCGCGTATCGGAGTGTCTCGAATAGGGGGAACTGATCTGTATCTTTGAAGCAAAAATGAAATGTCCCGTCGACGCCCTGAACCGGGACTCGGCCGAATGGTACGATGAGCGAGACCAAGGAAGAAAAACTCTGCAGACAGTGACACTTCGCGTGATTGTTTCCCGATTCGGTAGCAGTAATTCACGGTCTCGTCACGGTGAGACACGCCACGAGCGTGTTGGGGACGGACGCAATGAGAGGTATGGGGCCGAGGACCAGCCCGCAACTGACGACCGCTAACGCATCGGTCCGTTGCGTATCACATGGGGTTTCATAGAGCGACGCGTCAAGTTCGGGGACGCCGACGGAAGCGGAGGGATGAGGGCGACTCGTCGTAAGGGGTGAGCTATTGCTCGGATCGTACCCACGCGCGTTGTCGGAGCGCTCGCTCCGATACGGGGCTGCGGTTCGTATCGGCGAGGCGCGGTCTTTCACTACATGACCGGGTGATCTGTCTCCGAGGCGAGAGTATCGATCTTCAGACCCGCCTTCTCGATCATTGCACACCAGGCAAACCTATGCCCGCTGTCTAAGCGGCGGTGGAGCTAGGTCCTTCGGCGGAACCTCGCGTTGATCATGCTTACATATTATGCTGCAAGCAGGCTCTCGATGTTCCTTATCGGTGGAGAGAAGAAGCTCCGGTTCTGATGCAACGAGCACTCACAAGTGCGATCTCCCTGACTCGGACCTGATGATTGGGTCAGGGGCCGGCTAGCAAGAATCGCGTGCGCGCTCAGGGAGAAACCGATTTCGGCCGCTCCTGGGCGGAACCGCGGTCTCGATTGATAAACACTGCCTCCGGTTCCCGATTGGGATATCTGGACAGGGTCCTGGGATATGGTCGGTGTCTTCGAAGGAAAGTTGCCCCCTCAGACCAGCTGTCGTGAAAAACGACAGTGAGGCATGATCGATGATAGCTTATAAGCGTTCCTTCCCTGAACCATCGCGCTCATCTTCACCAGACGTAACCGAGGGAAACTCGCCTCGCTCCGTGCGATCGAATTTTTAAGACCTCAATTCGATGGTCTCTCCAGCTGGGAAATTCTCTCTAAAAATATAATTCCGTTTATGCCGAGGTCGCAGTATCCAAACAATCTCCTCCGGTATCCCGCGTTGAAATCGACCATAAGGCTGGCGCGTTTGTCACTTCGTGCGTTGAACGTAGAACGCAGAATGCACATGCATCGACACTGCAGAGAGGTCTCATGAGGGCAGCCGACAAAATATGCGGGCTCGGGATGAGATACCCACAAGCTTCATAAGAATGGGTAAGAAGAAGGCACAGATGTGTGTAATTCATCGCGGAAGGATGATGAATCGATGATCATATGAACGGAGTTCTCGAGGAGCGTAGTTTCCGTGCGGAAAATCGAATGGAGATCCTGAATGCTTTCAATCGAGGAACTTATATCGACAACTTTCAGCTCCGCATCTATAAGCCCTGGTCTTTCTGGGACTTCCGGAAGACGCAGCGCTTGAGCCGACTCCAGCTCCGATCAATACCCCTCGCCTTCGATTCTGAAATATTGGCCGCTAAGAGAGGAGCTCGGCGCTCCGTTCTGCTGTAACTTCGCGAACCCTCCTGGCCGGCGGAGGATGCGGCGGCTACAAAAGCAAGGGTCCGGGACGCTCGGAAGAATTTCTAGACCAAGTTGGTCTTCTCTAGGAAGTCTCTCGGATGCTCTTTGGAGTAGGCGATGGATCAAATTCAAAGATTCTACTCTCATGGAGCTCTTATTCTTCCAGGCATGCCTTCGGCCCGGCTACGGTTCAACGTGCCAAGCCTTGTGCTCGCGACCGGAGCCCACTCCATGTGCGAGAATTATATCGGACGCTCTAGCTACCGCCATTGCGGGATTACCCCAGGGCTTATCCGGCACATTCTCGGAAGCTTCTAATCTCGATTCTCTTCCAGATCAGACTCCAGCGTCGCAAGAACACCGTGTACGAACCGCATGTGCTTTTCTGAATCTCGATCATCGTCCTACTCTGAAACTGAACTTCTTTCTTCTCTCAAGCTGTTGACAGACGGAGACCATGCCTGGGATACTTCCAGCGGTTTGCTTGCATGGATCGAGCCTGCGGGGGATTCGCGTGCTCTGGAACATCTATCGCTAAAATAGAGGATGTCTATTCAGGTGGAAGGAAATATTCGTACCGCTGCGAGATCTGTAAAAGAGGCTTCGCGAGGAGTAATCATCTAGTCGACCACCTACGGAGCCACGTGGATGAACGACCCTTCGAGTGCAAGCGGTGTAAAAAAAGGTTCCGGGCCGAACGCAATCTCAATGAGCATCAGGTTATCCATACGGGAGTCAAGTATCGGTGTCCTGTGTGTACCATTGAGTTCTCGCGAAAAAGGCAATGTGAAGTACACATGTCCAAGCACTGCTCACCTTGACACCGAATAGTTCGGATTGTATGGGTATTCCGAGGTGGGTTTTATAATTCAATATAGCGTGAGAGATTGTGATATAAGGAAATGTGGGAATCTGTGTACATATATGTATCATATGTGATCTAGAGTTTGGGTCTAGAGGACTTCGGAGCCCCGTATATAAATATTCAAGTATTGAAGAACGAATCAATAAAGGAAAAAAATTGCAATGTGTATATCTGATGTGATTTCGAGAGGAATGAGCTGCGAGACCCCAGCCGCAGCCTTGCTGCATCAGCAGTAAGATCTTGGGATCGCCTGGCGCATCAATCATATGTTTTGAGGTCTCCCGCAGACAAAGATCGCCAACAGTTCCCGCACCCCTCCGTTCCCCACGATGTCTGCGACATTGAGCACACCCCATACTACTGAGCGCTTATCTGCCAGCGAAGATTGAGTCAATTCGAGAATTTTTCCGGCATGGGGCGGTCGACTCTTAATCAGTCGAAGTTGCAAGATCTTCTTTAATTGTAAGTCACGTTTCGCTGTGTCAGATCATCTAAAGGAGTACAATCCCTTCCGGAGGCGGACTGAAACGAAGCGCGAGCAAATGGGATTCTCCGCTCACCTCGCGCGGACTTTCACGATCGGAGCAATATTTAGGGAATTCGTTCTCTCCCTCAGGAATATGCTGAATTCCCTTTATATGCATCGACACTTCTTCGCCGATTCCAGTCCATCTTTTCCGAAATCTTCTCCGAGGTATGCCCGCAATCCGGCCGCTCCCTCACTAGTTTTCGCTTCGATCCACGCATCCATTTCTCCATGCGGAGGAGGATACCGCTCGAAGCCTCGGGTGCATTCTCCAGACACTCTCATGTCGGGACCGTGATCTGGAACGTATGGCCCCTTGTCCCGTACTTCCTCCGCGTGAGACGCACTTCGTCGGAGATTGCCAAGACACCACGGTTGAATATGTCGCAACATCACGCTGTCAGGAAACCAATCTTCAGGATACTCAATGCGGATATCCGGAAGGACGTTCCACCTTTACGTGAGGTGGGGGCGACGTATCGCGAGTCAGAGTGATTTAGCGAGCTGCCCTCGCGCGAATCATACGCCCACTCGGTGCGTGCTCTCAGCCACGAGAGATCCGAGAATCTCGGGCAGTGGGCGCATCCTCGCCAGAGGATCAGTTTATCTCCGATCGGTGCAAGAGGTCTCTGATGCGGGAGAGTCGAGCTTCCGACGCGGCGCATCAGCTCGACCACGAGATGAACTCCGATCCTCCGCGAAGGGGGTGAAGGGTGATGTCTTCGGACAGGAGATTCGGAATTTCGCGGCTCCGAGCTCCTGATACCATGAGAGCGGATCACCTGTAATTCCGATGCTTATGGGAATGGATTTGGAAGTGATCTGGCGGTCCGCCCGAGACTAGGATGCGTGTATTTTATTGTAGATCATCTCCAGTTTCGAATTTCCCTGCACAGCGAAGCTCTTCGGAGTGTCTCGATGCGCATCATCGTCGAGGAAGCACATTCCACCGTTTAGTTCTTTGAGAAATTGCTCACTGGCACGCGTCACGTGTCCGAGATGCGAAAGACCCATCCGACGGCTTCGCTGGGTCCCTTTTCGGTACCCGAGGCTCGAAATATCGCCACGCTCAACCGAATCGAGGAGCTTGCCTCTCACTCAGTGGATATGTGGCACACCAACAGAGCATGGACGTCACACCCACTCAGTCACAACTCAAAATCACTCGAGCGGTCGACGCCAGAGAACCAATCTTAAGTTCTCTGGTCGCCGAGACTCGGGAGCATCATTGAATTAATTCTGGAAAAAGCTCCCTCCGACGTCTCCTTCGACCAGCCGGAGACTCAATGAGAAGTCTTTAGGAGTCTTCGACCTCACAAATGGGGAGAGATCACATTGGCATCGACACGCGAGAGGCTCGCGCTCAACGAAGGAGATCGTGACGCTTTCAGCTGAGCTTTGCGCTTAAAATTGATCATGGAAGGAATGATTGGGATGAGGACGCTTCAGCAAAACACAACGATACGGCTCTACCTCGACTGACGTCGTGATTGAGGCGGACAACATCACCCACGACCGCGATCGCCGAGGCAGCACTGTTGCCGTCTTTCACAAAGTGCCGAGCGGACTCCGAATACGAAATGTTCGACGCGTCGGCCACTCGACCATCTCGACCGATGGGTGATGGCTCGGTCGGTAGCGAGAAAAGCCTCATGAAGACTGTGTCCGATGAGTCGATTTCCCGATGTTTCCCGCGCCCGAAAAGGTGCGCGGCAGAGAACCTTTACTCGAAACCTATACACGGAAACATCGGCTCCGCACGCAAGGAAGTTCAGCCCCCGGCCTTCTTCCAGAGAGAATCCTGATCTGCGGTCTCAGGATCTCGTCTCACGGCCCCATGGGAGAATGGAATAATAATGATGTTCGAAGCCCCGTTTTAACGAACACAGCGGTTCTCAACCCTTTTCGCCGCGCGAAACCCCCGACGGTGCTTCGAAGAATCCGCAGGAACGCTGTGCGCATATCCCCCAGTGGATCGACCCGCGCTCAGGTTCCGTGCTGCGCCCGACTTTTGAGACCCTCGCTGACAGGATGCGGAAAACATGAGGGATACCGATTCCATCGAGGACAACTTCTTCGGTAGAGTGAAGCGCCACGGGACCCCGGGGCAGGCTTCGATTAGCCCCGGAAGAGGCTTCACAAAACCTGGAAAACAACTCTGGAGCTCTCCGCGAAGGTCGGGAACCGCTAGTCTTATTATTCGTGGATACTCCCCGGCTGCTCATTCGCATAGATTACGTTCGCGAGCCTGGAAATCAGTGGGAACGACTGATAAATTCGAAACAACTCCTCCCGCAGGACCGAAATCGCCTCAGAGCTCGTAACGATCGAGAATCGGGCTAGCATGGGCCTGAGCCGAAGTACAGATTTCCTTACGATATCTCAAGGTTATGATTCGTCAGGTTTCTGATAGGAGCTATGTCCATTTTATTATGTTCTCTTGGTTTTTCAGATCGAGAGTGAAGAAAATATCTCTCATGGCGGTTCCATTATCAAATCTGATTCTGCATTATATCGGTCCGCTCCGATCCTAGAATAACTCGTTCCTACCACAAGCCCCCGACCCAGGCTTCTGAAGAAACGGTGAAAGCATCGGAATTGAGATAGGGGCGAAAAAATCGAAAGTGAAGCGAGGAGCTAATAGCCAACGGGTAAAGCAAAGAGGAAGACCCCCGACCCGAGCTGCGCCAATCAATTCAGGACGTCGATTTTCAGCGCACGCTCTTTCTTCGACGATATCCAGCGACGACTCCGGATCGAGTTTTCCTCATCTTCAGTCATCTTGATCCCAGGTCTAGGAGGGATGACCATCTGTTTTGATTCCCACTTCGACTTATCCACATAATAAAGCAGAATCGCGTCTTGAGGAATTTCAGAAATGCCCTCACGCCATTTCAGTTCCTCCTGCCCATTTTCCACCGCGGACAGGACCTCGATGCTTCCGCTGATTTTGTTGATCGCCGCTTCGACATCGCTCAAAACACTGTCCGCTTTCACCAAAATCTCGGCGGCCGTGTTCCATGTCCTGGTGAGAGTTCGGAATTCCTGCAAGTACACCACCCGGTTCTTGCCGCGCGCGAAACGCTCCTTCTCGGACAGGACTTCGATGTAGACCTCGGTGACGTCGAAAATGTCATCGTCGAGAATAATCTCCGACGACGGCATCTTGTCGTTGACTTTTCGCATCCGAATTTTCTCGCTCGGCGGAGCTTCATTCGGATAGAGAAGACTCAGCTTCTTGGCCATTATCTCCCGCACATCGGCGCCCTTCGAAGTTTTCGGGTACATGAATTCTGTGACGTAGCCCACCAACGAACCCGCCTCCGCTTCAAGGCTCAGTCGGTAGACTTTCAGACGTCGCTGGTCCTTCGAGATATTCTCTGAGGGATCCGTGACTATTTCCAGCCTCTGGTCATCCAAGAGCATCGACGGAGCTTCGAGCTCCACCATCGAGGGCATTTTCAGGAGCGTCTGGATCTCAGTTCCCAAAAAGGGTTGAAGATTCAACTTGAGCTGATCCATCGAGATTCGTTTATCGATGTAAAGACGAAGGTTCTGCTCGCCGGTCTCGTAGTCTTTATACGGCCACACGCGCAGGAACCTACGGCATTTACTCGCGATGTCGTCATGTTGATTCACCGTGCAGCCTTTCGGGATATTGCAGTTGACACAGACAGTGTTCCTGAGCGCATCGATTATTCCGAACAGCTCGGTGCTCTGAAAGTCCTCCACCTTGCAGTCGTCGCTCTCCTCGATATCGAAATAAATCACCATGCTCCGGCCGACTTTCAATTCGGCGATTTTCGTATCGCTGGTGTGGTCCAATACTTTGATATCACCTCCATTCGGCTCTTCGTAGCAGATTCTGAGGTGTTCGATTTCTTCGCGAAAATCTTCAGGCTCGCGACCCAGCCGTTTCTGTATGCGGTCGGCGATGTCGCTGAACGTGTGCTGTGACGTGAGGTAGACCCGGAAAGGTCTTTTGACCTCGTCGTATTTCAGATTAACCTGTCTGCAGTTGAAGGTGTGGCCTCCGGGAACATATTCCTCGAACGTCTCGTCTGGTTCGCGCACTTCGACCAGTATGTCGCTCCTGTAGTAGGGTTGGACATTACCGAAAATTTCAGCCACGGGTTTCTCCATTGAATCTTCGAGAGATTTCTCGATGGCTTCCGAAGCGTCATCGAAGAGAACGAGTCGACAGCATTCGGTTGGAGCTTCGATCCCGAGCATGGCTTTTATGACTTCCATCGATTCACCGAGCTTCGCGTCTTTGTCCACCGGCCACTGGCGTTCGATCCATCGACGGCGTTCGAGATGATCGTGGAACAGTTTGAGGTTGATTAGCTTCGAGTCCTTCTCGGCCTTGTCCCGAAGAAATTCGTCCTCTTCGCTCAGGGTTCTCCGGAGCTCTCTGAGATGTTCTCCGAAATCGTCCTCCGTCATGGCTTGGGCGTTAGCCTCGCTCTGTTGACGGTAAATGAGCATGTACGCATTAGTCGAGCTTGAAAAGGGACTTCGAGTATCGGTGGAACCTCCTCCGCCGAAGGTCCTCTGCACGTCTTCGAGCGTGACCCTGTGGACTTGGTTGTCGTTGAAGCAGAACCAGTCGGTCTTGTTCCGGATATAGGCGTAGTAATGGCCGCCGTTAGCGCTTCCCGAATGGATCAATACCGCGAAGAGGTCGTAAACGTATTCAGTTTTGGGCGGTTTTGATTCAATGAAGCCGTTGAGGTCCAGCACTTCGGGAAATTCCACGCGGTCGTTCAATTTGATCCTGCGCATGGTCAAATAGTCGAAATCGAAACGCTTCAGCTGCAGGGTGAGGATTTTCGGAAAAGAAACGAATTTGAGACCTTTGAGAGCATCGCACTTTTTCTTACACTTTTCACAGTGGTACTGGTTCGCCCCGTTCAGGGTCTCCGGCTCGACGAAGCCATTTAGTGCTTCGATGAGGCTGCCGTAGATTTTATCAGACCCGAAAGGTCTCACGACGAGCGCAATGTCCTGGTAGTGATCCTCCCGTGCGCTCTCGTTGTTACACTCGGTGCACTTAACGTAATCCTTGAGACTGCCCTGATAGAGACGCTCGATCAGATCGGCTTGCTGTCCGCTCTTCTTCAGAGCGCCCTCGAGCGCGTCAAACATTACCCTGCAGAGCTCCTGCACATCGTGCTGTTGCCACGCTTCGTGGCTGTCCCAGCCGAAACTCCGCGTCAGACTTATGGTTTGGGCCGCGGTGCCCGGATAACACTGGAGTCTGAGGAAAAGCCTCTGCAGCTGGCAAGGGATACTCTTGGTTGGATTCTCTTCGGCGCTGAAGTCACAGGCGTACAGAGCGTTCCTGAACTCTGGCGTGTAGAATAATGTCTGGAGAACGGAATTCAGATAACACGTCATGGCCTGGTTGACCAGGCCGGCCGGCATCATCTCTTCCGACACCGTCATTTTGGCTGCGTCGCTCCGACAACTCTGATGCCTTTTAGGTCGGTGTCAAGCAGACCTGAGCAGAGTCTTGGTTCGAGCAGCGGCCGGTCTGACTGACTGAACGACTTGGTTGCAGACTCGCTCGCTCGCTTGCTCGCCTGTCTTCCTGCCCGGCTCGGTGGCTGCGGTTCCTTACCCTTACCCTCTCGAGCTTCCAACACCGCCCGCACCAGGCTAAGGGTCAGCAAACTGAGCTGAACCGAACCCAGAGAGAATCTCGACGTCTATCGATCGAGAGAAGCGCCGACTGTACTCCAGGCAGAATTATCAGCCCCCTGCGGCGCGAGTCCTCGGAAAGTACCTCTTCGGCATGGCATACATTCTATCTAGAGAGAGGTTCCTCGCTGGATACTCGGAGGCGGGCGGACACTATTGGTAACAAGTCGAGCCATTCATGTTCGTCGAGAGACCTCATTGAGGGCCAAACGTCAACGGTACCAACGACCGAAAATTTCTCACGGGAATGGAAACAATACACAAATTCTCCCGGTCGGATCACGGTCATTCCAGGGCAAAACGATTCTCCTACGGGATACCATCGCGTCAGCCATCATCGTGAGATGAGGGTCTCTGACTCGACTACCCATCGTTAACATCGGCTGCTTGCCCGAGTTCAGTACTCCATTTAAGACAACAGCGACGAATGATTGCCGCAGCATCACAGATTTATCTGGTCTCCTCTCCTTCCTCACTCTGGCCATGATCTCATATGAGTTTTCAGTCCACCCATTTCTTCACCTGTACGTTTGGAACAGCTGAGAGGTAGAGGCGTTGTGACTCATGGTTCTCCGCGCGCGGTCTTTCGACTCAGAATCTATGAGGAGCTTGATCTCACTCCCGTGTCCAACGCATATCTCTTCGGATTTACCTCTACCAAAAAAAAAAAATGTCCGGAGGAAACGGAGGGTAGGTGTCTCTTCTCCTCAATTTTAAGGAGGGATTCCGTCTCCAGAACTTAGATCCCGGGGTGTTCCCCAAACTGCTGAGCCCAACGGAGTCCTAGCATGACCGCCTGAAATTCTCGCCGGCCAGATTAGAGGCTGAGCAGTCCGGACGAAAGCTCACCAGTTTCTCGATTCTCTATCACTCCGCGAGATCCCCAACCAGTTTCCAGCGGGCGCCTTCTCTCCCGGTGCCGATCTTAGCTTTCGGCGTCCAAAACGTTCAACACTCTCCAACGAGCTGCGATGGGCTCCACATCGAGAGGCCGGTTCCCGACTTCTCGGGGAGTTCTATTATATTTGATTGCAATTTTTTCATCGTGCATCGCGCAGCCGTCGCGGAATGGCAGTGTGTTATCACCAGCGCTGTTTAATTTGGCCGAAAACCGTTTCGTCGAAGCCAGTAGTACGTGTGGAGATGGCGTGGATAAAGAGGAGTACTGTATCCTTGGAGAAGTGACGAAGGGTCTCGTCGACGCTCAGGCAAGGAATTTTAGAAATTTGGGATTGGGAAGCTCGCGAAATAAGCCAGAGAGAAGCCTAAGCAAGAGGTGATCTCGCGTTGTCGCGGTGAACGAATATGCGAATCCCTCCGCAGGTTCGTCACGGTCAGGCGTGCGACTACTGCGATAAGGATGATTCCCGGAAGAGCCACCCGGCAAGGAACGCCATCTACAACAACGTCAAAGACTGGATGAGTCCCCCACTCTCGAGGAGTACTAAATACCACGACGTCAAACTCACCATCCATCTCGGACAGGTTCGTCACTTATCGAAAAAGAAAATCGAGGTAGCTCATGTGTCTGCCGAAACCTCGCCCGGAATAATTCGGATTTCCTCGAAGTTGCTGCGCAGATTCTGAGCGATCATGCTTCAGCAATACGTTGGGCCGAAGCTTGCGACGATCACTCCTGGATTCATTCTATGAGGTTCCGACACCGATTACATTTCGAATAACGCTGTATTTCTATACAGCGCTGTCGCGAGTTTGAATGAGCGTGATTGATCCAAAGTCAGAGTCCTCGGCCGAATTTGAGCATATGAAATCAGACCCATCTCGTCCGATCTGGGAGCCGGTACTGAACGATCGAGTCGGCCCGGAGAGAGACGATCTATCTGTGGGAAACAAGCTCCGCTATCTCTCTCCATCGAGGAGGCCATGGGCTCGGGCGAACTTGGAACCATGCTCTAGCTTCGTCCCGGGCGGAGATTCAGAGGCTGGTTTGGCGATCGAAGGGTTGGGAGTATCGGAAGCGTAGCTACGCACAAGGATCGTGGAGCGAGAACGTTTCGCGTGATTTGAATACATATCCTCGACAAATTTCGCGATTCCCCAGTTTCGTCTCCGGGATGCGCAGGGAGGCGACAAGTTCGGGAGGCCCCGACGATGGAGGAGGCCTCTCCGAGCAGGAATACTTTCCAGGGTTCTTAAATAGACGGTCTCGCGCGCTTGGAAACGGGATCGGAGAAGAGCACGGGCATTGGAGGGTCGTAAAACCCAATAATCAACGGGTCTCGTCTCCAGAACGGTCGGGCATCTTTCTCCGGAAGATGCGGCGATGTAGAGTGCATGTGAAGAATTGAGATCCCCTCTTGATTAGTTTTGATTTGAATTCTCCCGATACTTAGACTAGAAAATCCCCGATGAAACCCTCGATCTAGAGATCCTAAACAGGGCTCATCCTGGATCGCCACGCGAATTCAAAGATTCATTAGAGAGCAGAGGTTCCACCCGGACGCACCGGCTCGCCGGTTTCTAGACAAAGTTACAATGAGCGAATCTCATTCGTGGCTCTAATCATGATAGCTGGTTTGGTGTTCCTTTATCAAGTCTGTGAGAGAAGCAGGGTCTCTGCCGGTCATGAGTCAAGAACGAGGTTTCCATATCAAGTATTTCTCGTCGCAAGAGAATCTTTTTCGGGTCCATATCTTTCTTTGTTACATAATGGGGAATCAAGACTACATTTGTTCGATTTCCCGGCCGAGAGAATACGGAGGATTCCTTCGGAAAAATAGGATCCGTACGGGAACCGGTATACAATGTCTGGCGAGAATGTCTGAATCCCGAGTAGGTAAAAATCGGAAAGAATCTCGTGAAAGCCGATGAATTCTCACGCTGGAACGGAATCGCTCGCTGACCTTTCCGTCGCGCAGGAAATCGACCGAATCGAATGTCGGAGTCCAAGGAATCGCACCGTTCCCTCGTTCGGGGAGATTATGAAAATATGACGGAAAGATTGAATGGCTTACGGATCTGGCAGGGGAACGTCAAGTGCATGCCGAAATATTCAAGCGATACATCTTGATTCTCGAATGGAAGCTGAGAGCGGCCGGTGAACGAATCTCATCCAATTTCAAGAAGCTTCGCGATGAAGCTCCAATCCTGAACGCCGTAGTTTTCATTCAGCCGAGGACGAGCTGTGTGGGCACTCTTCACGGAGGCGATAACCTTCAACCCCAAGCCTCGACGCCCGACTCTAAACTTTGCGCTGGAACCTATTGTGTATCCGAAGAGAAGGTATTCCTCGCTGTTCGGAGATCTGGGAAATCAGCAAAAATGTTTCTCCTCAGGATTTCCATGTCGCCTACGTCTACATCGAGATGGGAATCTCGCCTCGACCTGGCGTCTGGGCCCTGGAGCGGTCTGTGGATGACGGAAAAACATACCAAGCCTGGCAATATTTCGCGTCAGACGAAGCCGAATGCAGGAAATATTTCGGTCAGGACGTCGAATTCAAAATCACACGGGACGACTCCGTGATTTGCGATACGAGCTATTCCAACATTCTGCCTTTCCAAGGTGAGTTCCTTGAATCAATAGCAAACTGTAGAAAACCAGATGATATTCGCGATAAGGATCCCAGAGCTCGACTGTGAATGAAACTTCTCTCTCTCCAGGCGGAGAGATATACGTGCCACTCGCCGTCGGGCGTCCATCGTCTGAGAATTTTTTCACCTCTGAGTCGCTTCAAAGTTGGACACGCGCGACGAACATCCGACTTCATTTGATGCGAACGAAGACCCTGTCGGCTGATGTCGCCTCTGTGGACAACCAAGATCCCACTGTGACTCGAAGGTCAGTTCCGATTCTCATTGAGTCCTTTGTGGCGTGAAGAGGGTCTGCGCTCTGTCAGTACTCCCATCGACCAGACCAACTCGATAATGGGTTAATATGGCACAGATACTTCTACTCCATCCGTCACATCGACATCGGAGGCCGATGTGTCTGCAACGGTCACGCGTCCAACTGCGATCCGTCCCCCGATCAAAAATTGGTTTGCTCGTGCCGACACAACACAGACGGGGATCGCTGCGAAAGATGCGCTGGACTTTTCAACCAGAAGAAGTGGCTGCCGGCATCGATTGAAAATCCCAATGAGTGCGAGAGTACGTGCACTGGAGTATAGTTTCTACCTTCAGGGGGGGGGGCGATTCCCAGTTATAATCGCACTGAATATCGTCGAGAGGTATTAACTCGAGGTGACCCCGGGTTATTCCAATAATGCTATGTTTCCGTTTCCGACAGAGTGCAACTGTCATGAACATGCGCACACCTGCCGATACAACGCCACCGTGGAGGAGCTGGGCCTCTCGAAGAATATCAACGGCCAATATATCGGGGGCGGTGTCTGTATTGACTGCATGCATAACACCGATGGCATCAACTGCGAAAAGTGGGTATCGAGGATCGGGGCAAGGGGAGGAACTCCGAGGAGCTCCTTCTCCTCCTCCACGGATAGTTTGCATGATCATAAATACCTCATGACTCCAGTCGACGCGTGATGGATTACTCCGTACGTGTGAGTTATTCAAGGTCATTTACATTCTGGAAAAAAACTATCTTCCGATCCTTGTCGCAGGTGTAAGCCGAAGTATTATCGGCTGCAAGGAAAATATTTGACGGACGAAGACGTGTGCGGGAGGTGCCCTTGCGAATTCGAGGGTCGCGATCGGCAGAGATACTCCGGAGAATGCGACGATCTCACCGCCCGGTAATTGAATCAATTCCAGTACGACATCCGACGGAATTTCGAGTACGCCCGTCATCCTCTAACCTCCTATACGGGGTCGGAGGATTTTCCGAGGCCTTCGAAAGACGGTGAACCTAAATTTGTCATCGACTGTGTTGCAGTTGTAAATGCGATCCGATGTACAGTGAGCCTTTGTGTGACCGATGCAGTGACGGTCACTACGGATATCCAGACTGCAGGCCGTGCGACTGCTTCCAGTGAGTTCAGAGGTTTCTGAAATAATTCCGAGAAATCATAATCATGCTTGTGAGCTCGTCAAGACTATGGAGTTCTCAGCGGAATCAAGAGTTTCGAGCGATCTCTATTCTTTTTCAGGAACGGAACGATCGGAGGAATTTGCGAGAACAACGGGGAACCCTGCCCGTGCAAGGAGAATTTCGGCGGGAAATTCTGCAAGCAATGTGCTCGCGGCTTTTACGAACATCCCAGCTGTAAACGTACGTGTATCCGATCGGACATCGGATCCGAGACCCTGCACACTAGCGAGTTTCTGGTCTTTGGGATTTCACCGATATTGAGGCAATCCATCGACAGATGAAATTGAGGATCCTCTCTCGTTCCAGCGTGTTCCTGCAACCGTCAGCACTCCCTCGATCCAGACGTCTGTGATTTCGAAAGCGGCAAATGTCAATGCGCCCCTGGATTCGGGGGGCGTCAATGCGATTCGTGCGAGGTCGGCTTCTACAACTACCCCGACTGCCAGAGTACGTTCGACTCGGCAAATTCCCTCATACCAGCTCTTCTACCAACTGAAAACTTGTTTCTAAAAGCTTGTTTTCTCCAGGCTGCAACTGTCACCAGAGCGGGGTCGAGAAGGAAGTTTGTAATGCAATCACCGGTCAATGCTTCTGCAAGCCCGGCTTCACAGGGGATCGTTGTGAAACGTGCGCGGATGGATTTTTCGGGCACAACTGTACAGCGTGCAACTGCAGTCCTAAAGGTAGCGCTCAAGACATCTGTAACGGGCGAGGACGGTGCAAATGCAAACTCGGATGGACGGGCGACAAGTGCGAGAAGTGCGCCGCCGGTTACTATTGGAAAGAAAATCTACAGACTTGCGAACGTGAGTATTATATCCCTTCTGTCGAAATCTTCCAATATCGATCACGCCTGTCGTCCACCCGCACATACCTACGTACATCCAGGCAACGACTTTCGGAGACCCCAGCAATGGAGGTCCAGGTCGTTTCACTTCTACCTTTACGTTGAAGCTCCTCCTAAAGATTCCATATCCACCATTTTCAGCCTGTTTGTGCGATCCCTATGGAGCCGAAGGAGAGAGTTGCGACGCAGAGGGTCGGTGCATTTGCAAACCCAACTTCCAGCCGGGACCTAAACACCGATGCGACACGTGCGCCACCGAGCATTACTTGTATCCGCTCTGCGAAAAATGCAACTGCCATCCGGGCGGTTCGATCTCGGGATCGAGGAAGTGCGAGACAGGAGCAGAGACGCGGTGTAAGTCTCGGTCGTTTGGATAAATCAATGGTCAGATCGAGAGTCGGAACATGGATACTCGTGAGCAGCCTATTTGGGACATTCAGGGGATCTATAATATTAGGCTCTCGCGTGCGCTTCCAGGTACCTGCAAGGAACGCGTCCGAGGCCGGAAGTGTGATGCTTGCAAACCTCTCTTCACGCGACTGAGCTTGAGCAAAGAGGGTTGCGAGGAGTGCTTCTGTGACGCCGCAGGAACTCACAGCGCGATATTGGCTTGCAATCCGAAAGACGGACAGTGTCCGTGCAAGATGAACCGAGAGGGACGGTGCGTGTCAATGAGGAGAATTCCTCTCGGGCGAAGAGATCTTCGTGGAGACTTCAGACTTCAGACCATCAAAGAGTTTATCGACTAGGTCATTGAATGAAAAATTCGATCATTCCAGAGGCTGCTCTCACTGTGCTGACGGTACACACAAACGCAAGGCGGATAATCTCTTCGGTTGCGAAGGTTGCGAATGCAATCCCGCTGGTTCGTGGAGAACTACCTGCGACGGACGAGACGGATGCAAATGCAGAGCTCTGATCAGTGGGGAAAAGTGTGACAGAACTTTTTCAGACAGCTACGTGCCCACTTTGCATCAGGTACGAAGTTGAAAAGTCGAAGTCCAGACCGCCCAATCGATCGCTCTATGGCACCGTAGAACCCATTGTCCGTCACGACTTACGCTCAAAGCCAAATGCTCCGCTTCCAGTTCAAATACGAAGTCGAAGATTTCCGCACGCCGACCAGGAACGTGGTTCGACAGGGAAGCGACGAAGAAGCTTTCCCGAATTACTCTTGGATGGGGTACGCAACGTTTAGTAATCTCCAGCCAGTGGTCATCGTTGACGTGAACATTAAGAAAAACTCGATGCATCACGTCGTGCTCCGCTACACGAATCCCAGCGGCATCGCGCAGGACATCGTTTTCACTATGATTCCCGGCGGAGAGGACGGGGTTGTCAAGAAGTTCAAGGCGAAATTGCCTCCAACGACCCAGCCTTCTTTCATTCGCCTTGAACCATTCGAGGAGTTCGAGGATAATCTCTCCGCGGGTCCGTGGGTCATCGAAATGCAGTCGATGAACGTCAGCATCGACTACCTGGTCACTATTCCGAGAGAATACCTGTCCGCCACCGCCCTCAAAGAGCACATCAACAGACCGTGCAGGCTCGGCGAAAACAAAATCTGCAAGAAGTACGCCTATCCTCCTTTCGGGCGTTCCTCAGAGGTGAGCGAAAAGATTCTATTCGAAATTATGCGATGCCGTCTCCTCCATTTATGAAACGCGGAACGCAGGAGGGAGGATCCTTCGAAGAGACGCACGTTTCAGACACTCGCCGGAACTCGAGTTTCGAACACCAAGAGCATCTCGAAGGAAATCGAAGGCGTCAACAATTTGGCCGCAGTCCTCAACCCATCTTACCCGACCAGTTTCACCCTCACAGGTCTCTGAAAGCTACGTGTGTCCTCGTGTAGGATATCCGCACCGCATTATGGAAGCGGGGAAAGCTCAACATTTCTCTATTCCGTGCAGGTTTGGAAATGGCGTCGGCTATCATTGTCGAGTACACTAGTAAAAAGCGAACTGTGGACGACTTCAGAGCGAACGGCTCAGTCTCGACTGTTGAGGTTGTTTTCGAGGCCGATCAGTTCAGCCATCGCGGGAAAATGGTTCTGCCGTATTGCCGCTACACATTCTTATGTCGTTCGGTGAGCTGACAACAAGTCGTGACGACCTGTGAATTTCCGGATGCTTCTAAGAATTCCATCGATTTTTCGCAATGTCGATGGCGGAAGAATCGCGACCGCCGTCCCCAAGGACGAATACTCAATATTCTCTGAAACCGTGCAATGCTCAGGTGATCACCGATGTTGAGGGCCGAGTCTTTGAAACGCCGGATCTTTTTGGAAAAACTACGACGCGTAACCTGAAGTTTACCTGGGAGTCCAACGATCCTGACGACGAGGTCTATCTGTACCGCGTGGCCACGGTTCCGAAGAGCGAGTACAGCCACCGACTGCTGAATCTCAGCGCTGTTTGTATCCAGGACGAAGACATTTGTCACGGACTCAAGTACACGAACATAGGGAAGAAAATTCCTTTCGCGCAGTCCCGTGAGGTGGTCGAGCTCGATCCCAGGTAAATTCTCTCCCGGCTATTCCTGTCGACACTTCTCCTTATCGGTATGAGGCTGGAGCGACGCGTGTCTCGCTCGTGGGAATTAGAGCGAGAATTTTGTTCCTCAGGATCGAGGATCGCTCAACGAAGGTTGTGGAACTGAGTCCCGCGAGAACTCAATCGATCATTATCGACGGCGACATCACCGACACCGTGGGGCCTTCGTACTTTTTGATTCACTACTACCAACCCGACTTCCAAGGATTCGAGGCCGATGTGAAGATCGACCACAATGGCCAGGTTCAAGAAGGGAAGGTCTTCCTGGACTCGTGCGCTTCGAAAACCGGTTGTCGAGCTCGAGTCTACATTCATAATCAGAGGAGGGCTCTCGCCATGAAAATCAACGGTCGCTTCAGCGTCGAGGTGAGATCACCCCCAAATACCCGTTCGTTTCTCTGACTTCTGCCCCGGCAGAAAGCCTTCTTCCGCCCAAAGTAGTTGTTCTTCTTCGCTTGGAATCATCATCTCTCACCCTTCCCATGGCAGGTCTCGTTGCCGATCCGCAAGGAAGACGAGGACATGATGATAGCCAAGCACCAGAACAGAACATTCGATCATCACTCGCTCGGTCCCTACGGAAAGACGTGGCTCGAGCACGTGATCGTCACTCCGACGTCTTCGTCGAAAGATCTGTCTCCGCTCCCCTACGACACGTCGCAGAAGTTCATCGAAAGATGTATCGACACCAACTCCTATTACTTGGACCCATCGAATCTCTCGGAGTTCTGCAAAAGCAATCTTTTCCGCCTGACGACCGCCTTCAACAACGGAGCTCTGCGGTGTCAATGCGACGCGAAAGGCTCGAAAGGATTCGACTGTGAGAGCTTCGGCGGTCAGTGTCCGTGTCGTGACAACGTCATTGGCCGACGGTGCACCGACTGCAAGCCCGGCTACTTCGGATTTCCTGTTTGTAAGAAATGCAAGTGTCCCGAAAACGCCGTATGCGATAAGGTGAGTCAACGCTCTATAAACGATCCAGCCACGGAGGATCGACGCACAGAGAGGCAGAGATTAGGTTCTCGAATTATTCACTCATGGACTCATGGCTTCCCCATTCTCTGGTTCGCTCTGCCGATTATGACAAGCGAGAATTCTTAGTATGAGAATACTTTTCATAGAGCGCATTTTTCAAAAACGAGCTCAAAGTTCTCGACACCGTCTCTGTTCAGGTGACCGGAGATTGTCGCTGCCCGCCGAACGTCGTGGGCGTGAATTGCGACAGATGCAAGCCGACCTTCTACGATTACAACAAAGATAACGGTTGCGAGTACTGCGATTGCGCGGTCGATGGGGTGAAGGGCGGGAGCCTCCAATGCGACATCATCACCGGTGATTGCGACTGTCGGGAGAACATCGGAGACCGTAAATGCGATCGCTGTAAGAACGGTTTCTACGCCTACCCCCACTGCAAGTTCTGCGGATGTGATCAGAGAGGTGTCCGAGATGAGATCTGCGACAAAAACACCGCCGAGTGCAAGTGCAAACAAAACGTTGGAGGTGAGACTGAAGGCCCAGGGTCGATCGTTTTTTCCTGCGGCTCCGGGGACCGAGAGATAGCGAACCTGGATTTTCGACCGAGCGGTCATCCTTCTATGAGATAACATGGATTCTGCTTCCAGGAGCTTACTGCGAATCGTGCAGGCCGGGACATTTCTACTTGGAGGAACAGAACCCCGTCGGCTGCACCCGTTGCTACTGCTCCGGTAAGATCTCCGACTGCCAATCGGCTCCGATGCAGAAGACGAGCATCGTCGACGTCCTCGAGTGGAGCTTGGTGTTCGTGAACAACGCCACCCTGAACTTCGAGTCGCCCGAAGAACACGATTACGTCGACCTCAGCGCTGATCAAACGAGTTTACTCATTTCGGAGAACGATTTGACGCTTCTCGACCTCGACGCGGTAGCCTACGTGAAAGCTCCGGAAGCTTTCCTCGGTAACCGTCTCACATCGTATGGTGGGAATTTCTCCATTACGGTCACGTCTTCCGTTAGAGGCGGAGAGGCTTTCCTGGACAAGTTACCGGATATCGTTCTCCTTGGTGACGACACGACCCTGGTGCACGTCGCGGATTTCGACGACGTTCTCCCGTCGAATACGGTCAGGTTGAACGTTCCGATCAAAGAGACCTCTTTCAACCACGATCCGAGGACTCTCCGCAAAATCGCGACTGATCGATTCAGGTTCATGAACTTGCTGGGCAACGTTCAGGCTCTCTTCATCCGAGCCTCATACTTCAAGTCCCCTCGGAACATCACGCTCACAATATCGATGGACTCTGCGAAGCTAGTCGACGACATCGATGAGATCGAAGACCGGGTCAGGACCGTGGAGCAATGTAATTGTCCCACCGGCTACACGGGATTGTCGTGCGAGCATTGCGCCAAGGGCTTCTACCGACAAGGCAGTGCCTGCACGAAATGTGAGTGCAACGAGCACGCCCAGGAGTGCGATCTCCTCACCGGAAAGTGCATCAACTGCGAGCACAACACCGAGGGCGACCATTGCGAGAAATGCATCGACAGCTTCTACGGGAACGCTACGAACAAAACGCCGAACGATTGCCGCATCTGTCCTTGTCCGTTGGCGACTAAGTCGAACAATTTCGCGATCAGCTGCGAGGTGGACGTCGTAGACCGAATGATTCACTGCGTGTGTCCTGAAGGTTATACGGGCCCGCGTTGCGACGTGTGCGACGTCGGCTACGGTGGTCAACCCCTTGTCGAGGGCAAGTCCTGCGAGAAATGCTTCTGCCACAATAACACCGACCTGAGCGTCGAAGGGAACTGCGACAAGCTCACGGCTCATTGTCTCAACTGCAAGTACAACACGGCCGGCAAGAACTGCGAGAAATGCATCGATTGGTTCTGGGGCGACGTGCCCAATGGCCAGAAGTGCGCCGACTGCGAGTGCTACAAGGACGGTTCGGAGAGGTGAGTCGCGGTGGTCGAGGCTCGGATGCACTCGAGTTGCCAGCGAGACGATCCTGCTCCTCACGATGCTCCTCTTCCTCCAGGTGCGATCAAGCGACGGGTAAATGTATCTGCAAGCCGAACGTGATCGGGCTCAAGTGCGACAAGTGCGCGCCGCAGCACTGGGATCTAGCGTCGAGGAACGGCTGTAAGGCTTGCGAATGCGCTGAGGGGGCGGAAAACAAATCATGTGACCCGATAACGGGTGCTTGCACGTGCAAACCAGGAGTGGCACCCCCCAAGTGTGAAAAATGCGCCCAAGGATTCTGGAATCTGACATCGGCCGGTTGTCAGCCCTGCAAATGTGTCGTAAGCCACGCCATGGGAATGAGCTGTGATCAAGAGACGGGTCAATGCGTGTGTCTCCCAGGAGTCATCGGCGAGAACTGCGAAAGGTGAGCGAACGTCCGAGCCGCGTCCCAAACATTCACTGCCTGGGGCTGGCTCCATACGGAAAAAACTCCAAAATGTAGAGGAGTTCGCGTCTCATTCGGACCTCGGACTAAGGAGTCTAGCTAACCGTTTTTTGCGATGTTTCCGCCAGGTGTCGCGAGCGTGACGTGTTCGTCACTGGAGAAGGGTGCTTGACCTGCGACTCCTGTCACCACGAACTCTTGGATTCTACAGACGTCCTCAGTGCGGGAGCCTATCTGTTAGAGGCGGAGACGAATGAGATCAACTTGGCTGTGCTTAACTCTCGTGCGCTGAAACACTACGGCAATGAGACCGACAACTTGCGGGCTGCTCTGGATAGATACAAGTGAGAACTTCAAATTCTTCTTGGGGAACTTTGCTCTATCGATCGCGAGCCGGATCGATGCGGTGGTTTTTGCGCACTTTGCAAACTAGAACGGAAATTATCTCCTGAACGAATATATCCGACGGTCCTGAGCACGTGTCCCGTTTTTTTCCAGAACTTTGTCCACGAGCAACTCGAACGATAAGATCGACGATGAGTTTTCGGACCTCGGCGTGAAAAACGTCGACCTCGTGCAAAGGATTGAAAAAATGATCTCGGAAAACGGGGAGCTTATGGATGATGTGCCAGCGAATGATATCGCTTATAAACAAATCCAAGCACTCCAAACCAGAGTCAAGAATTCGCTCAAGAAACTCCGAGACTATTCAGCGAACCTTGGAAATCAGATGAGCAACAACATCCCGCAGCTTGAAGCCGAGGCTCGCGCCCACAAAAATCTCGTTGACGAGATCAGTGACGAGGTTCGTGCTGTTTGCGATTGCGTGACTTCAGTTCTGCAGTGTTTCCTACGGAAGACGAGGGGTCCCGTATTCAACTACTGGAGACTGGAGAGTCGCTCTCTAAGAGACGGGATTCATCGTTCCTCATCGGCATAGGGCAAGCTGATCCTCGGGAAAGGGGATCCGAACACTCGAATCACAAGTCGACCACGCTCATTTTCCTTTCAACTGACTCGCTTCCAGGTGGAAGGTCAACTTTTGGATACCAACACTTTCATGAACGCTGTTTCGTTGTATACCCTGAAGAAGAGTGAGAAGTCAATTTATCTCATCATGAAAATCCAAGAGGTGGGAGGACGAGCGTAATTCAGGATGGGGATCCGGAATACATGGGCGAGGTCACGATTCCTGATCGCACTCTTCTTCCAGGTGGAGCTCCAGCAGGAGAAGCTGACGAACCTGTCCAAACTCTTGAACAAGGCCCAAGAGAAACGGTCGCAGGTCGCAGAAACCATTCGACAAGTGAACCAGGTTTGTGATCCGATACTCGGTTTCTGCTCCCATGCGGGAAAATTCGGGTGCGAGTGACTTGGGAGGGCACCATGGAAGCATCCATATGTTGAGCTTCGCATCTGGATCATGTATTAATTGTCCCATAGAAAATCGCGGATTTGAAAGATACGAACATGATTCGGAACTTGATCGCACAATCAGCTTCGAGCAAAGAAGCCATCGAAGACCTGATTCGGCGATTCGACGGATCCGTTCGAGAAATCGAGACTCTGTCCAAGAACATGACGGAAATGAACGCGCAAATACTGCAGTTATCCAGCTCAACCACTGCCAAGGTATAAGGGAACATGAGGGAACACAGGAGAGGACACGACAGAACGCATGTGGCGACGAACGGGGGTCCCATTCGATTGAGAGAATTTCGTACGATTATTCGATTACAGCAAGCGGAGCTGCGTGCGGCCAAAGGTCAGCTCAGCGCTCAAGAGAGAGAGCTTGAGGAAACCGTGAGCGAGGCCGTCAGACACAAGAACTCGCTAGTGGAGAGCGTGGAGCAGGCCAAGCTGAAACTTTCGAAGGAGGGCGACGAGTCCCACCGCACCATGGAGGCAGCCAACAGGTTAGTGTCGATCATTCAGGAGAACGGATGGGGGTGGACGAACTTCTCACGATTCTGTGATTACTTGTTCCAGCTACACGAATCTGAAAACGAGCGTCGAAGAAAGCGAAAAATCGGTCGACGATGCGCACGGAGCTTCAGCCGTCGTCGAGGAGTTGAAGCTCAAGGTCAACAAGAGCGTATTGGCAGGTGAAGAGCTCCAGCAGGAAACAATCTCGCTCTTCGACGCGATACAAGAGGATCTCAAGACGGCCATCAAGCCCACGCAGGCTGCTCTCGACGAGGCAGAAGCTCGGGTGAACGATTCGCTGTATCGTGATCTAGCCAAATATGACTTCTCACCGGTCGGGAGCAATGGAGTCGAGTTCAAGGGTATCGATAGACTCCAAGACCGCGCTAGATCGGCGAGTGATCGCACAAATCAAGTGAGCTTTCACTCAGGGCAGAATGATCACCGTCGATTGACCGGAATTCCGCCCTTCGTATCGAGAGCCAAGTCCATACCGAGAATTTTTCCCATCAGGTGATCGGACAGCTCAAGAACGGGACTGGAGAAGCTGGCTCGCTAATTACGGTCCTGAAGTCGATCAAGGACACCGATGATGAAATTTCCACCACCGAGCGGGAGATGAAAGACAAACCCTTGGCCTGGCGCCTCAAGACTCTGGAGATGAGGAGCCAGACCGGTGCCACCATGCAGGAGAGACTTGCGTTGAATCTCGAGAGGCTCAGGTGAAGAATAATGAGAAACTAGCTGTCGATGAGCTTTCGCTCTACGGGAGGTTTCGATCAAGAGGCGTTGCAATTTCTTCAGATAGGCTCCAAGAGGACTTGGAGAAACTCGACTCGGCCTTGCTATCTTTCTCTGAAAGAGAATTTCAAGAGAATTCAACGTCTCAAGGCTTACCGATTGGGTTTCCCGAGCCGCTGGGCTCCGAGGGGTGACCGTGACTCACTCTGCAGTGATGGAAACAGGCTAGGCAGCACACTTGAGCCGATTGATCCCTTTCAGAGAGAAAATTCTGGTGACCCGAGGGATCGCGAACAGCATCGCGGTCGGGCTCGAACTCCGAGGAGGTCCGGATTCGCGACTGACCTACGTGAAACCGAGCGCTCTGAAAGACATCAAGGCCTGGATGGACATCGGAATGTACGTGAATACCAGCCAGGCCAGCGGTTCGATTCTCTACATCGGTCCGGACGAGAGCGACGATGTCGACGTCGACTATCAGAACCGAAGCCGACGCCAATCCTCCCAGGACCGGAACGCCATCGGGGAGTATCTTCTCATCAAACTCGAGAACTGGAGAGTGGCCGTGGACTTTGCGCTCGACCGCAGCATCGTCCAGCACTTTGTCCACGACCAAGAGCTGAAGCCCGACTCGACCTACTTCATCAACATCAAGAGGGTCGGAACCCAGATACAGATCTCCGTCGACGATAATCGCAAATCGTTCAGGCTCAATCCCGGATTCTTCGTCTTCCGAGTCGACGAGGACTCACCGATTCTGATTGGCCATGCCCCGACCGAAGCCAAGACGGTAGCTTTCCGGGGACAGATAACAAACGTCGTCATCAACAACGTCGCCATAGGTCTCTGGGAGTTTAAGAAACGTGGGCTCGCAACACCGCGTGGGGCCAAACCCCAGCCCGCCGACAGAACCCTCCAGAAAATTGACGAGGAATGGGTCCGTTTCGGTAGTGACGGATACGCGGTTCTGAAACCGACCTACATGACGACTTTCGGTGTCGGCAAGTCGCTGAGTCTCACTTTCAAGACCCATGCTCCCGAAGGACTTCTGTTCGTCTACGACAACGCGACTCGCGACCGATACTTCATCCTGCAGATCAGGAACGGACGACCTGAGATCCTGTTCAAGTTCGGCGACATCGCGGTCGGGAACTTCTCGGTCGATGAAGCGGTCAATACCGGTAACGTGACCGGACTTTACGTTTCGATATCGGACGAGGCGATTCTGCTCCAAGTGGACAGTTCCGAAGGATCGAGGCAGAACAATTTCGCCATCCCGCGCGAGGCTCTGAACCGCGCGGAGCTGCAGAGCTTGGAAGGTTTAGCCTCACATTACAAGATTGGCGGGGTCCCTCTGAGTGAGCGCAAGAGTTTCTATCCGGGAATGGTGCGCACCTCGTTCGAAGGATGCATCAAATACTTCGCCATGACCTCGACACCGCTGACGTTGAGAGACATTAAGAACTCCTTCGGAATCACCAGAGGCTGTCGGAGCGAAGTCGTACAGAAACTGTCGCTGCTCGACGACTCTGCGCAGAGTCACAAACATCTCAGACTGGATAACGTGGATATGGTTAAGCTTCCGACAACTTTCACTTTCCGATTCAAGACGGTCAAGAAGGACGGATTGATATTCTTCGCGAGAAATGGCGATCCCATCGACAGCCAGATCATAATCGGCCTCCACAACGGGAACCTCGTGGTTTCCACCAAGCCCGGCGACACTTATAAAGCCGGCGCCATGCTCAACCTTGCCGACAATAAATGGCATTACGTCGTGATAACGCTCAACAAGAAGAAACTTAGCGTCGCGATAGACGACGGATCGCCCATCACTCCGCGGCCCCATCAGGAAGGCTGGAAAATCAGTGCTCCCTTCTACTTCGGAGGTTTGGACGACGAAACCTCCGGCAAGGTTCACGAGAACGGTCAGTACGTCCAGCGACAGTTCAGCGGTTGTCTCGCCGATTTCACGATCGACAACAAAGAGATAAATTTCGGCCTCGGAAACAACGTCGGAGCCACGCTCTCGTCCTGCAAAGCCGTCATCCAGGAGAACAAGAAACGCGAGAGCGATCTCCTTCGCGAGGAGTCCGACCCCCAGTGCGTCCTCAAATACGGACCGGGCTTGCCCTACAACCTCACATCCGGGTCGGACGCGGCTTTCCGATTCGGTTCCATGCTCTACACACGAAGTGAAACCGTTCTCGACGCAAGCGAGAAGAACAAACTGCGTTACGACTCAGTCATCGAGCTCGATTTCAGACTCGGACCGTATTTCGAGGACGGGACCCTATTCCTGGCTTCGAGCGCCACAGTCAACCAGACGATGGACTACGTCCTAATCTACATGTCTGGAGGAGCAGTTTTCGCAACTTTTGAACTGAGCGGAGGCCCCTTGACCGTAACGATGCCCGGCCGTTTGTACAACGACGGAAAGTATCACCAACTGAAGTTCGAGAGACATGCGCAACAGGGCGCCATCTATGTCGATGGTGAGAAGGGCACCGAAGCGAAATCGCGGGCCCAACATCTAGATTCCGTGGACAAGGTGTTCTTTGGGGGTATCCCTGAGGAACATTCGAACTTTTTCGCCGCAAAGCAGCCCCAGGCTCGCAAGGAGTCCTTCCTATCCTTCCCTGGCTGTATCAAGGACATCAGGGTCAACGGCAACGGGATCGTGCCGACGGATTCGTTCGATCGGGTCCTGCCTTGCGATTCCGGTCAGAGAATCGAGGACGGAACGTACTTCGGTTATTCATCCGGAAAACACTTGCATGTGTCGATGTACAACAACTTCAAGATCACCTACACAACGCGGGTCTCTCTCAGGGTATGTTTAGCTGAGTTTTCTCCCTCCCCCCCCCCCGTGAGGTCCATCAGTCGAGCTCCCCCCCCGCCGTCACCTCTGGACGGGGAAATACGTTCGTCTAGGGGATCTCCGAAATGTGACCTCATTCCCCTTCTCCAGATCAAAGCGCGCCGCGCCACCGGTCTTCTCTTTTTCACCCAAGACTCGGGGCGGCGTAACCACCTGGCCCTGTATCTTCGGAACGGCACTGTCGTTGCCCAACTGAAGTTCGACAACTTTATTGTGAAGGTGAGAGAAGTTCTGAGAGGTTCGAAGTTCCGGATCGAATGTCTTCAATGGCTCAGGAACAGATGCCGAAGACATTCAGGTTGACCCCTTCAAGTTTATCAGCGATCCGTACTCGCTAACGGGTGGCCTCCCGGCCGGATCTCCGCAAAGAAGATTTCCCAGCTTTGGGAAGTTTCGTTGATTTGGAGTCATTCTTTGGGATGGAGGGAGGACTGACTCAATTTACGTTTCCAGGCTGAGGTCTCGCGAAGCTTAATCTGCGATGGTGAATGGCATTACGTAATGCTGACGCTCGAGTCTGTCGTCATGAATCTGGACGTCGACGATCACGTGGAATCAGCCACCGAGGAGAATTGGATTCCGTTCCCGCAGGAGATATCCGATGGACCAATTCATTTGGGTGGTTTACCGAAGTGAGTCTTTTTCCATACCGAGTCGCCCAGGTATCCTTTGAATGGAGCGTATAGAGCGTTTCGGGAAGAATGTCTCGAGATGCTTTCGATTTCGCCGTCACACGCTCGGGTTTCCGGAACCCTGCGTAGGACTCGGATGCCGGGGAACAGACAATGAGAGCTTTATCCGATCGAGAAATCGCCCTGGAAACCGCGCTCGTTTACTAACTCGAATGATTGAAATTTTGCAGGGGAGTCCGCGAGCCGACTCTCGAGACGTCGACTTCGTTCGGCGGATGCATCAAAGACTTCTTCATAGGACCTTCGGAAGGCTCATCGGCTAATTCTGTGAACCCATTGCCCCCCAAAGTCAACATCGCCAGCGTTGCGAAGAATCTCGTCGGTGAAATTTATCTATCGAGCTGTTACAGTAATTGATGAGTCCTTCAGGCAATAACCACCAGAACAATAAATTCTTCGAAGCATATGCGAACTACCTCACGTGGACTCTTTCAGAACCCATTCTCAGGTTTATTTTACAGATCATATTCCAAGACCGGTCTCGAGTCGCTATTCGGAAGCGACCGATTGCTCATCTGACGAACCGACGTTGCGATATGTTTCGAGCCGTAAATTGATCAAAGCTCTTCTTGATGTCACCCGACAAGTTGTGCATGGGGGATATCGATCCCGCGATTCGATTATCCCTCCTCGGTTGGATATTTACAGGTCGACCGTCAGCCGAAACGAACGCGAGTCTGGGAACTCAGGCAGCCTCGACGCTGAGCGACGAAAATCAACGGGATCTCATCTTCGCTAGTACGCTAGGTAGTACGATTTTCGAAGAGTCAGAGCTCGCCTAGAAACAGGAAACTATTCAACATTCTGTCAGATTCCGACCCTGGCTGACAGGCGTCGGAAAAAAACACCTGGAGCCTCCGGGATCTTTCGCGGAATCCGGCTGTTTCGAAGAGCTACAGGAGTGTGAAGCTCCTTCTCTGAAAAGCGACTCCTCTCAATCAGCACGGGCAGAACTCGGGTGGAACGGCCGCCGAGTCGCAGGTTCTCTCTTTGGGTAGAGCGTTCGTGATAAGACTGATGCCTTTGTGGTTTTTTGCTCGTCTTCCGTGACACAGCTGCAGCATGCTCGCGTGGAGGTCGTAGGGTGTGACCAATCGATAGGTATTCACAAGATTTCGGAACTGACGGAGATCACTCAGTTTTTCACTTTCGTAAGGATCAACCAGCTTCGGCACCGACATGAAACCAAGGGGGAGATTTTCTTCGAGCGCGCCCTGGTCCGTGCCCGTCAGAGGACCGTTTGTGGAGCCGTGATCCGAGACCAGCATCAGCACGGTGAACTGGAGGAGACCAGAGAGTCGCAAGCTGTCTATAAACTCTGACAGGACTTCGTCTAGGAACAGCGGTCCCGATGGATGCGCAGTTGAGAGCTGGTCCAACCATACGTAGCCGAAGAACGGGCTCTTGTCGGCGTGCAGTACGACGGCATCGAAGAGATAGTCCAGCAGGAATTTGGCCCGTGGTTTGCCGAAAACGCACGTCTGATTCTTGTAGGCCTTCTCGATTGACTCCAGGAACGGCTGAGGATAGAATGAAGTCGGGAAATCCAGGAAGCCTTTCCTCCCGTTGGCGGTGAACATGCCGCGGCTCGGCGTTTCCTCAGCGAAGAAAGTCGTGAAACCGTATTCGGCCATTTCGTCCCAGATATATCTCGTCCAGTTGTCGAAATACTCCTTCGGCAGTGGCTCCGAATCGTAAGCTTTACCCGTGAGCAGAGGCATCCGATTCGCGATAGAAGTTTTCCCTATTCGGCTGTAACCGTAGAGCTCCTGGCGTTGCTCCAGGTCGGCAGTCAATTTTTGGTAGGTCGTCGGCATCGTTCTGCGGAATGTCAAGCGCGACAGCGACGAGATTCCCACCACAATCACATTCAGAAAGTTCACGTCGAAGTTTTCCGCCCCTTCGCTTACAGCCGACCTCGCCAGTAGAAGAGGCTGTTTGACGGAGCGCCCGTTCGGGAGCGAACACTCGATCCAGAGCGCGTCGAATTGCGGGCAATCGCCATTGGTCAGAGGTCTACGTAAATGCTCCGGCAGACTGCCCGTCAATAGGTAGTCCGGTACAATTTCTTCTTGAGCGAATCCGATATACGAACAGGTGATCTGAGAGACCGAAACATCGTAGTCCAGGAGCAGGATGTCTTCCAGGAGCTCGGGACAGCTGCGATCCAAGACGATTCGAGTGCCGAATATGGCTCGGCGGTCGAGCGGAGCTTCGCATCGGGGGCTGTAAGAACCGAAGAGTCTCTGTCTGGTTTTGAAATCGAGAGGATCGCTGCTCGGTATCCGACAGGTTTCGGTGTCCACACCGTAGCTCACTGCGCTTCCCTTCTCTTCGACGGAGCCTCGGCGTCCTCGAAGGACGAAGTAGTAGAACTGCACTGCGATCAATAGACACCAAAGGAGACAGAAAACCCAGACGTAGAACCGCACTTTCCGAGGTGACATGCTCCGAGCGTCGAGGCGACACCGCTCTGTTATTCGACGATTAGACCTGGATAGATGTCCCAACATAGCTCGCATTTTCACACGCAATGCTCAAGTTGATCCTCCTGACCGACCGACGGAAGAGCTCGGATTGTTGAGGGTGAACAACTCGATCGACTCAATTCTAGCGGTCCGACAGACTCGCGGCTGTGTGGACTCGGATGAAAGGTAAAATGACCGCCGCATTCTGATAGCTTGCTCGCTCGCTCGTCCTTTCGACGGCACAACTATGAAGTCTCGCTCGAGTTTTGAGCACTCCGATGCTAGTGGATGCTGATCAGACCGAAATGCTCATGTATGATACTAGGTATAGGTATTTTCTCAGAACGGCGCGGCGCCCCGAAATCGTCGGGAGGGAATATCCCCAGAGTTGGGGGAGAAATGCCCTCGGTGGCAGGCAGGTCTTGATGTGAGCTCGAGTCATTGGCTCAATGTCTGCTTCGAAGCTCATCCGACGGAAACTGCAACGTCAGGACCCATGACGCGACAACTCCCAAGAAAATGGTGTGCGATCACGGGAAAAACGCCGACAGGCTCGCTGGGAGTTGAGTGTATGAGAGAGCGAGTCCTAGGATCGGCGCTCGCGAGGGTTGGAGATCAGCGAGTTTCTATGAACAAAAATGAAATTCTTTCCGTCGGACTCCGATGGTGATCGGGAACTCTCTCGCTCGTATGGAAGCCTCCGAGAGCCTTGGAGTTGGCGAAAAAAATTCAGAGAATACGCCTCGGTTCTCGGGCTCAGCTCTTCAATTCGAGCGCTTGCCTAAGGCCGTCGTAAGTTAAAAGATGCTAACGGTTGTAGTTGATAGTTTTCCAGCAGAATTTGTTAACCCTTGCTAACTGCTCTAACCCGCCCGCTCGCGGATCGACTGGGTTCTTCACTCGTTGGTGGGAAATACTTCGTAACCGACACCCGTTTGACGTACCCGCCCTCATTAGCGCTTCTCCGTCATTTCTCACAGCTATAAAGTCGCTTTACGCCGTTTTCATCGCAGAACTTTCGCGGCAAGCGTGACTGGAAGCTAGTGGTTTGTGTCCGTTTTGATCTGTCTGTGTTTTCTGCGTTCTCTGTTCCTTTTTTCGTGTCGTACTGTCTGGGTCGTAAACCGAGGTGAGACTTTCGCGAGTTGTCGCCAATCTTTACTTCCTTGGATCTTCCTGAGATTTTTCAAGAGACGAACCACATGCTGTTTGTTCCAATATTTCTGGAAAATTCAGATGTCTGCCGTCCTCCGTTCAACGATCGCTCTGGTGGGGATTTGTTTGGTGATGGCTCAGCAAGAAACTTCGAGTGTGGAGGACGTTTACCCAATCGGAGCAGGATTCGAGAGAAGCGAGGAGAAGCTAGGCCAGCAATTCTACAATCCGAGAGCCCCTGGAGCGGTCCCGAAAGTGAGTCTATTCCACCGTCCTCCGAAGAGCGGCTGCCACTTTGATCGAGCTAGAGCAAAAATGACTCTAAGTTCACGGAGACCCACAGCTCGTTTCTCTGAATAATTCTTACCGGGATGAATGATTAATTATCGGTGTGAAGGTCGATCTCTTCGAGGGGAACCTGCACTATCTCTTGAACGTCTTGGACATTGCAAGTATTGTTTCGAGCCTGAGCTCTCGATTTTCCTTCGCAGGATCGCCCTCAGCCGTATGACTTCGGTTTCAATATCCAGGACGAGTACGGCAACAATCAATTCAGACAAGAGACAGGAGACGCCAACGGGGCCGTGAGCGGGACCTACGGCTACACCGACGCATTCGGAATATTCCGACGGTTCGTATTTGTTTCCCTGTACTAGATGGGTATCAACGGAGCTGCTTTCGAAAAGTGGCTCTCAGAGCAAAGGGGATAATATCCATTCCAGGGTGAAGTACGTCGCTGACGCAGCCGGCTACCGCGCTGAAGTGAAGTCAAACGAGCCCGGACTGAAGCAAGAGAGCCCCGCCTCAGCCGTTTTCCAGATCGACGAACCCCCTCAAGGAGCTTATGTTCAGGTGAGCGGTCTCCCTTTTCTCTCCGGCACCTCCGAGAGGTCGGTCAATGAGATTTTGACGCGCTCCCACCCACACCATCCTCATCAGTCGTCGATTTTTCTCAGGTGGCCAACGGACATTCAACAAGCCTTGTACAAACGGATCGAAGAGTTCCCGCCAGACGATTCCCTGCAGCTACATCGGCAGCCAGGGCTTGATCACACGATCGGAGCGCCCGACGAGACCCACAGATTCCCGGAGCCTGCATAATTTCGTGCCGTTATGTGTATATTAGCCCTGAAATTTGAACAATGTCGAGAAGATTGCATGTCAGACTTGCGGCACCTCTCGTCTACTCATGGTGCGTGATAACTCGATCCATAGCCCTGCGTGAGCGAGATCATCCTACATATGTTGAAATTCTCTGGGTTAGAGTTCTTCGAAACTTTGTGAGTCCGAATACGAGAGGGGGATATTACAGAATTGCTGCTAGTGCAGAGGAACGCGAATGGGATATCCGTCTTCCCAGCACTCGGAATTCGAAAGGAAAACCGAGTTGATAACGGCCTAGATGATAACGAATCGTTGAAATCTCAGTACTTCGTCACTTCGTCATATGTTGGCGGCGAGCACGACCTTAGCTCTCGAATTTTGCCTGGTACACTAGAAAACGATGGCCGCCCTGGCGAAACTAGCGAAGGAAGTCGGGGAGCATCAGCTGGATGAAATCGACGTATGGAGATCTTCTTGTCTATATTTGAGTAAATGCCCGTGACTGACTCTGCCGCGTCATCGAGGAGAGTCGCCGTATCAAGCCGTATCCAGGAATCTCGGACCGCCCGAGGTCTCACCCCGATAGCTATCATGCGGCTCCTCGGAGTCGTGAATTCCGGGGATTCCGGAATTTTCCCTACCGGAATTCTCGAAAGCTCTCATATCCCTGATGAATTCCTGAAACACCGTAATCCAACACTCATCCCACATATTTTGCTCCCAGAAACGAATCCTCGAGCTTCGAAAGCTGCCCGACCTGGCAATCGAACTAGGTCCGGAGAAAACCAGGAAGAAACTTCTCCCGCAGAAAACCATGTCGATGGAGCAGGAAAACGAGCGGGTTGTACGAGAGTACGCGAAATTACTCTCCCAGATGGTCGAGGAAGTTGGCGGCGAAGCTTTCATCGATTGTCTATTCGACCAACTCAAGGCCATCATCAACATGGCTTTTATGACTATATCGTCCGAAGACAGAGAACAAGTCGCCAGTGCGATAATCACGCTGAGTGAAATGCTCAAGAAGGAGGAAGTTGACCGACTCCTCATGCCTCTGGTCGAGGAATTGGCTCAAGATTACTTCTTGAAAAAGTGTCTGTGCGCACCTCTGCTGCCGACAGCGTATAAGAGGAGCTCGCGTCCCTCGAAAGCTTACAATCTCTTTCTGGAACTCTGCAATGATTCGGCAGATGTCGTGGTTCAGGCTGCCTCGACCGTACTTCCGGCCATGATCGAGTGAGGAATTTCGCCCCTTCCGCGGAGTCGGAATCTCTTGTCATCTCTGAGCATAGAATATTCCGTCCCGAATTCTCCCAACCGATTTCCTTCAGAAACTCCCTGGTTTAATTTCCTCTCGAGCTTCAATATTCACAGACTCTTGGAGAAAGTCGATGTTGATCTTCAAGAAGTTGTGAAAAAACTGGCAATCGAAGCATCCATCCAATCAACTCGGATGAACGCTGTGTTGGCTCTGGTAGATCTCATTCCTAAAATAAGCGATGAGCAGAAGGATAACCTCATCCAAAACGTACTCCGGACGATTATACACGACAAGTCTGATGAAGTGCGCGTTCTCCTCGCATCGAAAATACCAAGCATCCAAGCCAATGTTGGGTATCCCCTGATGAAGGGTCTCGTTAAGTTTGTCGTCGGCCACATCGAGAAGGGCGGCACGAGAGTCAAGTGAGTCTCTGATTATTCTCCTCTCCGGCACCTCGACGAGTCGTTCTTGAGGATCATCGGTGATCCGGGTGCTCATGATTCGAGCAGCGACGATCAATGCACGAAAATGTAAGGCTCTCGACTCCTTCTCAAGGGTCAAGGCCGTGGAAAATTTACCGGAATTCATGAGAGGATTCCCCGCGGATGACATCCCCGGCTTGGTGGGACGTCTCAGGAATTTGAAAGAGCTCGTAAACTCTGGTGAAAAGCCGGAGAAGACCGAAGATATCAGAATCGCTCTAGCACGGACAGTTACCCAGCTGGCGAGCATCGTGCGTAAGTGACCGAGTCTCCTTTGTCTTCGGACCTCGTCACCATGGAATCTCGAGAGATGCCGCGGAGTTTATCTAGCGATCTCCTCCGCAGCGCTTGACATCTACCAGGACGAGTATGTGCCTCTTATCGAAGAGTTGCTTCTGGATGAAAGTCCGAAAGTTCGCGAAGCTCTCGTGAGCAATATCAAACCTGTCGTCCAGCTGATCGGGCAGGAAAAGTTCGTTAACACTTTCCAGGAACTCGTCTCCGAAATGGCAAGTCATGCCAATTGGCGAGTCAGGCTATCCGCCCTGAACGCCATGGCAATCATGAGGTTCCCGCCAGACACGGTAGCCGCTCTGATTACGAGCCTCATGAAGGACGAGGTGCGAACGACATGCGCTTTATCGTGTTGCATCCATCATCCGAGGAGATTTGATTCTAAAGTTTCGAAAAAATGTGCGCAGTGCTTCGAGTTGCGATCCCTCGCTGCGGCTCACGTTCGGGAGATCTTTTTGAAATATTCCGCCGAGGCCTGGCTTCTCGAAAAAGTCCTACAACTGATACAGGAATTGTCCTATTCCATCGACAAGGTCGGATTCCGCGTCACCGCCGCCAAGGCGGTCGAGGCCGTCAGCCAAGCTACATCGGCCGAGCGCATAGATCAGTAAGCTCCCAGCCTCACGATAGGGCATTGAAGCTCGATCAAACCTGGAGTGAATCCGGGTCTCGGAACAGCGGGCCGCTCGCATTAATTAGGCGTTGTGACGGCTTATAATGATCGCGGCCATGAATGCTCCTTCCAGATTCGTTTTTCCAGTCCTAGAACGTCTAAGCAGAGACAAGCTCCCTGCTGTGAGACTCAACGTCGCTCGATGTTACGCCAGCATGCTGATCAATGACCAAAATTTGGATGAGGACAAGAAGTTCGTGGCGAGCGATAAGTTACGCGCCCTCTCAAAAGATACGGATTTCGACGTCAAGCGAGTAGCTTCGAGGAGCATATACCGTGAGTGCAATGTTCCTGTTCTGTTTCAACGGCAGATGATCCTTCAACGCGATTATTTCGTCCAGATATCGACTGATCCATTTATTCTCAGACCTGATCGGGCGAAACATGCAGTCCTTCACCGACACCATGAGTTCCTTGAATTAATTAGTTCTTTGTTCACTGACGACTGACGACATCTTGAGTTGACCGATAATAAAAGTTGATTTAGGTCATTCGGCAGCTCAGCATCCACTATGAGTGTCCCGAGCCGTGATAATTTCTCTCGATCGATAACGCGGATCTACCAGAACACATGCTCGCATATTCACAAGTGAAAATCATCCATATCCATCCGCGTAATTCAGACTCCACCATTCATGGGTGCAGCTCAGAACGGAGTTTTCCGAGCACTTCATCTGATCAGTGCGAAGTCCTTCATCCCTGATTGCTAAACCAGCATTCAGGCTTCGTTCATGGGTTCATGGGATTGGTGAAAATGTTTGTTTATCTGAGCTTGGCTCCAACGGTGTCTGTTCCGTCTCGCTCCGCGGACTCCTCGAATTCGGTAGTGTCCTTCACGGCATTGACTTCTCTTGTCGTTCTGGTTGAGGCTACCCAAGCGGTTCCCCTCGACCTTGTTCGCCTGGTAGTCTCTGCCCTTCCGGAGTCTCGCACTGCGGTGCCGGATACGGTCTGCGTTGTGCGCCTGGTCGTTCTCCTCCACGCTGTCGACGCACTGGTCGGTTTCGGTAATGTAGAAGATATCCTGGTGATCGGCGCAGGAGTCTTGAGCGTAGGTATCGTCGTGCTTCCATCCGATGGAGTGCCGGCGTCAAAGGGGGAGGTTCTCTCGCCCGATGTATGTTCAAGCGTTGACTGCACGACCTCTGCGAGAACAGTACAGCGAGAATTCGTAACCGTAAATCAGTGTCCTCCGTTGAGAATGATTCTGGGATTCGACGCGAGACTGCCCTGCGGAACGTCTTCCATCCTATTGTAGTTCTAGTCTGACTGAGTTTACCTGATATCGGCGTCTCGCTCTTCGGTGTGAGAAAATGATCGGAATCGTCGATTTCTTCGCGAACCCAGAAAACGAAATACACCACTATACCAACGAGGAGCGCAGACAATATCACGTAGATTCCCCCTTCCTCGGATATTTTTATTGAGGCCAATCCGTAGACCTTCGTGAAACCTGTCGTTCCTTCTGCTTGTTCAGCCTTCGCTGCTGACGAGGATCGAACTATATGAAAGGGGTTCGACTCCATGTTAACGAGCTGACTCGATATATGACTCGGTCTGTGTCTGTAGTGTGATCAAGAATAGGATGCGATAAATCTCGGTAAATGATCTCGGTATTCGAGATGAGGGATTTTAAATGGCGCGAGTTAGAAAATATTTCACCGCGACTACCCGACTCTAGAGAATTTGTCGATTCTGAATCCATCATGGGAAGTCAGTGCGAGTTGATCCGGGCCACGAGCCATGTCTTTGCACAACGTTGTTTTCGATGTCGGGCTCGGACCAGTATCTACCCCATCTTACCCGAAATTAGGGTTTCACGAATGATTGATGCGGATGGAACGATTCAGTTTAACTTTTTCTCTTCTCTATCCACTTTCCGTGCTCATCAAGAAGTTCGTCGCCTGTTGATTTGCTTCTGGGTATGCAATGATCGGGAAGGAGGTTCTTGGTGTCAGCTGGTAGGCAAATCTTGTCGTTCTGTTCGTTGACAAGCGCCCACATTCGAAGCTCCATAAAGGGTCTAGGAGGGCACAGCTGCCTCGAAACACAGATCCTCTCTGCTTGACGAAACCTGTAGGTATCATCGAGCTCTCAGTCAGCTAGCTGAAGAGCGAGCCCCGCAGACGAGAGCCGAATCGGCTCATCGCCCCCGTCGGAAGTGAACGAATCGAAAGCTTGCAGTGTCCGAGTCCCGTATTGGCGTCAGAGATACCAGAATCGCATCGCTATACCCACTCGCACTCGAAATAATTAGCGTAGAGCTCCTCCCATGGACCGGTCGGGTCTTTCGAGCACACCGGCTCGTCGACCAAGTGCGGAGCCAGAGAGACGGCGAACAGTGTGTTCTCGCAGCTGGCGGAGTCGAAATCCATGCATTGGGTGAGCATCCACCAGGGTGAAACGAGGATGTTTCTCACGGTATCTTGAAAAGTCAGAGGGGTCGCGAAGAAATCGGAACATGTTCTGAAAAGATTCGAGAAGTTCCGGGCGAGCTCACAGGTACTTGCGGTCGTGTAGCTCGATCCGAGTTGGTATAACTCCGCTTCTCTCGATAGCAGATAGCTCTCGCTTAGACTCAGTTTTCCGAGGAACTTTGAGAACCTCAAAAAATGTCTCGCGGGCAGAGATAGTTTGCTTTCGATCACGTCGAGGATTCTGGAAAGATTTCGGTGCGCAGATCCCTGATTGAGCGCAGACAACGACATCGCCCACACATAATCCGTGTATGGCGCAAGGTCCCGCATGTGACTCGATATCTTTGATTCTATAGCCGGGGTGACTGTCGGGGACAGTGACAACTCCTCCATTTGAGCCTTGAAATCCGCCAGATGAGCCTCGAAGGAATCCGAATCATCGACACTGGCTGACTTGCTCCCTCCCGGGAAGCATTTTCTAGGAACTCTGCTGCGACAAAGCTGAGATCTGTGCAAAGCCATCGCGACGAATAGGACTCTCATTTGATGCGAGGCTTGAGCACCCTGCTGATCTAGAGACTCGCCGCGCAAGGTCAACGAGAGCAGATTCGTCACGCTGTTCGCCTGCTTACAGGATTTTTTAGCGGTTTCGACGGCGGTCTTGAACTCCTCGGCACAGGGACCTGCAAGTCGGCCGAGATTAGCTTCGAGCATTCAGATGTGTTTCTTGGAAATCAGAGAGAGATTTACCTTTGAAGAACGCTTCCCTGGACGCTCTTAGAGCTGCGCCGGGCTCGATAGGCGCGAAAACAGATGTAGTAAGGATCGTGTAAGTCGTCAAGCACAGGATAGGGACGAGAAAAATCAACTCGAAATGTTTCTTCTTCCTTTTGAGAGAGCGTTTACTCGTCGTCCAGAAACTCTCATTATGCTTCAAAATGCTGATCGGTCGAGCCAAGATCGGGCCATCACTCGATTCTCTGATTATTGTCCGCATCTCATATGAGTCGAGAGTCGTCGTTCACGCCATGAGTAAACTCTAGATATATTTTGACGATTTCCTCATACTCTGGAGCGAGAGCGCCTGCATCAATCTCAACCAGACTACGGAAAGTCGTATCTTATGTTTTCCCGTGACATCCGCGCATTCGATCCTCGAAGGAATCGCCCTTTCGCGGGATGGTTTCAGTCTTCGATCTCCAACAAATTCCAGTGGGCGCAGACCTCGTTATCCACCACGGAAACAGTCACCAGTTCACCAGTCACCTTGGATGCATAGTATCATTTATCTCAAGCTCATTTTCATCGAAGACTATTCCGAACAGATAATCATGAAGAAAAAGAGGCAATGCTTGCTAAATTCGCCTAAACTTTCGAGGGAAGTTCATCTCTTCATTTTGCTCTTGGGCCACCCCTATTCATGAGCGCTCCGTTTTCTTGGGAGTAGCTGAATGAGTTCTGGCAGCCGGCAGTCTGGAGGGTGGATCTCGGTATCCTCATTCATTCATCGAAGTGAAGCACGTCATGCGCGTGATGCAGCACGGACCGAGCGTGGATGACCAGAACATGGACAACTGGACGACAGCAGCTGCTCCGCGCGTGATTCCCATCGATTTTCGGATAAACTCCAAAAATGTTCCGCAAGTTCGAAAATGAGAGCGAACGACCGAGTCCAGTGCAGGAGCGACATGATTTCGATCAAACCAGGCGCTTGCAGGAGTCGCCTTTCCGCGTGAGTGTCGTACACAGCTCCCGAGGGTTGATTCCCATTGTGAAATTCGACGGCTCGTTGTACATTCCCTCATTGTGTGTGTCGAGACTTGTCGATCTCGATCATGACCAGATCGTTCAACGCATAGAGCAAATGAATATCGAGGTCCGCTTCCAACTCTGTATCCCGGACCACCATGGAGCCCACTCAAAGCTCCGGGAGTGCCTATCGACCATAGGGATACTTGTGAATCCCGAAGAGGTAAGCTACCGAGGAGGCAGTCGTCGCTCTCAACTGAAAGACGTTGCTCCAGCCCGGGCTGGGGTCTCGGGAGGGATCCCGTTCCGGTCATGGAGATACTCATGCATATCTGCTTACATGATCTATTGATCCTCCGGCCAATTAGTCCCAGGGGAAACTCTCTTCCAAGTATGAAACTTTCAGATGATTCGCCTCATACCAATCACAGCTGCCATCCGTATCCTCAACGGAACCTTACAGAACGTCACTATCGTGGAGGAAGTTGAGGGTTCCATGTAGTGCAAGCCTCCAAAAAAAGGGAGCTGATTCCAACTATAAAATCACAAAATCAAGAGCCGTGACAAAATCGTCCGATGGAGAGGCTAAGGTCTCGAGTTCAGAGAGACCGATTGTTTCACCACCCGGCTCGGAAATGTTTTCATATCCGGCGCGCAGAAGCGCAGGTACTGTGGTACGAGTGGATAAAATAAAAGTACGGTGATGGATCGAGGAGGGCTCCTCGATCTGATAAAAATAAAGCGAGGACTACCTGACTGTTCCTTCGTCCGCTTGGTGGTCCTCCTGGAGAGCGAGTGCCAGTTCAACAGCGTGTACGGGATGTCTGGGAACATCTTGAGAGGTTCTGGATGTTGGAATGCGGCTCATCGCTCGGGGGAGAGCGACTCAGAAAAGAAGGGTCTTGGATCACCCGGCGGCATAACGGGATGAAGTCTCTTTCATAAGAAATTGTTTCCGGGATGCAACGCCCCAGTTCCTGCTTTCATCTCTCCTTCCCTGACAGGAGACTTCCGGAACAGCTCTCTGGCTATATGTGCGAAAGATGGGTGTAAAGTCCCAGACGTCAATGAGTCTTCTGAATATTTGTCGTCGACAGAGGCGCTTTTTCGGCCATTCCTCACGGTCCCTCTTTCGGTAGATTAGACGAGCTGATGATTTCGATGATTCTGTAGGCACGAATGCGTGCTGCAAGCTCGAATTCGATGGCGACAAGGGTACTCGTGATCCCTTCGAGTTGAACGTGAGAAGGTATTTCTCCAGAAGCGCCATCAGCCACTGCACCGGTAATCAGTTTATCTCGCCACCGTCCTCATATGAAGCAAGCTACTATGTGAGACTGTCACGGATGCTATGCCGGCGCCGGCATGGAAGATAACGAGAACTCCACGCGTCACGGAATGCTCCTAACCTGACTCTTCACGGTGGAAAAATTGTTGAGAATGTGCACTCGGTCATTTACACTCGTCGCTGAATGAACAGAACGAAGAACTTTTGCATCAAAGTACTCTTTCAGCTTATGGATGATGTGAGCGCGTGGAGATACGATTCATTAATTAGCTGCGAGCGGTTCCGAGGCCACCTGATCCCCGGATACGGAGCTGCGCTGCTCGATTGGAGTCAGTGCGGAACTCGATCCCATATATTCGTTTCCGGCTCTTCTAGAACGCCTCTTTTCCCCGTTGGGCGATTCTCTACCAGGCTAAGTCCCATTCTGGATGAAGGCAATCTTTGTCTGCGCCAATGGGACCTCTGGTGACGGAACCACCTCCCATGTATGCCTCCCAGCCGGATGCTGCGCCCGCTGGCGCTGTCATGATCAGACAGAGATCAGTTCATCATTGAGCGAAAAATAAATACATGGTCCAAGATAATGGCGACAGTCTCACAAGGCTTCTAAATGAATGCCTTTTGGCATATCGGACCCCCATATAATGGACTTAATGGGCAGAGGAGTGAGCCTAAGACAACTACAAATCGCACCGAGGTGAGGATTTCCGCTCGTGAGCGTGCCGGAAATTGACCTTCGTTACTCGCAAGCTTTGATAGTGCAACGATCACCGACTCAACCTTCATTGCAAAAGTTTTCCTTCTCCACGTTCGAAGTGGATCGCCGTGAAGCTGGGATCGCATTCTGGCTCCGGGACTTCGGTGAATCTGACCTTGGCCATACCTTCGTGCTCGAGTTCTCGCCCCAAGATCAATGACAGGTTGTAACACCTCCAAGGGAGACGTAGCCGGATTTTTTACAGAACTCTGGCTTCACAATTCCGCTTTGGGGATTTTTCTGTGCGGGAGACCACAGAGTTCCTCCGTGACATGATTGGCGGCGTTTGCAGGCTCTAATGAAGGAGATTCTGGGCGATTTTCATTCGGATGCTACCTCGCTGTCGGGCTCCGATCGAGATCCGACTAAGACTCACTCGGAGGAAGTTCCACGGAATCCGATCAGAGATCCATGCAGCGTTGCGGAGAGCCGATATTGGATTTGTTCACGGTCTCCCGCGAGAGAGCTCAATCCTTTTTGTGAGAGCGCTGAGTTCCGAAAGCTTATCTACTTCTATCAATCATCCTTGCTACCTTTGTCATCTCTCATCATCGAGTCCACTGTTGGAGCGCTCGAACTCGCGGTTTTTCGAGCGAAGCCGGTACACTCTCGCGTTTTCGGCCTCACTCGCAGGGCTCAACGAAACAGACAGCCGAAAGCTCATTGCTCTCTGATCGGTCATGACTCAATTCTGTACATTTCGTTACAGATGGCGACGGACGTCAAATCTTCTATCGTAGCTCTAAACTCCACCAGCTCTGGGAGTGGATTTCAGCTGGGCGCCTGGTCGGGAAGTGAGGCTGTATTCCATATGGTACCTGTTCTGATAAATAATTTGAACTCGCACTCGAGTTCAACAGGTCACAACGGAAGTACGAGTGGCTCTTCCCCGCCATCCGCGATTCTATCTCACGATTCTGGGGGACCTCCCCAAATCGTGGTTCCCTTGGAGGGTCCGTCTTCAGCGAATCATCTAATGAGAGAAAAGAGGCACAAATGCGATTTCTGTGGCAAGCGATTCACGCACCGCCATCACCTCAAAACCCATGAGAAAACCCACACCAACGAGTTGGAACACGCGTGCTCGTTCTGCGAGAAGCGATTCAACCGAAAAGATGTTCTTCAGGTGAGTTCAAACGTCCCGAAATTTTTTTTAAGTGACGAAGCGACACCGCATCGGAAGTTTCCCACGCATTACTGACCCTATCCGTACTCCTGCCCCTCACGTCGATCATCGGATGGATCGGAGTTCCAGGCCGATTTCGGGCTCTTTCCACCCTCGTGCAATGCAGCGGTGAATTGATTATCTGTTATTGACTCGTTTCAGGTTCACGAACGATCCCACACCGGGGAGAAACCGTACAAGTGTCGGTTCTGTGACGAAGTTTTCTCAGACTGTCGGATGCGTACGAGACACGAAAGTCGCTGTCATCCCAACAAGCAATACATTTGCGAACAGTGCGGAGAGATTTTCGGCTTAGATCGACGGCAGTTTTCCTCTCACATGAAGAAAACGCATCGGTCCGCTGTTTACAAATGCGAATTCTGTTCATTGACTTTCGGCAGCTTGCACGGCATGCAGGACCACATCGTCAAATATCACCAGGTGAAAGAGGATCGGATCGAGGTGATCGCCGAAGAAGTCCACATCGAAACTCCCGACATCGTGGTCACCATCCAGGATCCGGAAACCCCCCCGGCGCCTCGACGGCCCCACCACAACTACCACCATAACCGAAATCCCAACCAGATGAGTCAGCAGCAGCTGCACATGCAGCAGCTGCATCAGGACCAGCGGGTGCAACAGCGGATGCACATCGCCGAACAGCATCGTGACCACCAGATCCAGCGTCAGAACATCCGGAACCAGCAGCTGATACAGCGGCAGCAGATGTCCGGCGTGACCTTACCGTTTAAGTGTACGTTCTGTACCCGAGGATTCAACCGGAAAGACTGCTGGAAAAAGCACGAAAGATCTCACACCGGAGAAAAACCCTACCGGTGTCGCTTCTGCATGGACATGTTCGCGTGCACGACCGCCCGCGCTCGTCACGAGTGCAAGGTGCACCAGGGTGAGAAGTACTATTGCGAAGAGTGCAAACAAGAGTTTCCCAGTAAGCAAATGTACAACTCGCATATGAAGGGCTCGCATCCCGACGAATCTCAACAACGCTGCAGTCTCTGTCCGAAGAGCTTCAAAGAAAGCGCTGAATTGGAACGACACGTCCAAGCGATGCACTCCGGTCACGACGAGCGACTGATGAGAGCGTGTAGTTCGTTACTTGGGTCCCAAGTCAAGGATGAGTCAATGCTGAATGCGAAGGAGTCCGAAAGGCATTTCATTGCGCCTCAAGTTCTCGAAGACGACGACCACGAGGAGGATATATACGATAGGTGAACGAAATCCGACAACATGAATATTTACTATCGCTATTGATCACTCTAGTCAGAGAATATCCACCCGAGTCGGGGCGACTTCGATAGATAATCACACGACGACACCTTCTCCAAACACCGGACAGGACTAATATTTTTTTGCGTTTCTCACGCGAGCGATGGTGGCATTCTGTTTTAGACCTCGGCCGTAAAGTTTAAAGTGAGTTTTTTTTGGTATATTACGCTACGGGACGTAGCATACGACTGAATTCCTCGATCAGCTCTCGGAGAAATCCCATTCGGTGCCGGGGGGAAATTCGTCGTATTGGTTTAAAAATTGCGACTTATCAGCGAGTGTCTCGAGTTCTCTCACGGCGGCTCGCATCTTTGTTTCCTGGCCTCTTTGAATTTTGAAATTTCGGAGAGCCCAAGACGAGGTTGCGTTCGCTCCTGGGCCATCACTCCTGGTGGTGCGGTGAGTCGCTGTTCGGTGCGGATGCCCACGGAAACTTTCACGGTGATACAAGCTCGGGACATTCTTTTGTCGGAAGCTACGTTGTATGTACATAAATAATTTCAGCTTCCGCTAGTTTCCTTTGGTCACATTCTTCTGGAGATTATGTCTATCCGCTGTGTAGTGTGCTTTTTCATTCGTGTAAACACTCGTCTTCAGACCGAGTCTGCGTTGAAGTCGGAACTCTTTTTCTGTCGGTCGAAGCCTCTCGGGCTCTCACTATATTCCGATTTTCGATGACGGTCCAAACATACAAATCAAAACCGAAGTCCGCGAACAGGGATCCAGGGTTGTCCGCCCACAACGCAGAGCCATTCATATACATTAATTACCCTTTCTGTTACAATAAATGTATAGGATAATTGAGAGAGTCTCTCAAATGGAGGGGACATACATCAGAAACTACATACCTATATAAATATAAGTGAGCCGCCTGACTAGTTCTCCCTTCTCACGATTTACGCATCGATCCTAGGACCGGTGAGATAAACTAAATATCAATTTAGCCGTATTCTGTCATCATACGATGTCTCTTCGAGGACGAGGAAAACGACTCGCTTCCTGAAGAATCATGATGATAATGACGATGGTGAGCATGGCGAAGACGATGATTACTGTGGCTGCGTGCTGAGGAAATTCAGGAAAGGTGGACGAATATCCGCATGACGACACGCCCAGATGCATCTCGTTGTAAATAAACCTATGCAAAAGTTGCTATTGATCCCAGAAAGTATTTAGTCTATCACTAGCACGAGAGACGGGAATTCCCTGGGAAGAAAATCAATCAGACGTGATCTGTGGAGTCTGGACTCAACATATTCGCCGAGACAGTCGAGAGGTCGTCGCACCTCGATCCCTGCGCGGAGGGCGTGCTCTGCCCCAGCCTTGCCGCTCCAGCGGAAAGCGGCGCCCTCGGCAGAATTTCTCGCGCGACTCCCGTCAGCTCTTCCACCGGACTCACGTTGGGGTTCCCCGGGGAAGGTCCCGCATGAGCGAGCGATAATAATCCGGTGACTCCCGTTGTCTTGCGCTCCGGCTCGCTTCTTCTGTCTGGAACGGTCTCGGAGGACCGAGCAACTGACACTTGCAACAGCTGTGAATAAATGAGTCTCCTGCACAACTTTCACTCATTTATTACAACAATTCAGTCAGTGTCTGACCAGAGGCGAAAACAAAGAAGACATCCAAGAAGAGCGTTTTCACTGCTGCGCATCGTCTTGACGCTCATTCGGTGCCGGATTGTCACCCTGTGCTTCCTGTTCGTTGTTGGCTTCATTCCGGGCGTCCATGATGTTGCCCATGAGATCGACGACAGCTTCGACGAGACTTCCTACTCCTCTCCTGAGGCTCGATCCGACATTCTGATCGTCCTCATGTCCAGTCTGTCGAAAGGAAGTTGATAGTTATTAGCATCCTCGAGTCTGATTGGAGCGTCGCGGAGATGCGGCAAAATTAAATGCCACCCTGGGCCTTTCGTTGCGTTTCGTAAAAATTCCTACCCAGTTGGGGTTGAGTGAATTCAAGAAATTATTGATCGTCGCTTCGGGGAGGCCGTCGAGGACATCCAAGTTTCGCTGGGGCAGCTTTTGAGTAAGATCGCCGTAAGATGTTTTCGGGGGGAATGGATCGAAGCCATAAACCGCTGCAATATGTCAGACACGCCAGTCAATTCCACTGATTTTCCAAACGCTGCCCTGAATTTCCAGTCGTCTCTCCGACCCTCTGACTCACTTTCGTCCGCCTTCGGTAGATGCCTTGGCTGCAACTTGACTCCATTGACGTGTGATAATGTGATGTGACGCAGAAGGTTCCGGGGGTATTTCGGAGTGGTCGGCTTCTCGGGGCGATCAGGGCTCGAAGCGATCTCCAAGCAGACTTTTTCCATCCATTGCATCACATTCGCCTCTTTGAATAAGTGAGCACACCTTTGGAAGAGCATATAATTACCAATCACATGATTATTATCGTCTCGTAAATACGAATATGTTTATCTCTTGCTTGTCCATTGCTTCAGAACGGTTTCAAGGCATCCCGTGTCCTCGCTCCGCTATTTTAGACCCGGCTATGGGCTCACCTCTCGGCGTACAAGTCGACGAAAAGATTCTCAGGGTAGAACTTGTCGAAAACACCAGCTGAGGTTCTGTCCATCATGACCGAGTTTTTGTCGGCCACCGCTTTCAGAACGTTGGGAAAGCGAAGAAGAGCTTTTCTCAGCAAGTCATCGGCTTTATCATATTCCTTGAGGTGGAAATGAGCTAAGGCGACGGAGTAAGCCATGTTCGGCAGTCCGTCCAGATTCCTCCCATTCTGAAACGGAAACCCCCCGTGTATTGCACTCTCGGATCCGATATTCGAAGCCAGCTTGCGGGAAATCCGCTCCGGATGGTGCAATCAGTCAGCGAGAGTACGGGCGTACCAACCTTTTGCATAACTTCGAAAAAATTTATCAACCATTTGTATTCATGGGCTCGGATCGCGAAATTGTCCATGACGAGCAAAACAGCCAAAGGATCATGACAGGGGTCCAACGAAAGTATGGCTTTCGAGACTTCGAGAGCCGTCCTCGGACATCCCTTCAACGCTGGAAAGGGTGATCAGCTTTCAATTTTCTTGCAATTTCTTGCAACGCGATGAGATTAGGGATGCGACTCCAGGCGCGACAACTGCACTATATTGTTGATGGAGAGCAACCATACTCACATATATGATACGCGTGCAGGAACAAAGTGATGTACAACGCTCGATTCGGTTTGCAAGCGTAATCTAGTCGGCATTTCCCACTATGTAGATTGAACGACGGATGGAAAGCTTTTTCGAGAATATACAGAGCCCGTTCGATCAAATCAGCTGATCGAGGAACCTCTCCCTCTTCCCTGAGCATGTCGGACGCTTGAATGAGTAGGTCCACGTGATCTGAAATCCTGCGGGATGACCATGCTTTATATATTCGGTCGATCGGAACAGGTATCCCGCCCAGGCGACCAGGCGAACGGGGCAATCCAGGGAGGCAGTGCCGCGGATTGTAGAGAACGTTGGGGAATTACTATTCGATGGGTAGGCCAGACATCTCACCTCTCTATCAGCATCTCGAGGAGTCCTGCAGAATCGCCGAAGTCTACCGCAAAAGCGAATTCCCCCTGCACCTGCCAATAGTCAGATGAGAAGCGGAACTCGAATTGATCCGGGGTATCGGTCGGCACCATGGTGACCCCTCCAACTCTACGCCCTCGCATCTCGACGTAATGAGATCCTGGAAAAATGAATTGTTTCTGATTCGCGGCCTCGGCCGAAAACAAAAATCGATAGATCGAGAATTGCATGAAGTCTCTGGCTGTGAGGCGGATCCTCTCTATTCTCAGAGTCGGTCGTAAGCGTCAAGCGTACCCGCGTCCCGTACGAGGATGCTCCGGTTGGCGATACGGGGTCCACCCTTGGCGCCAGCGAGCCCGCCTTCAGCTTTGACGGCCTCTGGTCCGAATTTTCTGTAGACTTCATTCTCGTACTTCAGGAGTTTCAACTGGATTGTCAGTAGAGAGTCGATGCTCGCTTCTTCGCTCGAAGTTTCTTCGACAATTTGCTTCGGTGCCTGGTTTTCGTCTTCAATGAATCGAAGCTCTTTCTCGATGTCGTCATCGACTTTGGAGTTGTTTTTCTTCTTCTTGTTCTTGGCTTTATTCCGCTTTTTTTGCGGACTCCCGAGTTTTGCACCTCGCTTTCTTCGGGCGCTCGCTCGTCAACGTCTGGTGAAAGCTCTTGCTCTTCGCTCACGTCGTCAACGGCGCTCAGCTGCGAAAATAAACGAAGGTTCCGTGAGAACTTTCAGCGTTGCTTCTTTCTCTGAACAGATTTGATTCCAGTCGCCAAAGCGCTCCGTCAGCATATTCCAGTTGGGAAAGGATAAGGACTCTGTTCTGTTGAATTGCTAGACGTCTTCATGTAAATGCCCTCACCATTTGGAACATGGATTTGTTCTTCGGAGGCGGCAGAACATCGTCAATTTCGTCATCGTTGTCAGCTATAGTTGAGACGTTGTTCAGCTGCTCTAATCTTTTCATATGACGGAGAGACATTTTGTGCGTTCGTCAATTTTTGTGTCTAAATTTTTAACGTGTACCGAGTCCCTAGAAAACCAGAGTCAGAATGTCTCGGAGCATGCTCATTCTTATCCATACCAGGTCGCTTGGCATGACCCTCTTTTTGTTGAACGATTAATAAATAATAATGCACCGGACAACTGAGCTCACTCACGACTCAGGTCGACCAACTTGGAGGATGATTTCACTGGCTTGAGTACGCAAGCGCTCTTTCATCCCATGTATGCTCCGGTTCGGCTCTTTTTTTCACACGAACCAGCGTTAGTCACTGAGCACTAAGAAAAATCATGCCACTGAATGCGTGAGAGTGAAACTTTATGCCCGGACACCAACACAGTTGCTAAATGTGGTCAACATTCTGCTGTCTAGATGCAACCCAGATGGCGCTCACCTCTCGACACGACCAACTGGAACGTATCGGTGTGTTGGACAGTCTTTCGCGCACAATTCTTCCCCCTCTCTCGAAAACAAAAACAGGTTGGGAATATCTACTCTCTGATTTGAAGTCATGTGTGCTCCATATTTCTTCTTCGGTGAAATATGGGCTCGTTGGGCGTAACAGCATGGAGGTAGTGACTGACTGGAGCGTGACCCCGAAAAATTGCGAACTGACCACATGGGGTGCCGTTTCAGTTCCTCCCGCCTGGAATTTGTCAAAGAGCTCTTGCTGCATGATCCAGCGAACGAGAGTCGGCGATCGCGGAGCGGGAAATCGTGAGGCTCTGCGGACTCCAAAAATCTCCAAGTTGCGGATCTCATTCATTTTCCGAAACTCCCTCCGAGTACGCCCCACTTTTGCGTAGCCATCCGGCACTTCACTCGAAGAGATGACGATCCCGCTGAGCTCGGATCCGATATGGCGAAGAGTTGAGGAAGTTGTCCTCGAACTCGAGGAAAGAAAATTGGGAGAAGCGTCAGCTAGCGCCTCCTCTATCCAAGGGAAATTCAACGTCATTAGCGACCTCGCAATCGGACCGAATCTCCTTCCGAATGTCGGAAACAGCTGTAAGGTAAGCAACTGTTTACGATCACTCGTCATGCGTTCGTCGATTTCCTTTATCGATCCCATAAAAGAAACTCAATCTTCGAGATGGAGAAGGGCGCTCCTGGATTCAGTTTGTCAAGCACATCTTGCTCTATCGTTCTGTAATTTATCGCAGTACTCTCAATAGAGAATTCCTCCGTGGAGTATTCTCGGATCCACAATCTAGTCACCGCGACGATGTCTTCTTCCCCCGCAGAAAACGCGAACTTCGGATCCGCCGCAGGCGTTGTTGGAACACCGAAGACTCGTGGCTGGGGTCCAGATCCTGCTCCACTTCATCTCAGCCAAGGGTCCTTACGGCCAGATAGTCATCATTTCGCAATTACCGAGAATTCTCGCGGCTCTGATGCAATTATGTCATGCTCCGATCAGGAGCGTCGAACCATCCGAGACACCGATACCGGACTCCGTCCGGGGTTGGCTTCAGCATGGCGACGCAATCGGAGATTTTGACGTCAGCGCTGACGGTGTCGTCGCTGAGATGCAGCGAGACAGGCTCCGGCTCGGAGTCGAGCTCCAGCAGCTCGTCTCGAAGCTTTTCCCACCTGCCGTCATCGAGACCTTCTTCGTAATGCTGAATTCCGAGAGTCCTCGCTGGCTGAAGAAAGCGGTTTCCTCTCGTCTCTCAGACGAGATCCTCAGGGAGCGCGGTTTATCGAATTTAATCTGCGCCATGGGTCAGGTTTTCGACCGCGACACGCCATGGCTTCAGTTCGAGAAGGTCGCCATGCTGGTCACGCGACCGCCATCGACGGCATCCGACACGGATTACACTCGAAATATGGGCTCACAGCTGAAGAACATCCTGTCGGAAAATATCCTGAAGTCCGAGATGACTCTGGTCGTCGCTATCATCAACGCGTTCCTGACCCAGAAGCCTGAACTCGGCACCGAGCTCGTTCTGATACCGTGTTTCGCCAAATTCTTTGCGCTACTGCAAGGGGACCCGGGAAGCGAACGGAAGATAAGTTCGAAAGAAATCCGGAAGCACGTAGAGCTGGTTCATCTTTCGTGTGGATTTCTCCCTCGAGATTGCGCACTCCTTGAAGCGTTCGCACTCCTCGCACCATTGTACCTGATGATGGCTGCGTACTCGATCGAAGTCAAGAATTCGGAAACTTCGCTCCACGTGGAAACGATCGTGAAATTGGTATCGAGTCTCAGCGATGGAGTCGATGTTGTCCTCGCATGCTTGGATCCCTGTGACCCCAGGTTCACGCTGCCCAACCCGCCGGGCTTATCAATAAATGAGATGGGTGAGTAGTGGGTCCGATCGTTTTCAGAAAAATTGCATCCATGAGCTCTCCAGTAGTGGCGTCGACAGGAGTCGGACCCTCCTACGAAGCGAGAACCCTTGCCAGCGATAAGCTTTCAATGAGCATTGAGAGCCCTCCCCACCTCCCCGATCTGGAGAGGGGGGGTTCTGGGCCCCTAAATGTGCGGACTCAACACGCTTGCTCAGTAGGCTCTTAATAAATACCATTTCTTTCAAGGTGATATCGAGATTTCAGACGGGGGCACGATTCTCGCTCCTTCTCCAGAGCTGTATGAATGCTTGTTTTCTGAAATTTTCCGAGTCGATGCAACGCTTGCATGCCGAATCTGTTTGAGACTCATGGACTACTACGAGAGGGAACGAGCAGAAGAATCGGGTGCGAGCGCCGAATTCTGGCGCGTTTGCGGCTGCCTATTGGTGAAGCTCATTCCGATGTGTGAGGAGACAATCAAGCAGAATGAAGACTTCACAGTCAGGACAATCATCAATAACATGAGTCGGGTTCACCAATCGGAACAGGCTCAGGAAGCTCTGAAGTTGGTTGAAATGCTGCTGAGGACCGTTGACCAACTTTCGACCGAGAATCGCCAGCGATTGCGAGCATCCGTTGTCCACCTGGAAAACGTCGGCGGCTATCTCGAATCAAAAGCGTTGACGCTCAGGGACGGCATCCTCGAGAAACTGGCCGATGTGGAACCGTTCTGCATGGGTCCAACTCTTCTCACCTGGAAATACGCACCCACAGCTCTGCGAATCCTCGCGAACAAGACTTGGAAGAATCACGAGGCATTCCCGGTCCGAGAGTCCGTGGAATGCTTGGTTGAACCTCATGTGAATCACCCTACCCGTGCGAAGTGAGTTCTGCGTTCCCTTATGGATGAGCTGCTGTGTGTACCGATGCTCGATTGGGTCCTTGAATATATCTGAAAGTGAAAATTAAATAAATCCTGAACGACGAAGAATCTCAAGATCCTCTTATGTCTTCCAGGTCGGTGTTCGGTACAATGAGCGAATATCAAAAAGTCAGAGATGAACTCCTGGATCCAGACGTGGCCATTCGAGGTCACGGTTTCATTCAGCTCAGGAAGCTCCTCGCCGCTCGGGATCCTCAGGCGGGGAAAGACCTGAAATATCTTCATGAATTGTGCAAGTAAGTTTGGAGTGGATACCGGGGAGTACTAGGCCCCTTCGAAAAAATCGTAGTCGATGATGACGCCCTCAGATATTCTCGCTTTCCGTATCGAGAACTAGGAATGGAATTTCAGATCCGAATTCTCCCATTCTCAGGGTAGCGTTGCAAGAAAAGGATACTTATATCTATCTCGGCGCGGTTCAATGTTACGCTCAAATCGTCGGATGGCAGACTGGGGAGTTCCTGCCCGAGCTGCTTGATTCTTTCAAAGAAACCGATTCGGATGATATCAAGATGAGATTGACCGAAACATTGCTTCAATGCGTGATGTCCTTCGGCGATCTGTCCCCCGTTTACTGCGAGATGATCGTGGACGCCATCATAGACCTCCTGGATTCTGAGACCGTCGACGCAACATCAAAATGTGCAGCGTCTTCGATCTTAGGCTACACGCTCGGTCATATCCCGAATCGCAGTCCATCGTTCAGGCGCGCTGTGAATATCCTAATTTCCATGATAACCTTCGAGCCAGACGAAATCCTGCGGCGTGCCGCTGCCTCAGGCTTAGCGGAGGGTTTAAAATGTGAGTTTGTCGGTTATTTCGTTCCTCTCCCCCTCCCTCGATTGATTGTTCTGTGGATCCATCGTCTTACCATGACTCATTTCAGCTCTCGACAAAGTCGATCTAATACGCGACTACCCGACAGAAGTGCGGGACATCCACCGAGTAGTGAAGACCTTGTATTCGAAGTGTGACGATGAAGCGCTGCGAATACACCTCCAGGAAATACTGTTGACACTGGGTGAAGTGGCCAAAACCCTGCTTCAGGTTACTGTTACTACTGAGAGATGATTTTGTCGGTCGATCTCGAAAAGTCGGGAGACATCGTCCTTCGCAGATCATAGTCAAATTCAGGTTCGGAGCCCGTGCGGCATGTGAACCTGTGAGCGCAGCGTGTTTTCTCGATGAGAATCTCTTGACCTTTGAGCTGTATATATTCCGAGATTCCAGCGAGAATGACGCTGGAACGGGGTGTACGTATGTATAATAAATCTTATTTTTGGCCTCTCCAAAAGGAGTGACGTAGGATGACAGTCGATTCGATCGAATAAGACGATAGCTTTCGATAGGTTAGCACTCATTAATTTTATTTCAATCATAAAACGGCCAATCATCTAGGATATCCAAGAATCGCTGACATCGAAGCCAACGGATAAATGTTCAACAAAGCGTATACATTTCATGTCGGCAAATATTCATGATCTATTTGTATGTCTGTTCCAGTTTCGTATTAGAACGTTCTTCCACCTGCTAGTAGGTATAACTATTTTTATCTTATTCTTTTGTAAGGTTCTCATCCGATTGATCGCCTCGCTCCCACGGATACAATGGACTAAGACGGCGGAGGGTTCTCGGGGAACTTAGTAGGTTGTACAACTTGTTATCACCATCCAGTTCGGTGAAAACCAACGGACTAGGGGATCTCTCCTGTGGCGGCCAGACGGCTCTGACCACAGCGGTCCGTGGTCCTTTTTGAGCGTCAGGGCGAAGGATCGACACCAAATCGAAACGCCGTCAACAATGAATTCACCAGAGAATGAACTAGATTTGTCTCAACCATAAAAGGGATTCCGCGGGCGTGACATTCGGAGACGGCCGGCTTCCGCCTCGGGAGAGTCTTGGTCCATATCTACAACTCTTAGAATATTTCTCTCAACATCAACTTACTGAACACTCCGCATGCCTATCACTACATTGCCCCACCACTTCTCTATCGTTCACAAGGAAGAGGCGGTCGCGACGTCTGAGTTATTTTCGGCGCGCGGTCCGTGTTCAACGCGTCCTCTTCGTCTTCCTCGCACACGTGGACTATAATTCCAGGATGCTTTTCCGAAGGAGGGTGTAGCTCATGAGTTTCTCCTGAAAACCGTGAGATTGTCAACCCCATTAGATTGGCGGCACAATGAGATTTTTCATTCCGCGTTCTGCGTTCGCAAGTCCTTCTCAGGCTCTACCGGGATTCCCGGGAGAATTCATTGAAAAATGTGAACACGATGCCGGCACCAAAAGAGGATGAGGTTGGGCGAGCTCGGGTGCCGGAACGGGCGATGAGCGGCTAGACGTCGAGCGAAAAAATTGATGTCCGCCCACCGACGGCAGGAATACAGTTCTCGTTTGTCCGATCGATTGCACGCTCACTAGGTCGCATGCCATGACGTCTGTGGAGTGACTGACGTCTACATATGCGGCTCTGGAAGTCATTCGACGGTGAACAGCCGATTGACGTATTTTGAACCAAAATCCCGCAGCGACGCAACCATGCGGGTCGTTCCAGAGTCTCACTCAGCGATGGTCCTTGCATGGTATCTGTATCGGTGGAGCCTGTACATCGATCTTGTGCGTCGTCGATTCAATCAGAAATTCCACTTCCGATTGAATCCAGTTCCATAGGAGTCAGTGACAGATTTTTTAATTTGAGAACTGCTGAAGAAGCAATCAGCAAGCCAAATCGATTTTCATCGCTCCTAAGGTTTCTGGAGTGAGTTCAGATTAGCAAGCCGAAAAGCTCCTACCTGGTGCCAGGTTCGCGAGGGCGGAGAGGATATCGTAATTGATTGTAGGTTCAGCCTCTGCGACGGGTTCCCATCCGACGGGTGGGGACGCAGGGGGTGAGATCAGAAACTGCTTGTACGGCAAGGGCGGCTGAAGGTGCGGATCATCATTCTAAAAAGATGGAGGAGAGCTTCACCAATAAGGCTTTCATCAAAAATATTCGTCACGGTTAACGGTCATCATATCGAGGTATCGAACGGAGGGAGATGACAGAAAACTAAGAGCTGAGATGGGGTCGACTCCCTTGACCCGGGGTCGACTGAGGAGACGGAAATATTGAAAGATATATGTGTATTGAAATATATCTTAATTGAAGACTTCGTCGTCCAGAAGAATTTCAAGTCCGTCTGTACGACGCTATCTGCGGTATGGCGTGACATACATCGATCCGGAGAGAAGGAGGACTCTTAGGTTTGAGTCTCTATCCTTTCTGACTCTCGCGGATCCACAAGTAATTTACATGTGTATCTTACTTAGTACATGAAAAATATTAGCGAGGAGGAGGGGGCGGAGAAAACTTACGTTGTTCTCTTTGTCAACATGCTGAGCGAAATAGCACGCGAGCCGGTTCTCTCCGAATTTCAGATCGTGACACTGGATGCGAGCTTCTGCGGCGGCCTGAGAACTGGTAAAGTTGACACGAACCCTCCGGAAACTCTTCAGGTATTGGAATGTTGCGTCGCCGTCGAAGTTTCGGAATATCGATTCGAAATCATTCTGTAAGAGAACAATCGGCAAACATTGAATCAAACCCGTCGGCCAAGATCTGCGCAGAGGGAGGTAAGGAGCATCTAAAAAGAATCCCTACAGTGTGGAGACGTCAGGAGGGGCTGCGGTCTCGCGGAAGCAGTACCCGATAAGTTCGGGAGTCAGTGACGCAGCTTCAGCATCTGATTTCCTGCTTATCTGTTCCGCAACCTTAATTCGAATTTTATCGCTCTGCAAGCACTCCGATTGGACTGAGCCGGTCGATGGGATCAGATGAGGATCCGAATAAGGACAGTGGCACCTCCGGGAATATTCCTAGCGGAGTCCCACGAAGAGACCCTCTATTGAGAAGCGACAGGGAAATTCCCCTCGCCAAGGGTGATTCATGCAGCTCGGGTGTTCGCTTTGGGTGCTAAATTGGAAAACATTGAAATCCGATTTAGGGAAATTCCCGAGGAGCGATTCCCCGATACAGGAGCGGTGTACGAAAGCTCGCGGTATGCAGCAGAGGTTCGTAACATCACAGCTGATGGTCCGCGCAGGCTATCCGCAACAGTTTCAATTGCGCCGACGATATGAATAGGCCTCTCTTTCGAGGCTCCGTGTATTCCCCGGCATCGTGTCAGCCACTCGGAGGGCGATAGATTGACGGATGTTCACTTTTCGAGCTTTTTCGAATCGATAATAATCTGCACAGAAAACCACTACATGCTGTCGGTGACAGCTTTCTTCGACCGAACTCATCCTGATCACTCCACATACCCTCGCGACTGCGTAAGCGCTTACGCATTAATCTCCGGAGTCGACCCCGGAATCATTCATGGCGGCTTCTAGCATTACAGAGGACTGCCTACAGCGGAATAAAATTTGGGGAGCTATTCACCCTCAAATCCAGGTTGCGAAAGACGCCTGGCTCCATGTTGGTGACGATGATTGAAGTCGGTAGATCTTCCAAGTCATCCAGTTGACCGTCATCGACGTCCATGGATAAGTCCTCCATCGTTCCGCCGCCGACGATTCAAACTGCTGCTCACAGAGAATTGCAACTTCGCGTCTCAGTGACTTAATAACACTTCTCCAGCGATGGAGACGACATCTTTGTTGGAAAGAGGTGTGTACTTGACAGGAAATTCGGCTCGAACGCTCTGTACGCCGTTCTTCTATACGCTTGCGCGGAAGCTCCAAATAGCGTACAATTATACTTCTGTTGAATCTATGGTAAGAGCGCACAAAGAGAACGCGGTGTGAAATTGCATCAAAATGAAATTCGTCGATGGGAGAGTGTAGTAGGCAGTGATGTCGATGATCTTCGCTGGAAGCCCGACCGGAATCGGGCTGGTCTCTTCCACCATTTCCCGATTCTGAAGGTGAGGAGCTCTCGGGGAAGGGCGTCGGAAGCGCACCCAATCGGAGTCAAATCCGGCCGGCAAGGGTAGCCCCTCCCAGGCAGTCTCAGCGATCCCTTTTTTCGTTATCGTGGAGGACATAGGGCATCTCGATTTCTCGATCCCATTTAGGGATCAAGCGCAGGAACCTCGAGCGGGAATCATACCGGGAGGCTCGGATTGAATCGTCAGAATCAAGAGAATCTCACAGATCGGCAGCTCGGATCCGCGTATGCGTAAAAAGTGGACACAAGTACGCCGTAAAAAGCGTGCATGCTCCTGAGCCGATTTCCATGCCTTGTGGTTCGCGCTGTATACGTCTCCTTCTCCGCGCGGATCCGATTGAGTTTCTCTCTTTTCCAACGTGTTCGATACGCACCAGAAGCTGCGCGTTTCTAGGATAAGTCCTAGACGAGCGCTCAGTCGCGTCGTTTGTGTCTGAGCAGCTTCTTCAACAAAAGAGAACACGGCGCACTGCCCTCCGAACACAGTGCGATCATGACGACCGCGCTCGGGTCGCGCGCAGCGTTCAACTCTCAAATTAGCAATGTAAGATACTTGAAACGCTGGAAAGTGCCAGAGAGGTTTGAGAATGTCAACATAGAAGCCAATGAGAGGCGATTAGCGATGCTCGAACGTCAACCGATATATCCACCTGGCGTGAGACCGATGAAGGTACCAAAGGAACTCTGTCACATGAAAGGTAGTGCATAAGATACGAAGCGAGAATTTTCATGATCATAGATGATCGTAGATAACATGAGTCAGTGTTGGAGCGATCTTGAACTCCTCTGGCGATCGTTTCTTCGACAACGAACTGACCGACGATTCCGTGTTCCAGGTCCTGAGACGGTAAACAACACCCTTTTGTATAAACAATACGGAGTTATGACGCTGTGCGGAGGCTGGTTGAGGACAGGGGTCATCGAGATGATGAGACTCACTCTCAACAAAAAGCTTGACTTGACCACTTCCTTCGCCGCCTGGAGGATCGATCCCCCGTATAAACCCCTAACGAAGAAGGGAATCGGGAAGAGGATGGGTAAAGGAAAAGGGGCCATAGACCAATACGTTGTCCCCGTCAAAGCTGGTCGGATTCTATTCGAGGTTGGAGGGACCATAGACTTTCTCGAGATTGAACCAGTCCTCCAGGTGAGACACAACTCCCCGATTGTCCCTGCGAAATTAGGAGCGAGGAACGGAGCGTCGAGATAACGTTCACTGTCGTCGGTTTTCAGTATTGCACTTTTTGCTTTCCCAGGAAATTTGCTACAAGCTCTCCGTCGACGCCATCCCGGTATCGCAACAGATTCTCGAGAACATCGAAGCGCACTACGAAAAGCTGGAGCGGCGAAACATCAACCCCTTCAGTTTGAAGCAAGTCATCGACCATAACATGCACGGCAGCGACAAATGGGTCACCAAAATCGAGAAGAAATATTACGGGGACTATATATAATTTTCTCGAAAATAAAGCCTTTAGATGCTCTGCTCGCGCGCTCTATCCTCCATCCTCTTCCGGGCAACATCGGAGCGGGGCATTGATTCGAGAATGGCCACCGGATAGGAAGAAATGCACCCTGTGCATTTTCAGGAATTTCAAGAATACCCAGAGCTCCAGGAGCAGTTCCGAGTTCCGTGGTATTGCTCGTTGTCGCATCGGGTCGGGCGGTAGAAAACAACGAAATGCCAGGCTGATCACGCTGAGTCTGAGTCTCTGAACAAGGGGTTGCGCAGCCCTGGTCGTCTCAGTTGGTATCTTGTTCGTGCACACTGGAGAGAACGACCGATAGTGAGGGGGAACGCCCCGGGGTCCAAGCGTCCGAGCGTCTACCGCACCCAGCGTCCGGTTGAACAGAGAATGTCGGGCGGAGGGATCCGTGCTTCGTGAAACCGTTCCGAGATTCTCAAGTAACTCGATGCGACAGAATCGATGAACGCCTCACTCGTGATCCTCGACCCCGGGATCCAGAGTGCGGAGGCTCGCGTCCGGAGTCCGTATTGAAAACCGAACGACTGAGAGATATTTCAACGGTTCACGACAACGAGGTCCTCGAGGCGGCTCATTCGGAGAAAATCGGTCGCACACCATAAAGGAGACTAGGCTCTCAGTCTCTCTCGACCCTCGCCCTCGAGCCGCCCGTAAGCCCCCGAGGTCAACGAAGAATGGTGAAAGAAAAGCCAATTGCCCTCTATGGAGGTTCGCTTATACAGATGGAAGACACGAGGAGATTCCGGGTACAATAGGATGATGATATATGTGGGACTGTTTATTGGGAATTCGCGGGATATATAGTCGGATGATGGTAGTGGACGAAAGAAATGTAACACCTCAATCTACTCGGTCTTGATCTTTTTAACGATCTGACTCGTCGATGTTGCAGGTCTCTTCATGGCGTTGCGGTTGGCACCCATGTTATCTGCAAAGAAAGAAAGAATAGTGAGTCCTACAGTATTCTGCCGACGACAGCATCCGCTGTTATCATAATTTTCCCTCTCTTCTCTGCCCTTCCGAAATGGTTGGGACCCGGGAGAAGGCTCATCTCCGATGATCGAACTTACCCTGCAACCACCTGACTTGAGTAGCGGGACCGTATCCCTTTTCGTTTCGGGCAGCGATGCGGAAAATGATAGCAGGCTTGTTAGATGTATCGACGTGCGCACTTATGAGATGATTTTGGCTTACGACGCAAGCGGGGGCTTGCCCGAAGTAGACTCGCACAAATGCTAGCTGACTTGAATTGGTGCTGGCTGGGTTTCGTTCACTGCTGGGTCGTACAGCGAGATATACCGAGTACTCCTGAATTTCCCCTGCGGTATTTTGTGGCGGCTCCCAAGACAATTGGGCTCCATTGGGGCCCTTGTTGATCTTGATGTTTGATGGGGCTCCAGGAAATCCGGGAAGACACGTTTTGAAAGCAGAGATCTCACTGAACGGACCGCGACCCAGTGAGTTAATTCCAGCCACCCTGAATTTATAAGCTGTTCCAGGGAGCAAGTCGACTTTCAGATATCCGGTAAAGTCAGTCACAGTAAGGCTGTCGTCGGAAATCGGTAAACCGTTCTGGGGAAAGTTGAATTTCGAGACGAGCATGCTTGAGCCGGTAACGATGCCGACATCGTACCACACGCCCGATTGAGGGGTCGAAGGCTCCTCGAGCTTCACCTCGTCCTTGATCTGCGGGGCAGCAGTGGCGTCGCCGTTCTCCTCTTTGATAGCCTGCGTAATTGACGCGACGGCAGCGTCCTGTTGCTGCTGGCCGGGAATGGCGACAGGAGGCGCCTCGGCAGGGGGAGCAGCGGCCGGCTGGATGGAGGAGATCGCGGCAGACGCCAACGTAGCCAGAGGATCCGCAGCCACGACTGGTTCGGCGGTTCCTTCGAGTTGTCCGTTGCTGGAAACGGCGGCCTCCGCAGCAGCCAATGCGTCGGCCGTCAGTTGGCTGTGAAGAGCTTCTGAAAGGGGAGAAATCGTCAGACATCCGAGGACGTAGATAGTTCGAGGGATTCGCGCCTTTACGGGGACTGGGCGTGTTGTTCTTACCGTCGGTTTCCATCGGGGGATCGTCGGCGCACATTTGCTCCGGAGGAAGGGCGCCAGGATTTCCCATGGCCATCATCTGCTCCTCCTGTTGCTTGAGAGCTGCTTCCGCTTCCTCAGGCGTTATTTCGACCTGCGGGGGTTCGGCTAATTGAGCCTGAGCCACCGCAGCGGCGAGAGCCGGATCCTCCTGGGAGTTTTCGCCGAGCGCCACAGCGGCTTCGACCATCGCTTGGCTCAAGGCTGCGGCTTCTTCGGCGCTCACTGTCACGCCGTGGACTCCTTCGGCTTCGCCTTGCATGGCTTCTTGCAAAGCTTCGTCTCTGTGTTGTCCATCGTCGGCGAGTTGATCGCCACCGTCGGCAGGGACCCCTTCGTCGACCGGTTCTCCCTCGGGAAGTGCTTCCGGAGGAATTGCGTCGTCGTGGTTTCCTTGGTCGACGCCATCCATAACTCCGTGCTGCTCATCTTCAGTAACGATGGCATCATCATCGGCGCCGGGCAGTGGAATTTCGGGCTCGGATTCGATACTGCTCTCACTGCCCCAGCGCGACAACTTGGCTTCGTCGTCGGTGAGTCCTTCGTCTTCGCCATGGGCCGCACGTGCTACATCTGGGTCTCCTCTTTGCACACTTGTTACGTGTACGGTTTGTTGTTGTTGCTGTTGGATTATTTGTTGCTGTGGTTGCTGAACGACCGTGACGACTTTCTGCGCCGTCTTCGGTACGGTGATCGTCATCGGAGTCCCGCTAGCCTGGCTCATTGTAGTGGCGGTGCTGCCAGATAAGGTAAATGTCTGCTGAGCCTGCAAAGAGGATTTCCGACTTGTAGAGATTCCTGCAGAGAGGCCGCGAATGAAAGGTACAACAACATTGTGACATTGTGATGTATTTATATCCATTCCCGCCTCTCGGAACTCCCGCCACGTGACACGTGAACCCTCGACCTCCGAGATCCATCATTAGGTGGGGGGACCGTGGGCTGCAGTCTCGATGTGCGAACTCACCCGAACAGGCTGTCCACCCTGACTGACGACTATCATCTTAACACCTTGTTTCTGAGCCGAGCCGGCTTGAACTGTCGTCAGACTTTGGGCAGACTTGACAGCTCCGGGATTCGTCACCACGATTATTTGTTGCGGTTGTTTCGCTCCCGTCGTGATGACTTTCTGGGTCATCGGTGTGCCCTTCGCACCCGAAATAACGATGGTTTGTTTTCCTGCAATCAGAAAAGAGCTGCTCGCAACCTATGCTCTAAGACACGAATACACGGAGGTAGAACACGCTGTCGATGCGTCATATGAGATCAAGTTGAGATATTTCGTCGACGAATACGCACCCTTCGCCATGCCGGGGGATCCAACCTGACCAGGTTTAACAGTGACCATGTTCGACGGTAAAGTTCTGATAATGGTGGACATTTTGGGCTGCCCACCGGGCATGCTCAAGATGGTGGGACTTTGTTGGGATATAATTTTCGTTCCGGGGGTTGCGCCGGCCTGGGTTGTGACCAGCTTAACGATAGTTGTTCCTCCAGCCTTGCTGGTCACGGTCTGAGGGCTCTTGCCCTGTTGAATTAAAGAAACCTTCGGTACGCTGGCCAAGGTGACACCCTGCTGCGTCTTGAGCAGGGTGACTATTTGAGGTTGGGGTCCTGCCTTCCCGGCAGTGGTTATGGTTTGGGTGCCTCCCATGGAGGTGGTCGTCCCGACACCGGCTTTGTGGACGGTAATTACTTGCTTCCCGCCGGTTCCCACCGGTGACTTCAGCAAAGTGGTAGGACTCGCCAAACGGACGGTCTGTGTTGCGCCTGGAACGAAAGAATTAGTGAACTTCCAAATCTCAATTTTTTTCATCGTCCACGGCTGATTTCATGACTCGAATTCGGCACCAGCTTGTTCGCTCGGGATCAACCAAACGGATCGAACGCATTTTCCCGGGCTGCGGAAACTGAGAGCAGAGGCATGACCTACCTTGGAGCGACTGTTGGCTGACTATTTTGACAGGCGTCATCATCTGTCCGGTCTTGAGAACTTGTTGATGACCGGTACCGATGACGCGAATCTGTTGGGACGGAGGTCGAGACCTCACAACTGTCACTCCAGGAGTCGTGGTGCGAATTCCAGGAGTAGCAACGCGTAATGTAGACACTGGAGTTCTTGGAGTAGGACCACGCACAAGCTGTCCCGGCGAGACCAATCTCGTATGCACTTTGGCTGTCGTCAACGGTGTGGTAGTGACGGGAGTCACGTTTGTCGACGCTTGAATCTTGTGGATGGTTCCCGTTGGGGTCGCCGTGGGAGTTGCGGCTGCGACGGCTATGGGGGTTCCAGGCACAGATACGGCTGGTTGTGCCTGCTGCACAGGAGTAGGAGGTGCAGTTGTGGCGGGAATGTCGTATCGTTGGACCTGCAGAAGATACTGTTCTGCGACAGGCACCGCTCCCCAACAAACCTCGAGACTCGTGGTAGAGGCTTTTACCAGCTGCACTCTGGCCGGTGGCGGTGGTTTTTCGGTCTCTAAGAACCAGAGATCCTTGCAGCAGACTTGATTGTTCCAAGCCTTCCGATATCCGTCGCGCCCGGACCAAATGAATAGACGGGAATTTATGGCCACCGCACAATGGCCGGCTCTTGCTCTCGGTGCGGTGTCTTCGTAAGATTCCATGTGGAGCGCCTCCCATGTCATGTTCTCCAGGTTGAGTGAAGCCAGCGTGTTTGTGCACTTCCATTCCTTCTCATGGGTCGCGCTCTTGGCGTCTTCCATCACCAGTGGAACCCAGCCGCCGAAAACGTACATTCGATGCCCGATTAAAGTAGCTGAATGCAACGATCGCGGCAAGGGGGGCGGTCCGGCGACCGCCGGCTTGCACCATACGAGTTTGTCGACTTCGAGGACCCACAAATCGCCTAATCGGCATCCGCTCATTCCCCCGTACACAATTAGGAGGTGTCTCTTTTCTTTGTTCTGGTAAGCCACGGCTGTGTGACTTTCTCGCGGTGGGGGTGGGGTCCCCGAAACCGCTGGCACGTCCCAGACCATCGCCGGAGAGTTCGCACGCAGCTCCAGCGTGTACAAGTCGTTGAGGTATCTTGGGATATTATTCTTGGGATCATCGCTGTCGTTCGCGAGACCCCCGAAGAGGAAAACTCTATTATTTATCAGGGTAAACGAGTGCCCGAGTCGAGGACAAGGCGGCGGCGCGTTCCTGGGCTGACGCGGTCTGAGACGTTTCCACTCCCACCTCTGGAATTGGAGCTCGTAGAGCTCGTTCGAATACTTTCCGTATTCAACCATCCCTCCGAATACAAGCATGCGACTGATTCCATCGCAGACGAATCCGTAGGCCGCACAGCCGGGAGGAATATCGCCCTTGACGCCGGGCACGAGCCAGGTGTTGCTCGCTGAAAACGAAACTCCGGTAAGATAGAGCCGAGCGAAAGACGATTCCTTCTCGAGAAACTCCGCTTCTAATGCGCATCGAGCGCATCGATTCCCATGTGTGCAAACGCTTGAGGGTTGGATTCGATCGATCCGCTGTGTGAAATCTTCTCGATGCCCCAGCTAGCTCGAGGCTTCCGAGAAGAACCGATCGAGAAGGAAAGCATCAAGATTTTAAGGGTAGGAAATTTGTCCCATGATGTGAATCGCGTTGTCGCACGTTCAAATTTATTCGCAAATAGTATTGGCCGAGCCAATTAGGCCGAACTTCTTGATTTCGAACGCATAAACTCGACTCCCATGTTATGCGGGATCGGCTTGCTGCCACATATGCGCAACTCGGGCGTTCGAAAGACCGTCTATGATGGACACCCGAATTCAGATCCCCTGAATCTTTTCTTCGAGGCGCGTGAAATATCACGGTGCCCAGCTGAATTTTCGCTGATCTAACAGAATTCTATCAGGCGTCTTCTCGAAGACTCTTCCTACATATTATGATCGGGTTCCGGATGAGACACCGCTGCTCGGCGATTTTCGATGTAGAGGCGGTAAGAATTTTCGCGAGTCGGATTCAACTATCGCTGACGAGCCACCCAGTCGTAGGGATCCTCAGGATTCCCCTGTATCCGACTCGCGATATTGCCGGCCTTGGGCGAAAAAATTCGCGGCGCCTCTCTGCTTCTACGAGAATCCTCCCCCAAATACCGCCGCCAACAACATGGACGCGGTCAAGGCGCAGGCTCTCAGCCTCTTCGGGAGCAGGGAAGAAGCAATGTGCGTCGCGTTTCGATGTGGTCATGTATGAGACTTTGAACGATCGAAAGAATTCATCGAGCTTTGCCGGCCGGCGATCAGCGAAAATTCGATCTCGGCTCAGCGCGAAGATTTCTAGCATAGATTCCAAGCAGAAAAGCCAAGGAAAATTTGTCAATAGAGAGTTGTTGTCAAACACCGACGCCGTAGATGTAAACTCGCAGCCTACTACTTCGCTTAGGCTTAGCGGACTCTGGCGCCATTTTCCATCGTTCACCAAATGGAAATTTATAAATCACTTAATAAGCGGCGGCTCAAGCGCCAAGCGGAGCCGATCCGATCGCGGCAAGGTCTGCCGGCACGAATAAGTTTCGAAGGACATCGATGTCAAATTCCATGTTTTGATCGCAGACACTTCGATGCTGTCGCTCGACTACAAGTTCCATTGGCGCAGTGGTGGCCGCCATTTTTGCCCGGCCAAACAAAACTTCTCGAAAAGTTGGAAATCATGAACCTTCGCACGCGATCGTTGTTCTTATGGGTCGTCCCAATCCAGCGTGATCGTTTCATGTCGCATCTCGGGCGGGATATTCCGTAGCGCTCGCTTAAAGAGTAAGCTTGAAGGGAACACAGCGGCCATCTTCCTTTCGGTAGAGGGGGTCTCAACTTACTTGAATTGTACACATGAAGTTCGTCAACGATTCCTTCGTTACCACCGCCGAAAACGACCATGAGGTCTTTGAAGGCCACCGCGCGGTGTCCATGACGTGGTCGGGGGGTAGGACCTTGCGTATTTGTCTCTTTTTTCCATTTCAGGCAGGGAGTCGCCATCTTGTCAATACAGACTTCTGCGGAGCTGAGCATTGTGGGATCGCGCGCCGGCACCTCCAGACGCTATAATTGGAAAAGTGCAAGAATCGCACCCGGATTCTAGGAGAAGGAAACTCGAATAGAGAAAAAATTCACACACAAAACCTGCACTCCGCAGAGCGATTCTTCTTCTAAACAGACTTAAACATTGAATGAAATCATCGAAAGCCTTCGGTGCGGAGATCCAAGATGGCCGATCGGCGGCGCTGCGAGCGGGCGCGGGAATTCGAATTTGAAGAAGGGCCGACCGAAATTCGCTTGACTTCAGATAGGAAACTTATTTCGCGGGAAAACTTACGCGCGTTTTCGATACATGAGGACAAAACTCGGTCGCCGCATGACCCTGGGGCGAGACGGTCCATTTTATCGAGAATCTCATAACGGCTGATTTTGATTCTCGGGAGCTTCCCTCCCGTTGTAGGCCTCGAGTCGCCGCGGTAAGATTCGAACGCGAGTAAAATAATAAACACAGAATACACCGCGCCGCGCCGCCGTGAACCTTTTCAGCCTCTATCTGGAACACACGACCAAGGTGAGAATCGAGCATTCGAGCTCTGAAGACTTCGGCCCCAGCGGTGACTGCTTTTGCAACTCGTAGAATATTTATCGTAGGGTCGTCGTCAAGCGGGGACGAACTCCGATGCCGGCTTGCAGGGTGGGCGCCGGTCTGGATTACGAAATCGGCTTCTCGTATCGCGGCCGGGTGGGAGGACGGAAGGAATCAGTTTTCTTCTCCATAGCGAGAATCCGAATATCGGAGGTTTCTGGAGCGCACGGCTAATTCCGCCCCGATCAGAAATATCGATGAATAGAAAATCGCGAATCCCCCCCCCCGAGCCATCCGTTTCTCGTCTTTTCTTTTTCGCTGTCAGACGAATGGCGACGGATCCATGCCCCCGTGTGGATGATCTGCCCACTGAAGCTCATTCTCTATCTCGGAATAAACTCTCTCGTTTCTCCCGCAGCCGTCAATATGAGTTCTGCAAAGCCGAAGTCCGAAATGACTCCTGAGGAGCTGGCCAAGCGTGAGGAAGAAGAGTTCGAGACGGGGCCGCTGTCCGTGCTGACGCAGTCAGTGAAGAACAACACGCAGGTTCTGATAAATTGCAGAAATAACAAGAAGTTGCTGGGTCGTGTAAAGGCCTTTGACCGGTAAGCTGAGTCCAGAATTTTGATGCGTCTCAACTTATTGAGCATAGCTCGATTGCCTCGAGACAATACTTGAGATCAAACAACATTCCGTGAATTCCAGACACTGCAACATGGTGTTGGAAAATGTCAAGGAGATGTGGACGGAAACCCCGCGAACTGCTAAGGGACGCAAGGGTCAGCCTGTGAACAAAGATCGATTCATTCCAAAGATGTTCCTGCGGGGCGACTCGGTCATCATCGTCTTGCGGAACCCTCTGCAAGCTGCAAAGTAAAAGCCGGGCAAGCGAATCATTGAGATCGATATCCTCCCCGAGAAGGTGGACATTGTATATTTTGTATGATCTTCCGAGGGGTCCCTCGAATAAACACCGGAATTTCTGTGATTCGAATTCCCACTGTCTGGATCTGCCCTTCTCATTGATGCTGGAGAGGCGCAACCCTCAACTTTCTCGTTTGAAGCGTTTGAACGACGAGTGAGAAAACGAGGTCTGAGTGGTCGGTATCTCTGGGATGTCACAAGTTGGGAACACATGATCCTGAAGGGTCTCGTCCTCTCGAGCAAGAAATGCCTCGGGGGGTCGAGCGGAATTCTCGGAGAACAAAGAGGGGCTACAGCTGGGAATCAAGACGCGCTCCCCAGGGCCCATATTTCGGCATTTTTTGTGGTGGAGATCTTCAGGTGGAGAGACGTCTCTTCACAGAACATTGATCAAGAGCTCATCTGCTTGGGGATGCACTAGTTTCTAGCCATTCACTCTGTTTCCCAGCGTCGGAGAACACTCTGAGTCCCTGACGAAATTCTCCCTCTTTTCGCAGGATTTCTCTCATGTCCTGCTACGGACATGATGCTACGGATGCGGTAAATCTGAGGCTCTGTCCCCACTAGACCCTTTGGCGAATTTATTGCTAGAACAATGCGTCAAGCGTGTGGCGAAAAATCCACGGCTGCCAAACGACCTATCCTCTGGGACCACGCGGAGATACCATCGCAGAAATGCTATTACAGTAAAAGCTCGTTATAAGGGCCCCCATTACAACGAATTTTTCGGTACAAGGAACAAGGAATTTCTCCTCCTTTGGCCAGCTCGCCATAGGGATAGTATTGAGCGGCATTCGTTACAGTGAAAACTCGGTACAAGGAGCCAGTTTCGTCGGTCCCTTCGTGTTCGTAGTAACGAGCTTTTACTGTATATAGAATACGAATCCGGACCCAAGATGAGCTTGAACGCCAGTCTGGACACCATGCCCTTGTGAAACCTGAAATTCGATTATCAATTATCATATATCGGGCGGTGTGGCCGTGGACAAGAAAATTCTTCTTCTCAATGAAATCGATTTCACATCGTGTGAACATTTGTCTGAATATCACCCAGCTCGCTCATTTTCCCGCTACCAGGGACTCTCGGATATGGTGGACGCTCTTGGCCGGTCCCTCGAGGTCCACTATGTGAATTTATGGCGATTCCACTGTACGATGGGGAGCCTAAAGCACACCTGTCGATTGCGATGGGAGGTTCCTCCGGATGCTTCCTATCCTCGTGTATAAGAAAGCTGATGAGCGACAGCTCCAGTTTTGACTGGGACTTTCACTGGATGGGAGCTTGAATTTTTCCCTCTTCCTACACGAGAACCGACTCCCCTTTGCAGCCCGCAAGGTATGGCTTGATGCCTCGATGCATTAGAAGGAGAAATTCGAATCTCTTCAATCGACTCTTTAACAAGGGAAAAATCTTCTGTACGGGCATTTTTATCACTGTGTATTCAGTTCGGTTGAAATGGCTTCCGAATATTGTCCAAAGAATGGATATGCACTGAAGTTTGCCCACTCAGGTGCATTCTGTTTCGTATTGCGCTCGGAAATCCAACCAGATCGTGTCCCATTTATCGGAATGCAGCATTCGCCAATCTTGATGAGAAACTCCGAGTGAAGCGGCTCGTCGGGCGGAGGTTTGGATGACTTGGGTCATTGCTCTCCGTGGAGACCTCTCGGTCATTCAAGACTGTGATGAGACTGTCATTTAAGACTGTAATGGAAGACAACGATGAGCTCCCTGCCGAACTCTGAGGATGGAATGTACGAGTGTTTTCATTTTTCCGAGACACACGCACTCGACCCCCAGGTGGGGTCTCCGCATCGTAGTAGATGAAATTGAGACACCATGGGGCATCCGGGAGCCGAGAGGAATTTTCGACTGTCCTCTATCAGAGTACATCGACGAACTTTCTCCCATCCTTCGCGGCTCCCGAAATCGATGCTCATAGATGACTATTATTCATCTTCATCATGATCGTGATCTTTCGAGCTCGAGGGATGTCCGATGGAGACTCGAGTTCTCCGCTTTGTGCCGAGGTTCGCGTGACATATTCCACGGGAAAAGATCACACTCGGCGTTGACAGCGAGGACTGTTCTCTTAGAGTCTTAGAGAACCTTTCTGAGCGGGGAACGGCGATCGTCAATCATAGGAATACGTCATTCTCGACAAGGCTCCATTGTCGTTCCCGCGGACAGCCTGTTGCAGCATCGGAATCGCAGTCTTGCGGCTCCGGTCACCGATTGTCCCGGTCGATGCCGGATGCGAGACCAGGTCGTCGTGGTCTTCATTACCCTCAAGATCCTCACCAAGATGTCAGCCCCAGCGGCAAGGCAATGACCCCTGCCTTGTTTGAAGAATATGCGACCCCCGTGAGTACCCGAGAGGGACTTCCGTGCATGTTCGAGATGTTTTGAGCATTCTTCAAAGTGGAAACAGGCTAATGACGTCCACATTACCCTGTACTTTTTCCCGCTCCTTCCCTCTCCGAGCTGCGCTTTTCACCGAACGAGTGACTGCGTCTGTGTGATTCCGTGAGTCGCTCTCAGAAATCTATCATGAGCGGTGGTGGCGACCACTAAGAAGGTGAGCCAGAAATCTCTCCTGAACCGGAAGTATCGCCTCTGAGGAAACTCGAGCTCGAAATTCAGAGGAGAAATTCCGGATTCTATTTTACGGGCTTGTTCTTCCCGAGGCTCTTGTTTTCCACCCGTTGGAGGACTGACAGTTCTTTCGAACTTGTATCCGTTCTGTTTCTTTTCCCGCGGAAGGCATGCTCCACAAGGACAGAGTGATTCGATTACTCGGTCAGAAGCTCGAAACTTTTGTCGATCGATGCCAGGTCCCCTGTAAGTTCGACGACGAGGCGAAGCCGGACTTCTCAGATACCACGTTATCGGGGGCTAAATCGCGCACCGCATGTAGCTGCGCGCCATGCTGACGCCGTCATCACGGAGGGGGTCCCGGCTTCAACTCCCGGGGTCGGCCGATAATCATGAAGCATGATTTTTTTGAGACGAAGATTCTCGATTCAAAATAAAGATGTCGATATGAGTCTGTGTCCAGGGGGCGGGGATGGCGCCTTCGCGTATTCCCTCCCCAACCGATCCTGGTGAGGCCGCGAAAAGAATTATCACCTCTTACGCTCCCAGAGCTAATGAGTAGGGCCTTCATTTTGCCGGAAATGTTCGGTTCCCGTCCGTTTGTTCGGTTCTGTGCGGCTGCGCGATAAATGTCCGGTTTTTCGGTTCTCATAGCGCAAAAAGCGGAATTCTCGATAATCTCTCGATCAGACCAGCATATTAGGAAGCAAGGGCCTCTCAGCTATAATATTCCAGTCAAAAGTCCACTCCAGAATACAAACGAAATATGTAGGCATAGCTGAGCTATATAAGCGATAACAAAGAGCTTCGCTCCAGTCTGTCTCTGACCGCATCTCTTACTGGCGCAGCCGACATGTTCACTCGCAACTCAGCGAGCAAATGCAAAACGATGGAAGAAAGTTTGACCCAAATGTGCACGGAGATCATCGATAGAACCAAAGAAAGGATGCCGCCGACATAGTTCCAGCTGGCGTATCCCTTGAAAGCGTATCCCTCTATTCAGTTCGATTCGGATCTCCCTCTCGGAGGGTGAAGCGCCGAGACTCCAGAATGACACTGATGTTCTCAGATTTACTATGTCCGCTTCGCCAGTTCGGTCAGTCGTGCCATGTCCGCCGGTTTTCGGGAGAAAAATCCGCTGGCTCAAGCATGCTCTCATTCACAGCCTTTGCCGCTCCAGCTTTCCGTGACCCACCATTGATGTGTGCAAGCGCGCCCATCTTTTCCGAAGGTTTGTTCGGCGATTCGAAGCTCCCTGATTGATTCGTTTGTGATAGGTGATAGTCACGGGGTTGCGCACGGCGCTCGCTGCGAAAGATCTCTGGAGCTTCCGGAGGCTAGAGAGGAAATTCCTGTCCCTCGCCCTTGGTGAAAGGAATCCGCGATTAATGCTGCTTCGATCTGCTGAATATCCGGTTCGACCTCTGTTTCCTGAAGTCTGAAGCATAACGCCTGCCATTTCGGGAACGACTCGCCTTTTTGGAGTAAATCAATATAAACTGTACGAATATTTGAAAATACGAATGTTTACTCTGATATTCTCTGTCCAAATTTTCTTCGACGTGATTTCCTTCATGAGTATCCTCCTGTCCCCTAGAGCTGAGGCCTACAAAAAGGCTCCGCCCCGAGACTGGCGGCATTCTTCTCCGTTCGTGAATAACCCGACCGGGATAGCCCCACAAGCTGCGTCTCCCGACCAGCCGAAAGTTGTCTCGAATCAATGGGCAATTTTCTAAGTGGTCATTGGTGATCCTCGATAGAATGGTTTGGCTTCTCTCTCGTGCTGAAGTTCTAATTTAGAGCCATCAGAGAAGACGAAAACTCGAGGTTCAAGATCATGTTTCTCAAAAAGCGTTCATCTGTGAATTTTGTATCGGTGCGTCCGAGCGATAGTGTTCCTCGCCAGGCGCTGTCTTACGTGACAAAGAGGACCGTATCTATCGTATTCGTATAGGATCTTGGCCCACGCGTTGTTGTTCTCGCATGGACGTTGGCTTCTGTTTATTGTCGATTGTCGCTCCGATTGGTAAATAGGTCTTTCATGGCTTCAGGAAAGGAAAAAGCACTTAGAGGACTTCGGTCTCGCCTTTCTCGAGAGCCGCAGTGTTCCGACAATTCCTCCTCGTTCGCTAATGAACAGCTTCCCTTCTGCTGCTTCCCTACTCCGGTGAATAATGCACTTGACTTCCGATGTCTCTACATAAGAACAGAGTCCATGAAATCGGAAAGTTGTTACTGATATCTAAGTGAATCGAATGGATCCGACCGTTCCGATCTATTCCCTCCTTGCTGAGGAAATAAGTCCTCGGCGATTTCCGGTGCATCATGCTCGGACATCAGAACGATTCGTGTAATTGGTAGAGAATCGAGCCCTTGCTTGGTTCGGACGGCAGGATCGACGAGGAGCCGAATAATTCCACGAACGAAATTCCTAGGATGACCCATGTTCCCGAGTGCCTCTCACGTATCTTGGAGCCATCAGGGGAAATATTTTCCGCCTCCTGCGACTCCAAAAGGGTGTCTTGAGTCGAATCGAACAAGAACCCTTATGAAAATCCGAGAGATCTCCTGACGTGAATAGATCGGAATTCAAGATCGCAAGGGAGTTGTCTTTTTCCGAGCGGAGCCGAATCCCGGCGGAGACCTCATCCCCAATGAGTTCAACGAGAATTGTAGCAAGTCGGCAGACGACTGGATGCCGATGATGGTGATAAGTGATCTTGTTTCCGTATTTGCCTGGTACGACCAACGATTTGCGTCCCAGAGGGCCGCGGAATCCTCCCCGACTCCCCGTCCTTATTGAAAACGGTCGACCAAGAACCTCGATGCAGGAAAAAGCACTCAGAGGTAAGGTCTCATCTCAGAAAAGGCGAGCGGACGACATAATTTTTTTCCGAGCCCCTCGGGCCTGAAATCCGTCGCGGCATCGGAACGTTCGTCGCCGAGTCCGAGTTTCGTCAATCATTGAGAGGGGTCACCATGCAAGAAGCATGCCGTCACGTGTCCTGCGTACGTGACGCGCTCGCTAGCGAGCCGGATTGTGACACTGATGTACCGAAAGCGACAGGTGTTACCTGCGAGCTAAGCGGGAGTCTGCCTTTCCGAACACGTCGCGTCGTCCGAACATTACGACTGACATTGCCGCCTCGACGACACCGACTCGGTGTCCCGGTGTCATGCCCCGCCGGGGGCGGAGTCTATGCTGTATGCTAATTTCTGGAGTGAGTGTCTGGTGCTTATTCTGCCGAATTTATTCGTCTGACAGTCTTGCAGATCATGTGAGACTCAGCGAGTACGTTTCGTCGCCTCGTCTTGTGCTGAAATGTCTTCAATTTCATTGGGGACCTGGCATTGTCGGATTCGCCAGGGAGAGATTTGAGCGCGCAGCTCGGTCCGACCCTTGGAATGAGGGACTCTACCAACGATTCTAGGGGGGGGGAAACGGAACGATTAGAGCTCGTCTCCAAGAGTGAGTCTCCACCGAGTTCGGTCATGAATCTCGAGGCAGAGAGTTCAAACTCGCCCAAAAAACATACGTACCTAGCCGACGAGGAACTTCACCGCTGCAGTCCGGTGCGGTGTCCGATGCCCGGCCTTAAAGTGCCCTACTTGGGACCAATGTCGGAGACCACCCCCCTCCTAGTGGGGTTCAGAATCGAAGAGCTTCCGGCATTCCGAGCATCTGAGACCGGGCGCTCATTCCAGGCTCGAATTCTCTTCCAATGGAAAGGATAAGGAACAGAGGTGCTCGCTGGTCAAGCTCATTGAAAGATTCTCGATTTCCTCGCCTCGGCGGAGCGAGCGCACCGCGCCAGGCAGCGTTTTCACCGGGGATCCTCCGAGAGGCAGGGGCGTACTTTACAGGCAAGCGAGGAAGAAGGGTTTGTGGAGCCGCAAGGCTGAGTGACGCCGACTGAGAGCGCGGTAGAAAAACCGAGATCGCTCCGGGAGTCTCGCAAGGCTTTATGTTTTCGATTCCTGAGAAATAGCCTGAGAACACAAGGCTGATCCTCATTGAACTCCGTTGAGTCTAGAGAGGTCTACAGACTTCCGCCTCTATTCTGAACTCTTCTTCTAGAAATCAAGAAGAATTCCGAATTCTGCGCTTCTTTCGGAATTCCATACGGTCGAACGATAGGACATGCGGAGGCAATGTAGTGGGATGCATATCCGGCTCCATGAACTCTACGATTATTGACCCCTCCATCATATAACTAATGTAAGATCCGAACGCTTCCGACGGGGGGTTTCGGCGTCCAAGTTTCAGTTGAATCGGGGGATTGAAATTTTCGGAAAAGTCGAGAATGATAGAGATTACGATCCTAGACTCCAAGGGACCGTATTGTGGAGAGGAAAAGGCTCGTTCGGAGGGTCACCTTGCCTACGAGACAGATTTATCACCAAAATACTCATGAGCGAAATAGTGAACTCGAGTGCCGACTCGCTGAAACTCGTGCTCAAGCCCGTGGGGAGTGAGGTCAGCGCCAGAACCCCGCTCTGTTTCGGATCAAAACAACTTTGTTGCGATGCGGATTCCGTTCGTATTACGTTGGGAGATCCCTCGAGCTTTCATAAGGGTTTTCTGTTCGATACGACTCCGAGTTTCCCCTATTGCACGGAGATTTGTGTCTGTCGGCTGGACAATTCACCCTAGGAAAATTTCCGAAAGTATCCGACTCCTCGTCGATCCAGTGTCATCGGCTGTATCGAGCAGGAGCTCGACTGCTCGGGAAAAAGACGCTTCGTTTGGGGAGCGACCCGGAAGCTCTCATGAAAATGTGATGATCTGTCCGAGTCCTTTCAGACGTCTGATTTTTGAAAGCTCGAAAGCGTCGGCTAGCAAGCTGCCCAGACCCGTCCCGAGCGAATGTGTGGGAAAGAATCCCTAATGTTTTCCTGGATGCACAGTCCCACCGAAAACCAGGGAAGAATAATCGAGAAAACATTTGAAAAAAAGGAGAGAACATCAGAATACGTGCTCGTAACTTCAATTTTTTTTACGGGCTTTATTGATGCTCTCTGAAAACTCGATTTTTTTTACAGATGGCGGACATGATGCTTCACGACACGGAGGTCGGATCGGGAAATCACCAGATCGGAGCGCCATAATGCACGGGGGCGGCGAACTGTGGGGAGCGGGACAGAGGTTCAGAACTTGCGTTTCTCGTATTTAGTTCTTCGAGCATTCGCGAGATCAATCGCGGCGAGTTCCATACGCGATCCCGTGACTGTGAAAAGTTAGACGATCAAGAAGCTTCGGATTCGAATACTAACCTTCGGGGCGAACAGGGGCGCGTGTGCGTATCCGTGGTGGGTCACGGAGAGAGCAGGAGCGGCATAGGCCAGAGGAGCGGCGAACTTGTGAATGGGAGCTGCATAGGCCAAGGGAGCAGCGTACTTAGTGATGATCGGAGCCGAATGAATCCGAGTCTCGTATTGGTACGAAGACGCGATAGGAGCGTACTGGAAGAAAGATAAGTCATTTCAGACAGACGGCGATCCACGGGACGAATTTCTCTGTTTTTCCGACCGAACCTTCCGCCACCGGAAAAACGGTTTTCGCTGCTTGGTCGGACCTCTGGAGGGACCTGGCATCGACCGACAGAAATTCCGAGCTTCCACTCGAGTAATTGAATCACTTCGTCCTCGTGGCTTGTGTTTTCCACGGGGGAAGAAACGGAGCTGGTATAAGCCTCAAGATCCGAGCTGCTTTCCTCAGGAGATGAAAGAAATAGCCAGACGGGATGGATGGCCGTAGAGCACTAGATCAAAATCATACTTTGATGGGAGCAGCGAGCAAGGGTGCGGAGTACAAGTGTCCAGCGTGGGCAGCAGCCACGAAGACGGCGACGGCAACAATCTTGGCGAACATGTTTAGCAGGAAACGAACTGAACACAGTGTATACTCTGGACTGCGGTCGAAAGGCTTTTATACAAAACGTACGAGCCCCCTCGCCCCCGACAAGCTATTGTGTCCGTTGCCTCTGCCGCCGCCGCGACACCGCTCGCCGATGACCGTTACGGCAACCATTACCGTCGTCGTTGTCAGCGTCGACAGGAATTCTGGGAGGGTCCGCAGCTGAATTCGGAAGGTTTTCACTTACGTTTCAAGTTCAAGTTTACTCAAAGGCGGGACGCTTAGTCCAGAATTCGTGCGGTTCTTGTTAGCGGTCGCCGCAACAGCTGATGAAAAATTCCTGCGAGCGACTTACAGAATAACACAGACGGGCAGTCACTCATTTGGGAAAAAGCGCAGCTCGAAGAGAAACCGAGAAAAAGCTCGGCAACATGAAGACATCATTAGATTCGGCCTGTTTCCGCTTTGACGAATGCACAAAACTCCTGTCCTTCTCGGTGACTTACGGGATTCGCGTATTTTTGAAGCAAGGCTGGAATCATCGTCATTGCATGCGCGCTGGGGATGTCATCTTGGCGACATCATTAAATGTAATGAAGACTGCGACGACTCGGTCTCACCGCCGACTTCGACAGAAACAATTGGTGACCACAGCCGCAGAAAATGCAATGTTTCTGACGCTGCAACAAGACTATTCGCGGGAATGACAATAGAGCGACATCGAGGGTGACGTATTTATATGATTGACGATCACCGCCCCCTGTTCAGAGAAACGCGGCGCTCGAGGAGAGCTGTTCTTGTGATCAGCATACAGTACGAGCTTCTCCCATGGAATCAAGTCACGCGACTTGTCGATCCTGATCAGTGAGCCCTTTTGTTTCGAGCGGCCGCCAGGAGCTCCGCACAGGATTCGCATGACGAAGCACAGTCATCTACAACGTCGTGAATGCCGCGCAGAGTCAAGACGATCTCGTCCAGGTACCGCGATGGAGATCAAAGGGAAGTTCCCTCACTGCCAAGCTGTCCGAATTGAGATTCATCTATGTAATTTCTAGGTACCTACCCCGGTGTATGACCCCTGATCTGAATGAACCCTTCCTCCTGAGAGAAACAGGGAATGAGGGAGGATTCCAGGTTCGGAATCAAAGTTTGGAGCTTTTCTGCTCACCATTTGACCCGGATAAGCAGTTCTTCGGCATGCGAATTCTGCCGACGTGAATTAGTTTCCAGTTCTCCGCATTGCCTTGAAAAAGCTTGACGGGCGACGGGGAACTCATTCCTCAGGGCAATGACCCAGGCCCTCCGCACCTTCAGAGTTGACGACTCCGTCACCGATGAATATGAATCTCCGGGAGGGGCTCTAAAAAAGCATACGGAGCGCTCCAAACCTCGACGTCCGGAAGAGAATTCACCCATATGATTAGGATTCGCGAGCACTCCTTGACTGGACGATTCCTCCTGGGAACCCACAAGAGAAGGACCGAGGGGGGAAACTCCTGCTGCGGCCAAAGGAATGAAAATCGTGGTTTCCAACGATCTAAAGTGAGCTAGATCTTCGGAACTTTCTCATCAGAACGGATTTGTCTCTCAGGGTTATGGATCATGGGTAGGGCTGAAGATTTTTTGCGGACCGCCATTTTTCCGCGAATTTTCGCGGAATTTCCCGGCTACTCCTCATAGAGTTTCAATGGAGACCGCGGATTGCCCCAAAAAATCTTCAGACCTAATCATGGGTCATTCCACGATGTTGCAAAAACTAAGTTAGTGTCCGATTGGGCGTCCGGAATTCTGCGGGCCTCTGGCGCAATTGCTTCTCATCGATGATGATCAACCCGAAAACCGGTGTAAGTTGATATCCCATAACAGAGCGGACTCGGGGAACCTGCTTGTGGAGAAGACCACGGCGATCTCCAAAATCTTGACCTCGAAAAGGTACCGTGAGAAGCCGAATACATCCCCGGCAGAACTCTTCCTGCTTTACGGAGACTCCCCTTCCAGAATTTCCTCAGTGAGATTCAGATGAAGGGAGACGATGAAGGGAGGCTAATACGTATTCACGATCAGGGCATGCTCTCATTGTGCTGCACTGCGCGGCGCATGTCCACACTATCAGACTCCTCGATCACTAGATGCTCAATTCCGGAATTTAGTTCCCGAAAATCAATCGGAACCTCGGACCATGCGACACCGCTCGAGATCTTCGATCGGAATAATTCTGCGTCGTGGTCAGAGAAATTTCAGCAGTTTCTATGCTAGAAGCCCTTATCGCTCCGCGCATTGTTGTGCGTACGAAGGTAACCCGCGTCAGAATTATCGGATATGCGTCCTTGCCAAAGAATATGGGTCCGAAAAATCTGAAAGCCAGTCACTTATCCGCACTAGCCGCCGGTATAAGGGATCTGCCCACTGACTGACATCGCATCAATCTGTCAGATATCTGACTTCGCAGCAAAACGAGGAAGGGCCCAGCAATTATAGCTCGAAGAAATTTTGATCTTTTTTTCCGCTTGCCGCGGATACGGGCGAGGCTGAATTCCTCGTGTCATTGGCAGTCGTCTAAACGTCTAAAGGACCAAACGGACCGGAGCTGTTGGTGACGGTGCCGTTCACGGAGAGCACTTGAAAGGAAGCGAAAGCGAGTCGAAAAGCATGAAAAGAAAGTCGGCGCGGGAGGAATTGATAGCAGCGGGAAAAAAGACCGAGAACCGCTCAGTAGCCGTTCGAGTCAGAGCTTGCGCTGACGGCAAACAGTTTTCTGTCGTCAGCTGATTTCTCTTCTTGTCGCTTCGGACGGTGAAAAGTTTGGCGGAGAACTCTCACTCTGTTAGAGTGATCATATCGATTTTTGATTTTCCATTTCCTGTATTCGGCGCGGTATTCGGCCCTCTCTTCTGTCTCTTGGACCGAAGAAGGGCCCCTCGACGGGGAATTAGCGACGGAATGACTCACTTCACCTTGAATGATGACGCGTCAACGGATAAGTCTATTTGCTCGGACAACGGCGCGGCGGCGGAACTTGAGGTCTTGATCACTTTCTGCTCCTCGAGAGAAAATTCGAGAAAAAAACACTCCCGCATCTATCACCCCAGCACATTCAGCTATCAATGTCAGACTGAGGGTGAAAATACGATTTCCCTTCTATCAGGTGATTGAAAAAATTCGGATGCAACGACCGGTGCAGATTTTCGCCAGCCTCTCCTTTCTGATCCCCACGTCGAATTTTCAAAAATTCCGATGAAGGATTCCGCTGAAAATTTGGAAACTGGAAATGTTGTAGGTCTATATTCAATACAAGGACGGTGCTTAAGGAATGACGGCTTGTCTTCTAGGTGAGAATAGAGTTCTTCAACGGAAGAGGATTAAAGCTGAGGGTGTAACTGGCTCGACATGTCGACTTCTTTGCTATATATCACAGAATATTGGAACAACGATGAACTTAGGTTCGCGACTCCGAACAGCATCGATCTTGAAGATGTAACACTTTGTCAAGACAAATGCCGCACTTGAATGTTGGCTTCAACGAGACCTAGCGCCTAGCGTCTGCCGATGACGCCTCCGTCTGCACCGAATCACCCATTGCGAGCTCGTGGCTTAGGCTTCGCACGGATTCCAGGAGATATAGACGAATAATCCGATGATGACTGCCGCGCAAATTACGAAACCGAGCGTCATTTTTCTGTGGACACGAAGCGAAGGTTAAGACTATGAGCGGGAGCGTACGATCGGCTGCATGGTGCTCAAATTACTGTGCGCGATCTAAACCAGCCTGATTTAAGGGAATCTCAAACAATAGAAGATCAAGGGACAAAAGATCGTGTTATTCTAGGCCAACGTCCCGTATGCTATCAGAGACATGGCGATGTTTCTCGCCGCGATTCATTTGCCTCGCGATTCGAGCAATTTGTAGCGATTCGTAAACAAGAATTTTCCGCCGCGAAATTATCGCTCCGCTCTGTCCCAGAACTTCGATCGTGAACGTACACGGGACCTCAGAACCCATTCCATCGAGTGATGCAGAATTCTGAATCGGAAGCGGAACCAAGGCTCTCTCTCCTTTCATGGGCGATCTCGGAGTCTTCGGGAATCGTCTCAAGCCAAGATTTCGAGAATAGTCCATCTCCTACCCATTTAGAATGGCAGCTACCCGCGAACGTTCCCAGTGACGCTGCTGTGGCAAGCCAGATGTCCGTGTCACGCTCCATCACAAATTATGAGGATCGGATATCAAGACAGATGTGTTTCAATGACTTACAGGAACGGGTAACGAAAATACATCCTCATAAAGAAAAATAACAGCTCGGACATATTTAATGTTCGAATCCGAGGCTCACGACACCCCGCCCATGGAATCGATGTGAACGCTCACACAGATTTTTCCGCCCGAAAAACGCAAGAAAATCGCCAGCTGTCAACGGAGAAAGCAAGGTCGCGGACTTTCATGGCAAAATTGATGTCGGACGGGCCGCGGATTTTTCACGGTGTCATTCGCAGTCTTATAAATCATTTAATAAAGATTGGAAAACAGAAAATCCGCCTAAAATAGACCGCAACTCACATCTGGGATACGAGTACTCGGCGAGCAGGTAGTCGCTGTCCTGCCGAGAATCACGGTTCACCGAAGAGCACTCCAAGACCCCACGAGGACTTCTCGCTTCGGAATCCCCGACGTTCACTGTCTGAAGAAAATGCTGTGGGGAACTTTTAGCATAAGAAATGACTCATAACTCCGGTGAGGGTTTAGCGTATCATTACGGTATGGTGACGCAATTCTGAAATGACTACTGACTCACTCACACGTCCGTTCGGCACCTTTCGGTCGGGCGAACGAAGAAGAAAAACTCCGCCAGAAACGTCACGGGATGGCGAAAGTGTCCAAAAGTGTTTTTCTTCCGACTTCATAAGGCAATATCCGATGTCGAGAAACCAGCTGATGGAGTAAGGCTGGTGATAGTCTACTGGATGCGCGATCAAGACATCAAATAATGATGGCACACATAGTGTGCGGCGGGGTCTTCTGTGTCTCCGCTTCTTCTCAGGTTTCGACAGGGTATCGTCACGATTCTCGCCCTCGTTTCAATCGCTATGCTTGGGAGACTTGACGATATCCGTAGTCAGGGAAGGTTCGCGGAACTCTCGCTGATCCCGCGCCCAGGATCTGATTTTGAACGGAATATTTCATGAGAAAGTTGAAGTTTTCTCGCATAAAACTCGGAACTCGAGGCTGCTCATTGAGATTTCCGGTACGGGAACCGCGAGAACAATCTGATAGGTATCGATCGAAAACCGCAAGGAAGAGAAATCACCGCCCACGATGCTGCGAGAGTCGCTTCGGCGGAACTGATTCCTTTTGGACGGAGGAACTGATCGCCAGAGGTGTCTGGGGGGAACGAGAGAGATGGTGGTCGCTGCCGTCGACGGTGTGACGGGAGTTCCTGTGGGCGAGGAGAGCAAACAATCAGCATTTCCGGAATGAAGCCAGAGGATTGTCTCCCTCAACTCCCATCATAGCGGCTTAGTGAAAGTTTCGGGAGGGAATCATCTTTTGTTAATCCAGGAAGTCCTCTCATTGTTTCCGGTTCGATTCCTGCTTGACCTTTGTAAATTTTCAGGAGAGAGAAGCCCCGGAGTCAGAGAGGATGTCTTCTTGGTGATTGCCCCGATACTGGGAAGGGAGGAGGGGTGGGGCTCTAGGAATATCATCAAGTTCGAAGATTCCAGATCTCATCTTCCGATGAGACAGTTCGTCTCTGCCTCAGAGCTGATTTTCATGGGGTGAGCCATGTTCCGAGACTTCAAGCTGAACCGGAATAGGCCGCATCTTGAGATCTCACTCCGAGTGGAACCTCCTCGGTTTCTAGGGAATTGTGATGCCCTTCTGCGGCCAATCCTCGTCAAGTTCCGGAGTCTGCTGCCCCGTTGTGAGACTCCGTCTTCCTTACGAATTTTATCGCTCTCGACGTAGGTGCAGAGAACATCAATTAACAGCGGAGCGACTAATTGTCGCGAGAAGAGCTTGTTACTCGCTGCAACCGCCCGACCCGCTTTTTGAGCAAGCTCCAACTACTCGCGCTCTATTCAGTTGCAAATAAGACGGAGCCGAGGAGTCATGAATACAACTGCTTAGCTCGAAACACTTCGACGCGAATCGTTGCGAGCGCTTTCGAAGAGAATGCGCTCAATCTGCTCGTGGCTGGTGGAGAATAGTTTTTCTCTGATCAGCGGAACAACGTTCGATGCTGTCCGTGATTTTCCGGTGACTTCCGGTCGAATCTCTTGCATACGAGAAACTTCCGGAGATGACTAATTGCTTGTCATTTAATCGGAGCTCGACCTAGAAGGGTGTCGAACCAAGAGGCCATTGTTCAGAGGTATCGGGGCGGGGAAGACGAACCTTCCATGAATGCGCCGTCGTCTCTTCCCGTCAACGCGAGCTCTTCCGGGCGAGCGTCTGGGTTCGGCCCGCAGAACTATCCCCTCTCCCAATCCTGACGAGTTAAGCTCAGCGCAGTCGCCCAATTGTTTGTTCACGATCCGTATGGGAGGAGAAGCCTTTTGTGCAAGGGGCCTGTCGAGAATCGAGAACGTTGGGTTAGAATTGGGAACTCAGCGGAGTTAGGTGTCGGTTCAATCGAGCTCGAGCTCAAACAAGATCCGCCCTCGAATCTTAGCCACGCGCAAAAGCCGCCTTCCTCTGCATGAAGACACTCTTGAAGACTTGGAATCCGATCGCGAATCAGCTCTCCAAAGCGTCCGGTCGCACAACAACATAACGCACATCCGAGAGGCAATCTCCAGAGTTCCTGGAAAACTTCCCTCAGACTGTCATATCCGGTACTTGAATCCTCAGGGAATCATCATCTTCCCAAGTCAACTCGAGCGTCAAATGTGGATCAGATCATCAGTGGAGCGTATCTCGATGAATAGCTAGCACCAACAGTCGTTGCAGGCCTCAAGTCACGAGTTATTCTGGCGTTTCCATTGTGATTTCGTACGGTGGTCGTGCAGTCCGGTGCCAGGGTAAACGTCCTCGGTATCTGTCTTTGGATTCAACAAAAGCCTCAGCTCAGTGAGAAAACGAGCCCTACACTTGAGGAGCAGTCTTCTGATGAGCAGGGAAGCTGATCGAATGCTTGCTCGAGAGGTTCTGAAGCAGCTTTCGATTGAAATTATGTACCACCATTCTCCATCAGACTTGTCCAGCAGTGTGAGATCGCAGTCTCCGGGTCATAGTCTGCCGGCGGATCACCCCATAAAAACCGCACCATCGGACTAAGATTCGATCTCTCTTTTTGGAATCAAAGGGCACTTGAACTGAGCTCGAGAAACCTAACAGCCCACTGAAGACTCATTTATAAACAGGCTGCGAAAAACACGAGGTCACGAACGAGACAATTTCTAGCTGACTCCACCCTCGGACGATGAACGCGGAGCTCTAGTTGTCGAAGAACAGCTAGAACTGCCCTGATTTTCTCTTCTTTTCCAATTCATCCGGATCGCATTAGCGATTCCGTACGGATTCTCCCGACGACTCGACCTGCTATATATTATCCACCTATATAAGGGTACCTGTATCTGGGGAATGATTGGGGTTTTTTGACTACGGTCCATCCGGCCCCTGTTTACGCGTACCCTTTGAGCTGATTCCCGTTGTCTAAGAGAGAAACCCCTGAAGAATCGCGGAGAGCGATTCTATGGCTCAGCTCGAATCGGAGCCTTCAACGAGGAAGCTGGAATAAATCGGAAACCGAAAACACATCCCCGGGGTATACAGAGACAGAGAGTACACCAATGACTTCTTGATAATATCGATTGTTTTATTACTCGATTCCCGTAATATAATTTTCTTTTTAGACAGTTCCGGGGCACCACCGTCAATTCCTCAAGGGCGCCCTCACGCGCTCGGTAAAATTATTCCTCGTCTTCTATAAAATCGCAAGGAAGTAGGGTCATGAAGGATGAATACAGACTCGCTGTCGGTCGAGTCGATTTAATGACCAGACTGGTCACGAGAAACGATCATGCTACCCTACCCCAACAGTTCAACCGTGTCAATCCTGGACTCCTGAATTTGGATCGAGGACCATGGAGAGCTCAACATCAGAATAGATCGCTTTGCGAGGAGAGATACTCCTTCCCTCGAGACGTGGTGGGACTTTCCCTCGAAGTCAATGATCATCGTATTCGTCATGTCTCTTATATCGTAGCGATTCTAATTATTTTCCAGTAGGACGTGCAAGATTCCAATTTACACAAATCTAGTAGCTCTTAGGTAACCTCTTCCTTCACTGGTATCTTCTCCTTTCGCTACCAAAATATGCTCTCGCTCTGAGCCGTCACTCTTTGTCTAACCCTCCTAAATGGTTCAAAAACTTCCAGGATGGATTTCTCCGACTCGATGAACCAGATCGCGTAACGTATCATTTTCGAATTCCACAGCCGGACACTGTATCATTGTTCACCAGATTGCCTACGGTTCGCGCTTCGCGTGAGGTTTGAGTCAAGTATCGTGACCAGGAGAAAGATTTGAGCAGAGCCAAGAAACCAGAACTTGTACAAATCAGGAGCCTAGGAAATAGCATGTAGCCGATTCTTCCCCGATACCACGATCCGGAACCCCTCAGCTTCAAATGACCAAATTTGAAAATCCCACCCTGTTCTGATGCTTCATTACCATCCTCTTCATTCCAGGGGCCAAATTTTCCCCCTTCGGGACCTATAATATTCAGGCTACCTCACCGATCGTATCCACCTGTCTCCCTATCCGAAGGCCCGAATACCAGAGAAAAAAATCATAAGTCACTGACTTATGCGGACGGAGCGGGATGACCGTGGATTCAGAGTCGAAAAATCGGCAAGATGACTTTCTTGAATTTTTCGGGGCGATACCAAGATCCGATGAATACCGTCGTAGTTCATGGTCACTATGTCCACGGTACATGTAGTCGCGCAAAGTGTGTTAGAAACCTATTATCTAAGAACATAAGTCTCCGAAAGCGTCTACGCATACTTTTGTGGAGCGGAATATACCGTCGTGCCGCAACGCAAGCTTCGCAATGAACTGATCGGGCTCTTGAAGTCCCCAACCCGGGAACTGAAAATTGGAACTGTCGTCGGCAAAATGTTTTCGAGAATGTTCTGCCCGGATCCGCTCGCGGGCTCTGCTTGAGTTCAAGTCACTCGAGCAAGAAAAAACGTGGAGACGAAATGGAAGTCTGGAATTCGGCACACACGATCGACGCGAGATAATAAGTCAGGACGATGTTTCTCTCCGAACGACGGATATGCCCGTCTCTTCTCGAGCATCATAGAGCATAAACACGCATCCCCTATAGAACACCGTTACATAAACTCGGCCGCATGTACACATCTACTTACTCCGGATCCGCATCATGAACATGGTTCGGACCTACGAATGCGGAGCAGAAAACCGCACGTCGCTCGATAACGACGGGTGTGGTCTGTTTCAGTGCCCGACTAATTTACCATGTCATGGATTATCATTGGAGTTCTGTACAACATCACATACCACCTTCATAAGCCAGGATCCGGCACGGTGCCGGTCGGTTTCCTGTCGAGGTTTTGAAATCGCAAATTGTTTCTTGAGAGGAGATATCTGATCTGAATACAACGAGTCGTCGCTCTCTAGAGAACTCCTCCGGCGATAAGTCGACTTACAAGGGAGAACATTAATCTCATCAAAATAGAAACTACATAGATGGGAGGGACGTTCTGAATCCGGTCGGCGTCTGTGACAGACAGCGCCTGACTAGTTGACCGAGCGCGGTGGTGGATGACTGCAGAAAAGATACCTCGATTGTATTTATGTATATTATGTAACTGAATGTACATTTCAATTAACAGGGGTCAAGTGCTCAGATCTGAGCGGTCTCGTTCAGGGGCTGCTGCTCGTCGTTGTTCGGGGTGCTCTCTCCCGCGATATCGTGTTCTTCGCTGCGCGTGCAGTTCGTAGACGCCTCAAAATCTTGACCTGCAAAGATTCAGCTGCATTGAGAAATCGGAATTCTCCCTCTCCCGAATCCCATCGATGACAGCAAAATCCATGGGGGAATCACAGAATCTAGTCTCTCTCGAGATGTCTTATCAAGCAGCGCCGCCTCGAACTGCGCGGATGGCATCGAGACGAGACTTGCGGGATGCTATTCGATCATCGGTGCCGGCTATATTTGAAATCGTTCGTCGCCCTTCCCCCTTCCGGCCCAGACAGCCGCTAGGACTCGGCGTGGTGGAGGCCAATATTTGCGGTTTCTTTCAAAGCATGCCGGTGTGGCCATATACATTATATTGGTTATGTGTCAACAGCTCGCTTAGAGATTCGCCGGGCGAATCTCCTTCGCTCTGCGTCTTCTCCGTTTTCCTTCGCTGCCTTTGCGTAAAGCAGACACACCAATGCGACGTCGGCACGGGCTCGTAATACAATCGTTAGCTGATACCGACCTCGACGGATCGAGAGTCGCAAGTCTGAGATTAATCCCCTCGGAACTTAAAGTCGGATTGAATAACAGCGGGAGCGAACTCCGACTGATTCGGGTCCCTTGCTTAAGCCCCGCTTCGGACTTGTCTCCAATCTCTCCGATCCGACGTCGACAGGGGCGAATTTCTTCTGAGACACTTCAGTGACTTCACGGAAACTGATTCAGGGAACGGAATTCTGATCTGCCTTAGTCGCTTCTCCTCCTCATCGGAGCCCCTCAAACTCCGCCGACATTTCGGTTTTTTTCCTCTTTCGGTCCCATTGAGGTCTACAGAACCCAGACCTAAAGCCACGGTTTGTGGTCGAAGGAGCCACACATCAAAGGCGGCTAATTCCGCTTGCGTCCGACGTCGACGGCGACGTGCAGCCGACGTGGCGAGGACTTCGCTCGACGCAGGCTTAGAGCAAACTTACGAAAGAGCTTTGAGCATATGATAGTGCTGCAAGAGAAAATTTTCGCCAAGAGCAGAAGCTGAAATCAGCGCCTGAAATGATGCAACCGGAGAGATGATCGGGTCTGCGGAATTACACTGATCGTGCAACCGGAAACAGCTGCTTCCCTCCGATCAAAAATGGATTGGAGAAAGGTTTCTTGAAATCAAGATCTTTCTCCCAGCATCAGATTGTGCGCATCGCTGATGAGGGAGAGACCGGCGCCTCGAAACTTTTTCCTGAGAAAGCTGTGCCCCACGGATTGCCTTAACGACTCGCTCGGTTCGGATCGTCACCGACATACTCGAAGTCGGCGAGAGACTTCCAGATTAAAATCGCTTAATGGTCAGGAGATAAGGAATTTCGGAGCGCGAGTTGTCGCAATGCCGGAAGGATTCGCATAGGAAGGAGAACGACGCGACGGGACTGACGGAAGAGGAAGCAAAAGGCTGAATGTAATTCAGGGATAGCGCAAGCCCGCACAAGGGAATCGGAGCGGTAATACCAGGGTGTGCGACAGAGCGAATTTGTTCGGCGCGTTCAGAAGTCGCGAGCGGACGCATTAGTTTGCATTTACGCACCTGTCGAGAGTGTGAGTCCACAATTGTTATTTACGGCGAGAAGATCCGCTCCGAGTCGAGGTCCGTTGACACTGGGAGCGTTTCCGTTTCTCGGAGCTGAAAGTCCCGGCGTGCCGTTGGCTCCTCGGGTTGAACCGCCGCGAGTTCGTCCGCCGGGGAATATCGAGTTCTCCACGTGAAGTTGGGCATTCACGTCTGAAACATAATCACTTATGAGCTCGGAATGGACGCACGTGATGGGGGATCATCACGGCCGGCGCACCCACAGTTTTGTAAATGACATTTGTTGCGCCGCGGTTTGTTGACTCCCAGATTCATGAACCGAGACGATGGGATTCGATAGGTACTACATCCTCGGCGAAACTTTCTTGCCGGCTCGATGTGTCACGGCTTGTTAATCATTCATCCGCTCGACTTCTTTTCCATTTGTCTAATGAGAACACTATTTGAGACCGCGCGGCTTATCCGATTGTTTGTTGGTCAGGTGATAAGCGTGAGCCTCCGGAAATGTCCGGAAATTATTGCCACTGCCTCCACAACAAGATCCAGTCGATGGGAGAGAATCCTCCGTCCCTCGAGCGGCTCCGGTGAGAAGACGATAGTTCCATCCAAATTCTGGCAGTCGAAGTCCGAATCGCAGCCACCGGAGCATCTTTTACCGATCGGACCGAATCGTAACAATGCCCTCGATTGGGAGTACTCGGCCCAGGCGAGACTCCACTCGAAATACGAAAGCGTCGTTCGCGAAACGTTGGCCGGCGGGGGCAACGTTCTCGTTGAAGAGAAAACAAAGGATATCTTTCAGACGCCGCCACTCAATGATCGAGCATCGGGACGAGGGTAGAATACAAACCTTTTTTGCTGGCGCAAGTGAAGGCTTTCGCGAAGCTCTTCTTGAAATTGTCACTGAGGAAAGCGTAGAGCACTGGGTTTATTGCGGAGTTCGCGTAAGCCAGGCATCCACTCAGGAGGAATACTGCCACCTGCGATAGAAATGAGAAATTTCCTCATTGATCATGGATGTTATAATAATGTACCGCGCATGCCGAATGAAGCCAAAGGAGAGCATTGGATGCAATGGGCAAAGGAATTTTCCTAATCGTCATTTCTCATGGAGAATTGTGAGGAATCTTGGAATCCATTGAGCGAATCCGTTCGTGTTTCCGTGTATATACAGACCTGGAATTGTGATCTTTGTGCGTTGGACGACGTAGGTCTCAGAATGATTATGATTTGACCGACCCAATATGGCAGCCAGCAGAAAATGTAACACGTGATAACAGTGAGCACTAAATATGTCACTTTGCGATGTGATCGCTTCTTGTTCTTCGACTTCGTCTTGGGTCCCACCTGGAATCAAAAGAGATAAAAGTGAAGTAAAAATTCAGGTTTTCCCGGAGAGTTCAGTACGGATGTGAAATGAGCCAGGATTCCGGCGCAGTCGTCCATCCTGAAATGGGGAAGAGCTCAAAAGATGTGATGAGTTGAAAATCACAGTGCTTGGGGGTGATTTCCATACCCCCTTTTATTATGTCTGGAAGAATCCTCAATCGCAGTGCCATGAATAGAAAAATTTCCAATAGAATCACCGAAAGACTTGATCGTTCCGCTCCTTTCGCCTTGACCCGAGGTGGGGTCGTTTTTATCTCGAGAAGAATCGCAAGATCCCAGCAGGTTTATCATGAGCATCCGCGGAGGTTATATATGCTAATCCCATCCCCTCCCGCGCAAAGCCATCGGTCTTATTCCATGAGGTCAAAGGAAGGTACAATCATTCGGGCTCGGAAGACCGCCGCGATTCGAAGTAGTGTGATATTTTGTGAGGGAGAACAGTCTCGAAATACCCACATCCGATATGGAGGGGCGAAACAACGTCTCGCACGGGGAGAGAGCTCTCTCGGCGAATAACGAGTCTATTCGAATCGATTCATCGAAGATAAGACGGAATATATCTAATCTATCTTTCAATTCGCTCCACGCACAGTTCGGCTGCCGCAAGAGACGGTATCCATAATGAGCCTAGGGGATCCTTGTCATCGCCAGACACTGACGGAGCTCATTTTTCAGGAATCAGTCAGTGCTGTCAGCACGTCGCTAGATTGACGCAAGGGGTAGCTCGACGAGCGTCCTGAGCCGAGCGGACAGCTCAGAGTCGAGTGAAGCCATTGGTCGCTGACTCGACTGCTGATTCCATGCGGTTCGCTTTCTCCCGATGAATTGTGGAACTCGCATCCGATAGATTGTATCATAGAAAACGCACTGAAATCTAAGTGAAATCGAGACTTCCCGTTATTTCCTGCGGGCGACTGAATGACACCGTCAGAGTCGCGATTGCAACAAAGGAGACTCCATTGCGAGGCGTCCAGTGGACAAGCAGTGCCGGTCCTGCCGAACAACGGAAAGGGAAGGCGGACGCACTGAGTGAGTCGGGAGCAAAGGCAATCCTCGGCCGAGTCCGAGTCTACAACCCTTTTTCTGCGAGCGGTGTATGCTGGGCTGACTACCATCATGTAGCCTCGAACAATCCAGTTCATGACCCGGACGCAGGCCAGGTGACCGCGACGCCAGTACGTATATTGTGTAGGTCATTATTCAACAGTAGCATCGGAGCCATGTCGTTCATAAGCATTCACCACGTTCCAATTCCCAGACACAATGCGACTCGCGACGTACTAGATCGGAACGCCGACCGCCGGGGATCGTCCTCGCCGCTTCCGTCTCTAGACTGGACGTTTCTAGTTTCGGAGTGAGTCTGGAATGTTTTCCCAGACAGACTCGGCTTTCACGTCGAATCATGTCGGAGAACAGTCAGAGAGAATCTTTTTTGATTCCGCTCTCGGCCTCGTCGCTTATTGTGCCCCGTCGCTACATGTCCCTTGTGTCGTCCCTCCCTTACTCCCGATCGTTTTTGGGTTGTCGTTCCGACAGCAGGTATTTCTAGAAAGCAACGATGCGCCCGTTTTGACATAACGGCATCCGATCGATCAAACACGGGGCTTCGGAGCTCTGTGTCAAACACGGGAGTTCTGCGTCGTCCGTGGTTTTGACAAGAACATCCCCACGAAAGGAGGCGTCCGATTCACTCCGAAGTTCCGCATATGCGAACAAAAGAGAGAATAATGGGTGCTCCCGACGACTCAGTCAGCTGCGTGGAGGGGGGGAGGGGGAGCGAGAACGGAAATTCCAAGCTCAGGAGCAGCGCATATCAGCCGAGCTGAGCTTTTCCGGAGGGATCGTGGTCGTCAGAATTCTTCCTGAGAGCCGAATCAAGGAAGCTCGAGTCTCGATTTTTTCGTGAGCGAAAAACATGCTCGTCGTAAAGACAGTCGACTCCGCCCCTCCCAATCAGAGCCCCTTCATCAGGGATCCTTCCCAGGCATTGAACCCCTCCCCCCCGTCCCTGTCTCCGATACTCCGTGCCCGACAGCCGGGCGAATACTGTCGCGGGGATTATACGGTTATAAACTCCCGGAGGAGGGAGATCAGACGCGGAGGATCTGCCGAGCACTGGCGTATTTACCTCCGACAAGTCGAGATGTCCCGGTATCGGAGCCTTCGACCAGATTCGCTCCGGACCGTCGGCGTAAATATTGGGGGAACACGAACCAGTAGTCCGATATGAAGCGAACGATACGACCACGGTCAGCAGTTCAGCGGCTAGATATCCTCCGTCTCCGCCTCCGTATCGGCAGCAAGGAGATATAACGCGAGTGGAAAAGAGAAAGGAGAGCGAGGAATCAGGGAAAACAATCTTGTTTATCTTGAAAACGCTATGCAATAAAGCGATAATGCAAACAATATCAACAACTCCGAGGAATAGGTCGCTTTCGCAGCGCCGGTCTGTATTGAGTCGCGGTCAAGTATGGAGTCCTGGTTGGCGTAGTAGTGGGCTTTGGCGAGCACCATGTTATTTACATCGAGGAATGCCCAGCATTCGAAATGATCCGTCGGAGCGGAGCTAAAATATTTACGCAGAACGATGTCAATTGTGCCGTCGTCATTCACTTTATCCTGTCGCTTAACGTGTTCGGTTTCCTCGACAAGCTCGCCCCGCTTCGAAACCATGAACAACGACACCTGGGGATTCGGATAGATACCCTGGATGTGACACACCATCATCCGGCGCTCGGTGTTGTAGTAGAGTTTCGATTGGTGAGGTGCCACGAACACGGTCAGCGGCTCATCACGCTGATCGGTGTTTGCCAGCGAAGTCACGTAACACGAATAGTTTCCGCTGAGTTCGAGGCCCGGACGTTGGACTCGGAAAACGCTCCTACTCGTTAGTGCGTTCGTGAAATCCGACGAGAGCCGCTTCGCTTCCTGGATCGACACTTTGCCGGCGAGAATGCCACTCGCCCCTAGGGCATCGAGTTCAGGTATCCATTGGAACACGGGTGACTTGTCTCCAGAGTGAAACCACTTGACGATCATGTGCTCGTCTGAGGGTCCGTGGACGAATTCGCACGAAAAGTTGACGAACTCTGTCCCGTTCTCCACATAGCGTGGCACCAGAACCGACTGGATGGTCACGGCGGACCCGGGCTCGAAGCAGCCGACGACCAGAACCGTGGTCACGACCGAAATCGCAGAGATCATAGCGCGCCTCTCTGTGCCGACCGATCGAATCACATCGTCGAGTTAAATTCTCAGATCGATCGCGCAATTCGGTTCGTAGACCTACACAATGTTAATCTATCGGTAGCACGAGCACTGAGCTTTCGCTCGGAAAGCTCATTTCAGCGGGAACCTTGATTCCTCGCGTTCTCTCCCCCTCTTGCCTAACCTATATCTTCCAGTCTCTCACTGTGGGCTCGGTACCACGGTGGAAACGACTAGTCCGTCGATCGCAGCGCCTCGACTCAGGCTGTCGCGCCGAGACTCATCTGAGACAACGGGACTGATTCGGGACGAGAATGCGCACTGCACTTTACTCTAGCAGCTCTGCCGACCTGGACGGGATGCTTCTGAGAAAATCGGGAATGGTCTCTGACAGCGCGGAATCGAAGAAGCTGCCGAGCAGTGTGACCATTGGAACTCGCGGCCGACGAACCCTGTCAACGATTTTCGGAGATTTAATTCGATTCTCCCAGCAAGCGGCTCGACTGTTTCCCGATGTGAAGAGCTCATTCCTCGCATGGACTTCCGGTTGCAGATGCCACCATTCTCCCGAATAATATTTTTTTCCCCGCAGGGTCCGTGTCACGAAGCCCCCTACCCCCTTGGAGCGGTAGGTTTCCGCGATTCGAAGTCTGAGCCCCGCTCCCTGCTTCCGTATATTATATTGGTTCGCTGTTCGGGGAAGCCAAACAGGGACCATTGACCGTCTCCGAAATCGAGATCATGAGTCGGGCTTTCGAAGTCTATTGGAATTATTGACAAATCGCCGAAAAGATCCCGGAAAGAGAGCCGCGGGAGCTCTGTTTTGACTTTTGTTTGAGCACCTTACGATGTGACGTGTTCCGGGCCCTAATAATATATCGAAGTTTGGCCTCAGAGTATTTTCTAGACGGTCGTCACGGAAGTTTATTTCGCAACCGGCGCAATGTGCAGACGTGTGGAAAAACGACATCTCGATTTGTTCTGTGGACAGCTTAAGGGAGTCACGTCCAGGAGGGGGATTTACAGTACGATCAGATCGGATGGAGGGCCTCCTCGCTTCCTTTGTCTGGAGGCTTTCCAAGAAGACGGTCCTTCTTTTTCCAATATTTTTGTTTTGCTTACGGAACCCCTCTGGACACGGATCAAAGAACCGCTTGACGATTGCATTGTGCGTGGAGAGCATCCTCTTCCCGGGATTTTCGAAGTTTTTCTGCTTGCCGTCGTCCTCGAGAGAAGCCCGTCAGAGAACTCATCTGAACTTTTTGTTGATTGGCTTCGTCATCACTTTTTCCGCGGGACACGATGACAGCCTTCCATCATGAGACGTGAGCAAACAAACACCGTTCGAGCTGCAACTTTCGATGCGACTCTTTTTTTTCGTCACTTGTTCCCCGGGGTTTTGTCTGGAGATTTCGCTGTGATTTTTTGCCTTGTGAATGCTCCGGTCGCAGGGCGCGCGGGAGTCCCTCCTGTTCCTACCAGGATTCTCCGGCAGATAATACAGTGAAACGACTCCGGGAAGGGCCCGGTCCTTTCGGACGAACCATTTCAAGCCGTTAGAGAATGACGTCGCGTCGTTGAGAGAATGTCAGACGCACGCGATGGATTGACTCGTGCTTCATTCTTTCCGACCGACGATGGTGCAGAGCATCTCTGCCGTAGCTCAATTAGAAGCTGAGAAGGGAGCGTGAGGCGTCATACTGCATTCTATCCGTTTCCGATCTGTTTAACGAATCGCTAAGAAGTGCGAG